GTAGACTGCATTGCCAGTATGGGTGAGTAACAGATGTTTTAATCACAGTATAAACAAGATATCCTCTTCTTTAGGTTTTTACATTCATGAAAATAGCTTCAACACTTGCTCATACAAATTGTCAATTCACTTGAAGAAAACTGAATGACCGGAGAATTTTTCTAGAAAAATGAATAAAACCTTTTTACTACTTAAAAAGCCATAAAGTAGTGTATTTTTAATACCATAAAACACTGTCAAAAAGAGTGTAGAACAGTTTAAAAGTATTGAGACATTAAAATAAAAAAGATAAAAAACCAATGCGAATATGTGAGTAGAAGATGAAGTACCTAAGCTAGGCGATTCCTCTTGTACCTATAACTTCAACTGCTTCTGTCAACCGTCGCTCCAGGAACTTGGTTTTTCATGTTCGGAAACAACAGTTCAGTTAAAAGCATTAATAATTCGATATTGGCACGCCTGGTTTAAACACATTATAAGACCAGTACAGAATAGTCCTTTTTTATCGTAAACGGAGGGAATTCCCAAACGCCACAGAAAATCGCTGAAAACAACCAGGACTTTGTCTACAAAAGAAACAAGTCTTGGTATAATCGCTACCCAAGTAACGGCAGAAAGATAAGAAAAGTGGTAACAGACCTTTTCATCCAGAAAAAACGCATCATACTGATACATTTCTAACCACATTGAAAGTCGGCAGGCAATGAACTGTTCTGATTGGTTGGCGATTGGTCAAAGGGACTAAACAACGAGGCGAAAAGTTATCCAGTGAGATTATTTCAGGACCACAACGTAAACTAAATCCAACTTTGAGGAATAAACACTTTTACCCTTGTAGCCATTGACCTAGAATGTTAATTTCAATTTTCGATCACTTCCTATCAGTCTACGTCTTTGGTTTAGCGGTAGAACACTCGCCAACCACGCACGTGGTCCGGGGCTTGATCCTCGGCAGACACACTCCGGCAAAGAGGGAAGGTTAGGAGTGAGACTAACAACCTCATCCCGTAAAAATTAACATCACTGCTACCAAAACTTAAAAAGCTCTCGCTTGGAGCCCTATGTTCCACTGGGAACGTAAAGGAACGAAATAAGTAAACAATAAAATAATCTTATCAGTATACATCGATTTAGTATACGTCACAGTGCAACCTGCATACACACAACACACACAACCTTCTATCCCAATGTCTTTCCCTTGTCTGTGGTGTTACCATTCCTTATAATCAGACCGAATAAAGTTCAACCAATGCATAAGTGACGAGCATTCCCAACTGTTAATATTCACTATTATATATGATCATTTACGTATTCATGTATATTATCATATACAGAAGTTTTGAACTATAATCTAGTTACAAATTATTCTCGTTTTTTGATCTTAATAATTCAGTGGTGTTAACAAACACTGGTGTTGTCGACAACTACAATACCCTAACTATTATAGATATACAACTGTAGGATGTGAAGTTATCGAAAAGAAGAATCTTTATTCACTAATCTCTATTTTCAAATTAATAATGGACATTTTAATCAATCACAGGGAGAAATATGGCAAGTTGTTAGACTTACTATACTTAAAATTAGATGAAGGGGATAATGCAGTTGACTTCTTAGTCTTAATCCACTACAGATAAAGGGTTATTACGTTGATAGATTGATCGTCAAGACTAGATTGTCCAACAAAGGAGCCAATATCTATGTCAAAGAAAGTTTCTCACTATATATGTGATTTTACAAAGCTTTTAAAATTAATATCAAAAATTATTCATAACTTTACTGGGAAGGAATGATGCTGTTTCAGAACTGCTAACAGATTATATTTACAAAATGCCTAACCTATGCTTTACCACTTCTGATGATGACAATTTTCTTTAGAAATAGAATCGGCATAAATTTAAGATTAAAAAAAATGAAACATTACATTTATCCGTATCACTGTTCATGTATAATTTAATTTCTATTTCTTTTGCCGGAAAAAGTCAATTACTATTACATAGATTGACCGAATAGCATTTCTCCAAGATTATTGAATAAAGAAAAGTAACAACAAATATAAGAATTTTCAAGTATTGGTTTTGTAGGGATTTTGTTTGATTTGATGGAGGATTTCATTCATGTTCGAACCCCGGTGGGTGGGTACGTACTGATGAAGAGTCCCAAACTAGGACGAAACAGCTGTCCAGTACTCCCTGCAGGTTTTCCAGTGGTTCTCTAACGGATGTCAGCTCACGATGAAATCCTCCATCCAATCAAATATAAGAATGTTTTGATACAGATAAAAAATCCAGTTGAAATAAACACCCTTCTCTCAGTCATCCGTCGAATTCTAAATGTGAATTCATGACGGCTGGTTTAAAATAACCAGAAGTACATTTTGCGAATAACTTATTCAAACACTTCCTCCTCTTTCATTCGTGATAATTCACATGCGATGTAATGCTTTTACACTTAGACCATTTTAACAGTAACAGTAATAATACTAACAAAAGTACCCAAAATGATTGTTATCTGCATCAGTTACTAATGTTACAGTATTAACATGATTTGTTAGTTTTCACCTAATTACCCCTTAAGTTTTCATTTCAGTTAACAGCACATTTAAGTCTATTACAACTGCTTAAATTATTTACCCATCGACTAACACTTCAAGTATACGCAATAATGTATCTAAATTCCTATTTCAAAGCTTTATATGGAAGAGATCTTAACGTAGATTTATATTCAGAATTAAATGTTTTTTCTACCTTACTGTGAGGATTTTCCGGAAATTCAAGTCTTCGAACTTTTTCTACCGAGTATCTCCTTTTGAAAGATACGAAGATTTCATTCTTGTCAACAGGTTTACTGATTAAATCAGTGTTCAGTAATCAATCATATAAATTCTGAAGTAACAGCATGTAACTATTAAATATCTTGATGCACAGGTTAATCAGAAATAACTCTAAGCATATTGTTGGCTCTCGGAATTTAAGGGCTGTTTAAGGAAGTGATTAAAGTAGTTCATCTCTGCGTACGGATCAGCTAAATGATTGAAAACCTACACACGATTTTATTTAAAACATATCAAGCCTATTACCTTTTATGCTTTGTCAAAGATGTTTATTTTCTGTTGAGCAGTAGAAGACTATAGATCTCATTAAAGGAAGGAATATTGATTTGCTGTGATAGATATCCAACGAACAAGATTACATTATCCCACTACTTTTGAAGTTTTCCTTCATTAAACCTTCAGTTTTGTATATTTCTCAGCAATGTAATCAAAGATTGCTAGCATTATAGAATGAAGTGAGTGATCTCATGAAAACAACAAGTTACAACTCGATGTTTGTGGAAATACAAAAATGTTAGATATTGAAAAAAGAAGCTCTAGCTTTAGGTTTTGTGTTAGAGAAATTCATATGCCTATTCTATAACCAGGATGGATAATTTACTACGAAGCTGTTCAGGGCTAAAGAAGAGATATGCGACTGAAGATTCACTTTGATGATGAGTGTCAACAAACACGAATCCTTAATTGGCAGAGTTAAACAAACACACTTATCCATAAACAGTTAGATTTCCGTTGAGAAATACAGTTGTACTGTAAAATGTTTTGGCATTAGTGAGTCGGTGGCACAGCGGTAGAATGCTCGGCAACCACTCAGGTGGTTCGGGGTTTGATCACCGGCCGACGCACTCCTTTACCTCACTAAGTCAATAATAAGACTAGTAAAGAGAAAAGGTTGGACAAGAGGCTACCAACCCCATCCAGTAAAAATAAATACAGCTGCTACTGAAACCTCAAAGCTCTAGCTTGAAGCGCTATGTTCCAGTGGGGATGTAAAGGAATAAAAACATTAGCCCTAAAAATTGATTTATCATTGGTAAATTGTGCAAAAACCATCAAATAGCATTTTTGTCAAAAGTGTTGTTTTTTTAGCCGTTTGGGTACCACTGATTTCGGTCCCTCTTGTATCCGTGAAGTACATCTAATTATGAAACAGTCCAAGTTTTGATTTGGTTAATATATTTAGTAAGAATAATGATGTGCACGGCGACGAAGTATGCCGGTGGGAATATTTTTGCCTGCCAGTTGTTACCTACTAGACCTTTAAAAATCCTAAACATAAAACTGACCATGCTCAGAAAAATCTTGGTACTCATTTCTAATAAGTGAAGCTTGGCTGCAAGGGACTGCATTCTTATGTTCATACTTATATGCCTCCACAGTAGTAAATATTTTTGTCAGTTAATACATATGCCATGAGGACTGAGATGTAGTAGTTTTTAGCCACATCATTAGCCGTTACGTTTTATTTTAAATTCTTTATATATTAGCGTCGAGGCATATAAGTATGACTTTTTCATACGATAATTAGAACCTCAAGAGAAAATTTACCGAAGATTTAATCTATATGATCATTAAAGCCACATTAAATTGCCGAAACTGGGTGAAAGCAAACAGTGCTTGCTTAGTAAATGTTCAATAATCTACGTTTTTACCTTCATGACTTGGCTAAAATAGATTAAAGTGAAAGAGAAGTAATGGAAGCCTCTTACTCGAAGCCAGTGACTAGACACTGCAACTTTATAATATATAATTGTGAAGTGAAACCATAGCAGCCACATCTACCTAGTTATGCAACCTTTAACTGTTAAGGGTTGTCGGAGGTTCTCTGCCATAGTTTAACTTCGCCTAGATAACTAACCAACTCTATCAAATTACCCTCCAAAACACCCAACATTTTTAGCTGGGTCTTTAAAGACCTTTTAAGTATAGAATAACCATATATACTACCAGTAAGTGCTGAAGTGACACCCAGGTGCTTGTTCTTAGGCTTAAAAACCCCAACGAGTCACGGAACCAAGGTTACTGCTAAGTCAAAACTGCAAACCTTCACATTTAAGGTCATCTTAGAAAAATAAGGCAAAAATTCAAAAAATACTATCGTATTTTATGCTTTCATAATAGTTTGAAACATTTGTTTTCTATTTTGTTGAATAGTGGCTTTTAAATTTCTGGCGGTCTATTTGAATTTACAGCAAAACGCGCTACTGATGATACTACCCAAGAGAAGTTGGCCGTCTGGGTAAAGTCGTGCATATTTGGATCACTGTAAGGCTAATAATCAGTTGTTAAAGTTACTGTCTGCTTGATTTTTAAAGGTTGAACACAACCATTCGCTAGTTTACTGCGAAAGTGTCGGAAACTTCCAGTGAAATGAAACTTAAGGGTGTTAGCAGTTCATCTCAAAGTCAACAGGTATTCCTATCTATTATTTATGCTTTTAACTTTATTAGGCTGCTTTAAGGGAGATTGGAAATAATTCAAATGGTGTGAAGACAAGGAAGACTGACCCGACTTCACAAAGTTCCCTTTTTAGTGTAGATGAGAAAGCTACTTCGAAGTTGCATCAACTGATAAACTTCTCCTTGATCTCAAAGTCCTTAAATTTAAGCCCTATTCACTGGAAATCCGTACCACAATTACATGGGATCAAACGCAAGCATAACTCCGCTGTTTGCGGTGTTATCATAAAGAAGAGAAAAAAGAATAGGAAGATTATCAAAGCTTCTTCGTCTGAGGATGCATCACTGTAAGTTTTTTGGAACCTTTTATTTAGATCACATAGTTTTTGCTATCGGCCAGCTGTAATATCTCCTGAGTTCGCCATTTCCTACTTACTATTTATTAGATTGTTTCTCGTAAAGAGCTGTTTTCAAAAGTAAAAGGTCTCGCTTAGAGTGCGATGATTATCGCTGACGAAGAAAGAGTCATGTTCTGTTTTAATGCTCGAATATGCTTCTGTGGTTTGTCTTAGGCTAGGATGCTGTATTTGACAACCATGATTTCTATGTTTAAGGATATCTGATAGACATACTTTCGCTTATGTTCGTCTAAAATACCTAAGTTTATCTTCCTCGTTATCTGATACAAATCGGGTATGCGATTGCAAGCATCTTGATGAGTTGTTGAACGAAATCGACCCCTGCTTGTGACTTTTTTGATATCTGATGTCTTCCAGCGTAACTTAAGGTATTACGTATTCTCTGTCTAAGTAGTTATTACTTCATGGTTAACTGAATGGTTAACGAGAAGTTGTTTCATGTACATTTTGCCAGCCACTTTTCTCAATGAGTGTGATGCATGTGTACCTGAAGTCAACTAACTCGATATCACTATTACTTTTGAGGCTTATCAGTCGTGTTAGCAATAAACTCTATCGTAAATTCTTATCATTTCTGACAACTTACAGGGACAAAAATAAAGAGGAAAATAAGCTAATCAGGTATGCTGAAGCAAACGAAGTTCTGGATCAACCTAATATACTTCAAAATGTTGGTAAGTTCTGGATTATATTTTTGGGATTGCTTTTATGTCAGATTAAACGACTTTTCATGCTTATATGTCTTTCAATGTACTTGGATATGTAGTACTTACAGCGCCGGTTCACCGTTTGTCTGTGATCCTCTGGTTTAAAAAGTGCTTAAGGAAGATTGATGAGTTACCTATTGGTTTTAGGTGAATAGGTGTTCTTAGAAATCGTATGATGGTTCTCATCGTTATAATGCACAACACTAATAAAACACTTATTCTCTCGTGGTTGCCACTTTTTACTAATATTAGTAGTAGAATGCTATCACCGTACAGCTTACACATCCTTGTCCACTGCATTTTCACTAAATCTTGACTAATATAGAGTTTAAAGTTCTAGGTTCAATATTCATGGAAAGACTAAGTAGTGCTTGGGAGAGAAAACTCCAAAAAGTCCTGCAGGCTTTATGCCAGGACGAGGGTGCATTGATTATATCTTTACCCTTCAACAGATTCAGGAAAATGGACATACTGGTGTCCAACACTGCTATATTTCCTGACCTAGGGGTGGAATTCTACTCTGTCGATTACGCCGTGCTGTGATACTGCTTGGTCGTGGAGTACTGAGCAAGTATATCAAACTAATCAAGGCCCTCTACTCGAACTCACGCAGACGTGTAAGAGCTTATGGAGAGTTGTCATTCAAAGCGATATCTACTAGCCATGTCCGTAAGGGGTGTTAACTGTGCTCACGCTTTTTTAATTTCGTCGTCGATATACTAGTGAATGTGACTGTGATCCCGTTTGGCTACTTAAGGATTGTCTTGCTACCAGGGGATAGTCTTGTTGACTTAAAAGATATGCGAATGATATGGTCCTCTTAGGTGGAGACGCTGATGAAATGCAGAGTCTTCTGAACACCCTGAGCAGAAAACTTCGAATATTTGGCGTGCGATCCACCTCTGTGAAATGTAAGGTGGTGCTGAAGGACTGGACCGCACTGACTCCTAGCTTAAAGTTTGGGTGTGAAGTGGTAAAGGGTGTTGATCACTTCCCTTATTTGGGAAGTTACATCAGCTCCAATGGGCTGATTGATGACGAAATCTCAGCGCGGCTACAAAAGGCTCCTGTGACATTTACCAACCTATATGGTCTCTGACGTAGATGTGATACCCAGCTATCGATAGAGGGATGTATTTACTGCATACCAGTCCTCTCCGTCATTTTTTATGGCCGATAAATGGTCAGTGGAAGTGGAGGACATGAAAAAACTGGCTGTCTTTGATCATAGTTATCTGTGTTCTATCTCCCATGTTAGGTGGTATAATAGGGTGAGTAAGTAATATTGAAGTTAGGTATAGAGTGTTAGGTAAGGAGGGTAAGTCAGTCGATGGGGTTGTGAGGCTACATCGATTTAAATATCTAGAACAAGCGTTGCGCATTCCGATCCATTGCCTTCCTCAACGGGCAATGTTAGTCGATATGGGATTAGAACTGAAAAGAGTTTGGGGACGGTCAAAACAAAACCTGGAATCAGTTCATGAAGTTTTTGACTATTGATTTGACCCACATAAGCAGGTTTAGGTTACCTGGTCAGGGTCCTCGAGGTGTTAAGAACCAATGGTTGGGGAATAGTGATGACATGGCTGGAAGTCATTGTCAATTATTCAGATGCATTCACTCTTCGTGAATCCCCAAGTCCCACTTTTCACTGTTACTGTTCTTTCTCCCTCACATTTCTGCTTATTATAGTTCTTGTGAATCTCCTTTTTCCTATCGTTTGTGTGCCTTTGTGTGCAACACTGAGTGTGGAAGCTGGAACTGCTGCATTTCTGTGCTAATTTCTATGTTAGAACTCATTCCATCAAATCACCAACCTTAGCATTTCAGATACATCCACAATTTTGGAGATTTTTCCAAAAACCTTTTCTATAATAAACCTAAGTGCTTACCAACCTTGTGTTTTATCGACTATTGTTTGCATCTAAAGATATACAGGACATGATAACTATCATCAATCGATAAATGAAATTGTTGGAAAACTCTAGCTTGGTTGTTAGAACATGTGGATATACTGCTCCCACCATTCTGATAACACATGATTTTCTGGTCATGAGGCGAGGTTAAGAAAGCGATAGTTGTTAGTTTATGACACGGAACTCAGTCGGTCGGTTTTCGACATAGAACTTTGCACATATGTGCGGCAGTTCAAGTCGCCACACTCCATGTAGCACACAAAGCAAGAGAAGAAAGTAGAAGAAATGCATAATATAGACAGTAAACAGAGGTGTGAGACAAAGGTATAGTAATAACGGAGAACAAAACAGTTTAATTGGTAATCATAAGTCACAAGGAGTGGATGCATCTGCCCCAGCCATTGAGAACGATTTTGAGCCATGTCATAAATTGTTTCGAACCATTGGTTTTTACCGTCCCGAGGACCCCAACCAGGAAGTCTACACCTTCCTACGTGGCTTAGACTAACTGTTGTGGATTTCATTGACTGGTGCCATGTTTTCGTTTGACCGCCGCTAGCTCTTTTCTAACCTGACCATATGTCAGCTAACATTGCCCGTCGAGGAAGGCGATATATGGCTAGGCATACGTAACACATGTCCTAACAATCTCAGTCGATGTAATTTCACAGCCTCGTCGATTGATTTCCCCTCCTTACCTAGAACTTGACGCCTAACCTCAATATTGCTCACTTTATTATACCACTTCACGCGGGAGATAGAACGCAGACACCTATGATCAAAGATCTTTTCATGTCTTCCACTCTCAATGGTTAGGTCTCACAGCTAGCCGTAAAGGAGGACGGAGTGGACTGATGAGCAGTACACCCGCCCTTTGGTCGATAGTCGGATATCACGTCTACGCTAGAGACGGCGTAAACTGGCATATTCGTTCTGAGATTTCGTCGGAGATCAACCCGTTGGGACTGATGGTACTTCCCAAGTAAGTGAAGCGGTCAACGTGCTCTACCACTTCCCTTCCTATTTGTAATCTAGGAGTCGGTGTAGTCCAATCCTGCAACATTATCTTACATTTGACAGGGGCTAATCGCATGCCAAGCATACGAAGATTGTTGCTCAAGACTGCATTTTGTCAGCGTCCTCGCCTAGAAGGACTATATCGTCCGCATATTCTAAGTCAACGAGATTATTCCCTGGTAGCAAGTCAATCCCTGAGTCGCTGAAGTGTGTTAGGGTTAAGTCCATTAGTACGTCTATGATGAAGTTGAATAGGAATGGGGATAATGGGCATCCTTGACGGATGCCACTAGTCGTCACCACTTCAGATGACAACTCGCCGTAAGCCCTCACCTGGCTGCATGAGTACGAGTAGAGTGCCTTAATCAGTGCAATGTATTTTCTCGGTATTCCCTTCACAGCCAAGCATCGCCAGAGAACCTCTCGGTCGACAGAATCGAATGCCGCCTTTAGGTCAAGAAAAATAATGGTTGTCGGACGCCGGTAGGAATGACACGGAACTGTTGAATAGGGGATCGGTGTGTTTGTTTAGTTATTCATTTGTCTTCCGATACTTAATGTGTCAAAGCTGAGTAAATTTTGTAGCTCAATCTCCCAAGATGTGATTATTTATGGTTTTTGGTCGGAAGTATTTGGAATCAGGTCACATTCCTGTTTTATTTTTTGTTTCTCATAAGCTTATTTACAATTACCATAGTTGCAACAAAATAAAATAGGTTCATTGTGTTTTGGAGAGTCCCTGGTTAGTAATTTGTTTTAATTTGTAAAACAAAGCACACAAAATGTCTGGTATAACTATCACTTCTGACTATTATGAGTACTGAGTCTTTTCCCTTCAAAATGCTGTATTATGTATTGTTTGGCACTGCATGTTTCGTATGCTGAGGGGAAACTGTACTTAGGAAACCTTTAGGGCTCGGATTTTTGTACAGCATCCCCCGAAGAATATTTAGTAAGTTTTGCCTTAGCATAGCTGAGAGAATGGGTTAAGTTCGTCTTTTAATTCTCTGCAGTCGTACGGATTCTGAAAAATGATTTGAATTTTCAGTAACTGAATGGTTCCTGACCATGTTTAGTCACCTTCAAAGTACTAAGTGATTTGATCTCGTTGTTTAGAAGCTACTTCCAAATTTTATGGCTATCTGTTTTCTTTCTATAGAATCGAAAAGTGACAGTCTTCAGCCTCAAATCACGACAGATGGCAATTTATCTGAGGATTCATGTGCTACTGCTGCAGTCGGAAAGCGCCAGCGTCGTCTTACTGCCAAGGCTGCCGAAGCAATGGCGGCGGAAACCCTAAGAAAAAAGCGTAGGAACGTAGTAGTAGGTTCGTACGGCAAAGGAAAGGTGTTTTCAGATGACGAACAACTAGGGTCAGAGAATGAAAACAAAGCTGTATGTGTGTCTAAAACAGTCGCCAAAGTTGCTGCTGCCACTCCTAAAAAGTTATTTGGTTCACTTAAAAAAAGTCCACGAGATCATACTACACCGTTGCCGGATAGAGGCAAACCTGGGCTAGACACAGAAAATAAACGTTTGGATATTTCTACCAGTGAAATTTTGCCTTCTTCTACTCCTATTGGAGAGGAATATAATTCCTTGTCAGAAACTTGTAGCAACGTAACACCTATCCTGCCTGCCTCGCTATCTCTCCTAGAAGATAGTGAAACTATCAATGGTACTAAAGACGAAAGTTTTGGTGACATCGCAACTGCAGAAGTAATTACCGAAGACAAACCTGGTGTTCTAGTTAGGAATCCTTGTGAAGTTAAATCTTTATCTGATGAACATGGTGACCGGAAAGATAGGCATCCAGGTGATACTAATCAAAACGATCTAGTAAATAAATCTGTCCCAGTTCTTGATGCAGATCTAAATCAGAACCAGGAGGTATCGAGAGTAACTGATAGGTCATTTAGTGGTTCAAAGGAATCAGAAGTCGGTGAGTTAAGCAATAAAACATTACAGGTCTCCGAAGAATTACTGACTCAGAAGGATACTATTGGTGATACCAAGGAATTTAAAAATAATGCCCATAACGATCAGCAGCAGCCTGAGATGAATAGTGAAACACAAGAGAATGCCGTGAACAGTTCAATGGACGACTCTGCAAGCACACCACCGATGAGATCTGATGTTCAGAGTCCACCTGTTACCAAGGCAAGCAAATCTAAGGCACAGAAGCGTAGTCCATCCCCTGCAGATGTTGCTGTTATGCGAAGTAAACGTCGTCTGAAAGTCAACGTGAGTTTCCATTTCAATAATATGTCATTTTTCTAGATGTATGTAATTTGTCCTACTTTTTAAATTGATAGCAAAATATTGTTCATTGTTGCACATACTTCTGGCTTTAAAATCAGAGTAATCTTTTTATTTGCATCCAGCAGCTAATACATTATATGAACTATTCTATATATGACATTTGTTTTGCCACCCGATGTGTAGCTATATTGTAATCACAAAAATATTAACTGAATTTCACACGATTATTACTTTATGTGCTTACATCTTTGTTACGACTCCCTTACGGGATATAATTTCTTTAAAAATCCTAATGTCAAATGAGCATACTTTTTTATGCTACAAATGACAAACTTCACCTAGGTTGTTTGGTATATATTCTTTACTGTTGCCGTGCATGGCTATGAATAGGCGACTAGATAATCATTCCATTTAGCGATAGGTGTGATCATTTGTCAACACACATTTCTTTCGGTTGGTGAATTCGTTTTAAATGTCCATATGTCTTAATGGTCTTTTTCAAGCATCTAAGTAACCAAGTAAATATTCTTGTTATTGATGTGTGCGCCCACAATTGATTTCATTAGCCTGTCAGTCTGATATCTGTCCATGATGTCTCACTGGTCTGTTAGTCAGATAAAAACAATTCACATGTTGTCACATGATGGGCGCCAACCAATCAGAATCCTGTATATATTTAACGCCCACTTTGTGACTGAATCAGTGTGTCATATATTTTTGTACACCTTGTCACTTTCTCTTTTGTTTGTATTGCGGGGTACACATCTCCAAATCTGCTGTGTGAGTCTTTTGGAATTTACTATTCGTGTTAGGGGATAATCGACTGGGAAGACATCAAGCTTTCGTTATCGTCGGTCAGCATTCGTATTCACACTGGACTACATCGTAACAGCTATAACCAACGGGTCGTAAAATTTATTAATTAAAGAACTTTGAAATTAGAAATGATTGTTTGAGAGTAGATTGTTTTGGCAGTTGAGTTGCGGTAGCTATAGGAAAAAGCTTGACTACCACGCAAAATGTCCTCATGTTAGAATTTTGTCCAAATCTGCACAAAGCATGTGATTTGCGTTTTATCATATCTATGAAGCTATTTGGATACTAATGAATAAAAAAGACGGTAAAGTTTTGTTTTTATATATTTTATTGACCCATGATACAATTAAGCTTTTTGTGTTGATAACATTTTACTTCTGTTTATGAGTTCTTAATAGTGATCATATCTCTATTTTGTTTTCTCAAATTATCCAGCATCGTTTTATAGATGATTATGATGGCTACTTAGGTTTCATGAGTGGCGGGCATCGAAGTAGAGCGTCTTCTGAAGTAAGTAATGGTTCCGAGGAAAGTAGTAGTCGAAATTTGGAGCAATCTACTCGACATTCACAAAGACCTGCAAAATCTCGCCTACTTTCTTGGTATGATAAAAAGCACTCAAATGAAAAAGTGAAGAAAGCCAATTTGCCTGAAAATTCAACTAAGTCTTCCTCTAAAGGATACAAATCAAATGATGATCATCATGATAACAGGCAAGAAGAAAAGTGCAGTAACAGATCCGTAACAGGCCTTAGGCCACGTGTCAAACAGGTCAGCCGGCCCTCTCTAAATCGTGGTAAGTTTTTCACTAAACACTTTTGTGTGATTCCATATCATTTCGTTTATTGGATATATTACACAGTAGGATAGTATTATTCACTTGGTAGCGTTTCGAACACAGTTTATGATTTATAACCATATCAACTGCGTCAGTGGCACAGGACTCTCGCCGACAATGCACATGGTCCGGGGTTTGATCCCCTGCCGACGCACACCTGATATCAATGGTCTGCCTGCAAAATTTGGGCTATCGATATCACATTCTGGAAATTCCATACTTGTACCGATAATGCGGTGTGGAATCAAGCTATAATCAACATTAAAAAAACTATAATATGGAAGCACAAGTGAAATTCAGTGTAAACTAAGTTCCGATCAATTTATCTTAGTTGTTTTTATGTAATATGGACTAATTGTTTGCTTGAGAAAGAAGTAAAATCGGTTAACATTCATGCCTATTGTCTACTGTTTTTTATTTTGTTCACTAGGATGAAGGATTATTTAACTAGACAGTTTCTTCAAATCAGTAAAAATCTAGTTAATTCTGACCATGATCTTCATGGACAGGTCTATACTGTGGATGTCTTTTTTCACTTGAAGTTGTTTTATGGGTTTAAGGTACTGATTTAATTCATTTTTATTGTATAATTGCAGAAGATAGTCGCTACTCTTCAACTTTATCTGCAATGGTACACGCTGCCCGATTGGCCGCGATTGGCGCCAAAGTTCCTGGAGGTGTTAGTCCAGTACATGCTGCTTTAGCTGCTTCCTCTGCTCATTCGAATAGGATGAAAGACAAGCATCCTGATTCACGTGTTAATGGTCAAGGTGGAATACCACAAGGTTCACCCTATCCTACAAAACTGGGTGGTACCAGTCAAAATACAGCTCGCTTACCAAATCGATGTGGACAGTGCCGAGCATGTTTGGGTCTTATACAACCCTGTGGAAAATGTAATGACTGTCGGTAAGTAACAGATTACTTTATTCACTACTCCGAAAATGTTTAACTTTGGAGTTTATTTAATCTATTTTAACTATCTTTTTTCATGAATAGACCCTATTTTAAAAGTGTGGTGTGTTTTACCATTCAAATAGCTTAATTTTAGAAGTTGTTTGATGTAAATTCATTGTGACTGAAAGCTGAACGGTAATTTTTGTGTAGCAATGGAAAACAGTGGTTTGAAAATTGTCAGATCCTTTTCAAGCTGATGGAATCTTTTTAGGCATCCGCTACATCAGCCCACATGAACAAACCTCTTAATTTAAAACTGCTTTCAGTTCAGCCAATATATGTTTTAAGTAAGCTTTACTCCTGCTATACTCCATTCGACTAGTGAGTTTACATATCGATTACCATGGTGTTTGGATTTTGTAGACAAATGCCTCTACCTCTTATTAACACTGTTGTTGACTTGACTTTTAGTTCAGTTGAGCTGTACTCAACCTCGTCAATTAGATCATGTCACTCAACTTGCTTAATTAGTCTTATATTAGTTTCTACCCGATTAACGCTTTCTACATTACGTAATTTGTTATCTAAAACTTACACTTCTAATGACACATCTTTGGAAATGTTCATTTTTTTGCAGTTCGAGAATGATATCTCCGAAAAGAGTAACTCTTCGTTGAACGTCTTTTCTTTTAAATGTATTTTTACCCATGAACTGAACTCAACTACTTAAATTAAAGTGCAGTAGCATGATTCTTCATTCTACTTTTCACTTATGCTAAATGTCCTAATAATGCCTCTGTTCTATTCAACTTTTATTTGGTATGAAAGGGATTTTTTTTCTCTTTACAGGTTGGTGGGTAGTAATGATCCACGAGGTAGACCCTGCAAGTAAGTCATTGACTTGAACTATGTCTATCTGATTATTTATTTTGTTATAATTAATGTTATTTGTGAGAACACTGGGTTGTAAACTATTTGTTGTGTTTAATGTCAAGGGTAATCTGTGTAGCAGGACAGTTTTATATGCGTGATATCTATTCAGTTCGCTGGTAAAAAGCTTTGTATGTGTCATAAAAGTTTGTTAACTGCGATATTAGGCTACATTAATGAATTGTAAACTATCGAATTGATACCTTGGTTATCCACTAGCCTTACTTAAAAGTTATGAAGTCTTAATATAACCTATGACAGACCTGATCTACTGTCTTGAGTGATAATTTTGAGTACCATAGGTTTAAAATCTGTTCTACATTTAGCCATCGGTATCTTTTATATGATAAATTTTGTAGGCGACTGATGTTTCATACTTTCCACCGGGGTCCCTGACATCCACTGTTTTTAAAACATCGTGTTTGTTTTTTCGGTCAAATGAAGGTATGAGTGCTAATGATTATCACTGACTGGCTCTCCACTACACGAGTTTGTTAGTATGCATATCTAGCATTACCAGAAGTATTTTAATCCAGCACATCCTATTAGCAGGAATGGGAGGCAAAGTGAAAAAAGCCTACCGTTCAGACATGTGGTGGTAGTAATTTAGTTAGATACTAGTTACCGATTTACATCTTACTCGAAGTGATATATAGTAGTGGTGTATTAAATGGTTACTGCAGAATGGTTAATTTTCTTAGTGTAATTAAATTCGTCCTACGCGTTAACGTCATCATTGACAAATTGATTGCCTGCTCAGCTATTCTTTTCATCAAGTGAGACAAAATTACTCAAGTTTTCTGTTAATAATCTCTTCCATATCCATCCAAAATAACTATCATTTTAACTGGAAAATATAGCAACTAAAGTGTACTCGAGGTAAGTGCATTAAAATTGTTATCGGCACGTAATGTATGACTCAAAGCATTTCATCTACAGCTTTTTACTCATTTACTATTAGCTTAGCGTAGGTATTTGATTTTCAGTCGATAAATGATTGGTTCAAGTCCCACTCCACCTACTTTTGACCAGCCAGCCTTGTAGTATCATCATCCCTCAAACAATAAGTGTGGCTTTTAGCTTGCTACATGAAAAACCTGTCCGGTGTCATTGAGTCGAAAAATGGATTAGCTTACTTTTTTTTTAATTTTATGATTATATTGTTCACTACTTTAAAACTTCCCAAACTACTGTCTGTCTTTGTCTCTAGGGAGCTGATATGTTTTAAACGTCGTGCTGCTGCTGCTGCTGCCGCCGCCTCAGAAGTGGGTCTAAAGTCAGGTCCAAGGGTAAGCTCTTCTCATATTTTCATCTAAATAAATGACTATTATGTTTTTATAGTATGAATAACTGTTAGCCTAGGCTCTTGCTAATGTCAATTATTATGGTCTCGTATAGATGTGTAGAAAATTCGACAGCTTATCTCAGTCAGCGACTGACTGTTTAGCTACTATCTTTTTTTTTTTTAAAAAAAAGAGATTTGGGTGTAGTTTAGCTGTCTGTGAATAGTTGTAGTCATTGGACATTTTCCATTATGCTACCTGCACTCCTAATGTGTTCATGGACCGATGCCGTGTCCTTATTAAAAGGCCGTCTTTCATCGTATCACTCTCCACTGACTGTCTCAAATTGTTTTTCCTTTATATTCTCTTGGTTATATAAGTGTTAAGTTGCAAGTGTAAGCTAGTGTAGAGAATCTACGTAGTGCGTTTGTGTTACCTGATACCAATAATTCAACAGTGTAAAAAATTTCTTCTGAGGTATCAATAATAAGTGGCCTCTATATTTATAAGTTTCCAGACCGTAGATGTTAAGAATTTCCTGGAATAATCTGGGCGCCGAGTCAGACTGAATCACTGAATATTGAGGGTTAATAAAATCCGAATAATTCTGCTGTAGAAGCTGTGGCTTACACGGCGAAACGTTCAGGAAAAAATCTTGTTTCTAAATTTTTCTTAAACATGCTGAGATTATTTTAAATAACTTATAAGGCCTCTTTATTTGTTTGCCAACTAGTAGTAATTGTTATAAGGATATTCCAGGGTAGATTGTAAAGCCGTTGACTATTGATACATTCAAAGGTGTCAGCTTTACATGAACATAACTCACAATCTTAATTCAGTAGTAATTATACTGGATCTTTATACCAACCGAATAAACTTTAAAACGAATCATGTCTTCGTGTGATTGTCTCACTTTCCTAATTAAGGATAGTTTATTTTACAGGAATTGCTTATCGGTTGTCTCATAGTCTTTCCTGTATCGGATTACTGAGTTCTAACTGACCAGCTAAATGACAAACAATGTAATTGGACTTTCCTATTTGTTGATTAAAACCTATCGGTTGTATGTAGTAGTGTAGTCATTCAGCTAAGAGATACAACGTTTTAGCGCAGTTTTATTATCATATGAAGGGCAATGAGTTTACAGTTAAAACGCCTTCGACTTGGGTTTTTTCCCTTTAGACACAAATAATCAGGCTGCATTTGTCTTAAAGAAGCTTGTATCCTTTTTTCCGGGGGGGAGGATTTGAAACTTCATCACTCAAAGGCAGCATTAATTCCTTAGTGTTTAGGATACACCTTAGTAATGCGATACAACAAATTTGAAACCAACGTATGCATCTTGATTAGCTTCTTATATACAAAATCTTGTCGTTCTACTCATATTTATTTTGTTGTGGAATACAAATATCTTATTTTGTTTGTTTGACGTTTGCCAGGTTAAATTTCCGTCGAACTATTCATCGCCAAGTCCCAATACCAATTTGCCTATATCTGGATATAAAGGCGCCTTATCAACTAGTAATAATAATCATGTCACTAGTAGATATTCTTCAAATAAATCTGAAGATGAACTGGATGAATCTATTAGCTTACTGCAAACCGTTCCAGGATTAGCACAGAAACTGGAATTAGATGTTTGGTTACCTTCAGATAGTTCACAAAAAATGCATGCCAACGGAGTAAATATTTCGTATCGTAAGCAAAGACGTGCTGGTAAAAGTTTACATGTGGGTCCTGAACTTCAGGTAACCCCTATTCGAGGCGGAGATCTGGGCATGCATTTCAATTCAAATAATGGAGGTGATGAGAATGAAGATTCTGATCGTGTACGACCTGTTGAAGGGGTAAGAACTGTGCTAATAAAGTTTTTATTTTTAAACTATATACACTTACTTCATCGTTGTCAATTTCTTTACTTTTTCGTTCTGGTTATGCATTTTTTGTTACCACTATTCCGCTAAGTAATTCACTTCTGATAGTAATCTCATTGTCAACAATGGAAATATGCTTAAGTTACCGATTTGTTTGTTTATTCGATACACCAGTTGGTAGGTAATCCTATCTAAAGTGGAAATAGTATACAAATTTCTTGTACAGACCGAAAATCTAGTTTTTTTTTTATTACAGATAAGATAAATAAATAAATAAAATAAAATAATTAAATTCAATCCAGTCATGAATTTCCATTTTCATTATCACATTCATCGTTTATTTTTATTTTTAAATGTATAGGAAGTTATCGATAGTGAGTTAGCCATACATGGAGGCTATGCAGTTGTAACTTCTTTAGCTGCAGCTCCACCTAAAGAGATCTGTTATGTGTGTGGCAGTGGTGGTGGACAAGTAAGTCGATTTGTTTTTTTATTACCATGTTTTCACTTGTTCCCCTTTGTTTGTTTTTGTACTTCACTTGAATCCTTTTATATACCGAAAGATCAAATGCTTTTATGTCATTCTTCTTGACTTGTTTTTATCCCTTGGCTTAACCGTGTTGTTTGTTTGTCTGTCAGAGCTTTCATGTATTCTGTGACTTATTTTCTAAGCATTCTTTTTACACTCACTCATACAACATTATACCACTTGATGAGACAACAATTAAGGCGCTGATTACCCTCATAGGTGTTGTAAAATTTTTTCTGTGCTTTACACTTAGCATTTTGACTCGCTTATTTTTCTAACCGCACCTTAATTTATCTTGTGGATTTTCTTGTGTGTTTGACTCACAGCTATTTCATTCCCAATTTTAACAAATCTCTTTGTTTGTATGTATGTTTGAAATATTCTACTAAACCGCCTTCACTGAGTAGTCCGTTAAATGAGTGTGAGTCAACTGAATAATGATCCATACTTTTACTCGGTTACCCGGAATAGACTACAAGCCACAATTATTGTATGAATGCTGAGCAAGTTGAAGTGAGTGGAGGAGGGGTTCGAACCCGGGATCCATTGTTTGGAAATAATGTTTAAACCAGTAAGCGGGCCACTCTTCACCAAAACATCAGTCGTGTTAAACATTAGCAAAGCAGCACAGCTGGTATTTAGGGCACACTATAGCCTATTGGCTTGGGAACTTGACTTTCAAATGATGATTTCTTGGTTAGACTTCTGTTCGGCGTGCTTTGATCTGAGCAGTCGGGTAATAGAGTGAATTATCATACCAATTTATGATTGCAGACTAGCCAAGTTATATTTATTAATTTCAGTCTAAATTTCTACTGTATTGCGACAGGTCTAATATTCCATGACCTCGAGATGGGTTCGTAATAAAATAAAATCTTATTCATAATGGAGTTATACTCTACCACAGTGCCCAAGTTTTATACTTATATCAATAATACATAGGGTCCATAATGTCCTCAGTCTTGTCTAGTTTGTGCAAGTTCCAATATTCTCTAAAGTTGTTCCACTCGCATGTGTACAAGTAACATTGTTTCAAGTTCCCTGATGAAAGGTTAATAATTACCTTATCAACCAGAAGTAGTGTTTTCGACACTGTAGAAATTAGATGCTCAGTATGTTGATAAGCAATTTTGGAAATCATATATTTATGCCTAAACTGGGTCAGCAACTATATTCAAGTTCATATACGTGCTACATTTCAGGCTAGTGATGTTATTTCGATAAATAGAAGTGACTGGGCTTAAACCTCAGGATTCATTAGTTCGAAGTAGTTAGCCAAGATAACTGAGCTACGGCTTTTTGTGTATTCATATTGTAACGACAGAAGGCAAGCGTCAGGCAACAGATCATTTATTAAGGAAATCAACGCATATTTATATATATTTTCATGTACATTACTTTGGATATTTAAGTAAACAAACACAGTCTTCCGATTGGTTGTTTCTCACGTAAAGTTAATCTTTCATCTCTTGACTGACTGTTTCTTGAATGTCAAATCCTCTATATGTTAACTGCATCCGCCTACGCAAAGTATGCTATGGTCGGTTTTGAATCAATCTTTGTTCACATTTTCTCACGACAAATCTTGGGAACGTAAATATTGACGTAAATTACTGTCTACCAATTTGGCTAGTAGACAGCTCTCACCACAATATTACTACTAAGCACTGAAGCCTACAAGCATTCCTGTGTGCCATAAGACCTAATCAATATATTGATGCTTATGGAACTTAATATCCTATGGTGTTTAGTAGATAAGGGATTGAAGTGTCATAGATCCTATGAAATTTCATCCTTGTTTTATATTCAAATTGTGTTAGTAATTGGTTGATTTTTCAAGTGACTTTGAAAAGTCAGTGGAATTTTTTGCATTTATATGGCGTTTCAATGACGTGTTTGCAGGAGTTAAATTGTTTAGTACTTTTTCGGCACGTAACTCTCAGCAATATATACGTTTTAGTGACCATGGAGATGTGTACAGAATTCATAATATGAGCATTTGAAACAATGAATGAATACATGAATGGACGCTGTTTACTGATTAGTAATCAATTTAGTTGTTTATTCCTATGCACTATGGTCAAAATACACCAATGAAATGTGCAATATGATCAGTCTAATAAGTGACACAATATTGTCTGACGTTAGTTGGCAGTAGAAGATGTCACCTATGCATCAGCGATGAATTAAAGCTTACAACATGCTATTACAGTAATTGGTGTTGAATTTCATTCATAGGAGAGATAGATATTTGTTGTTCGTGAACAAGTGGAAATACTAAGTCACACGGTTTTTTATTTACATTTTTCTTTTATAGATGTTGTTTTGTGTATCCTGTGCTGAGCCTTTTCATTTTTATTGTGTTGAACGTCAATTCAGACCACGTAAAAAAGAATATTTTGTATGTCGAAATTGTACAACATGTAAAGTCTGCCGTCGTCCAGCTGCTGATTTGCGTTGTATACAGTGTTCCAGTGGTTATCATCCAGATTGTTTATCAGATTTTCCACCTTCTCAAACTAGTCAAAGAGGGAGTTGGGTAAGTTCAGTGGTATATTCCCCCCACCCCCATCCCCCAGTTTAACGTAGTTTATCGGAAATAATTGTTATAGTTAAATTTTGTTTGATATCCAAACCTTGTTCTTTACTGTTCTCTAGTGATAGGTTTGTTTTCATTGTGGACAGAAAAGGTTTTTCCGAACTTTAGGAATTTACCTTGGCTACCAGTGTTGATGGACTATAGACGGGTGATCGTCAATGCTTTCGAAAAATAATCGTTATCAAATAATGGGTAACTAGTCTAGTGGTCTGTTGTGTCTTATTCTACAACTGCAAAGCGTCGCTCTCAGGGGTTGAAAAGCAAGTCTATTGGTTTCTGACGAGTAAAGTTCTTAAAGCATTTTGTGCCACTAGCGAAATCATAAGTCACTTAGCGTACAGAATCAAAAGAATGCAATCCACTCAATCGGATTGTGAACCTTCACTAACTGAGAAGGTTAATATTTATTTTGCTCGTGCACAACTCCCATCTTTATCGAGGAGAAATACTAATTCAAGAAAGATTGGGTCAGCAGAAAATTGAGAACAGCTAAATCAATTAAAAACAAAACAATTCCAACAGTTGGTGTGATCACAGGCAGTAATTTTGCTCTAAATATTACCGAAAATAAAAAAAAAACAAAACAACTTATCATTGTGTGTACACTATTGAAATGTAATTATAACTTATTTGAACTTGAATCCTTCATTCAAACTAGTTGTAGTTAGGTAGCTTATTGATTCGGTTGTAATTATTAAGCAAAGTAATGCACACTAAACTTAAGTTTTGTGCAGTTTGCATAAAGATAATTCAATATATGCTTCACTAAGGTAATATAATTCCATTAAATACCCCTCTGTCACTGAAATGATTTAACATTCCACTGGAGGTATTTGGAAAAGCTCGGGTTCTAACAAAAACAATGGAATAATGCCTTAGAGTGATTTAGAAAGTTGTATGATTATATTTTTGTGTGCTTTGAGTGCTTTCTGTAACGATTGGATTGATTTCCCGGAGTGGGATGGTTTCGTCCCACGCACAACTTCCCTCTTTTTCCGGCTAGTCACTAGTTAACTAAGCGAGGTTTATTCAATATGATTATGCGGAACTAATTTTTACTCGGAATTTCATACAGTAGGTGATGTATCACTGTGTACTAAATTATTATTTAAAGAAAAAACTAACATGAAATTGCATGTCCTCTTTGTTTCCGGAATTTTACAAAATTTTGTTTAAATATTATGGAATTAAATAGTTTCACCACTGAGTAGGTGTTTTGTTTTGTATTCTTGTGTGAAAATTTAATTCCGATTTGTTCTTCTATTCATTATTTAAACTTAAGACGACTTTTCAGATTTTCTTGTATTCACAGATCAGGCAGACATTAATTCTCCTACTTCCTTGAAATTGTAGGCTTGTATAATAATTTTATCTGTTTTAAAAAAATATATATTTTAGACTTGTCCAGAATGTTCAGTTTGCCTGCATTGTGGAGTTAAAGCGTGTAAACCAGCTGAAACCACTGATGGTAGTGGTACGTCTTCAGTTCGAGGCAGTCATACAGCCTGGTCACACGACACGAACAAGTGTGCTGCATGCTGTCAGGCTGAATCTCAAGGTGATGTTTGTCCAGAGTGTGAGCGGGCTTATTTATCAACCGCCAAACAAATGATTCAGTGTGATAGTTGCCACCTTTGGATGCATAGAACTTGTACAAAGCTAACAGGTATTTATTTGTTGAGTTTTTGATGTGTTTTTGTTTTTGTTGTTGTTGAAATAATGTTCATTAGACTTTCAAAATGACTGTACAGTTTAAATTGTCGATTGTATTCAGCTGTGACTTACCACTACTAATACTGCCGTACAGAAATGATTATGCTTTACTTTTCAGCCTAATTTAAAGTTTATGAGTAGTGTGTTGTAAATCCGATTATGTAACACACAAATGTGATCTATGTTCTTCAGTGATGTAATACTATTGGTCATTATGCATGATCTTATTTCCTTTCAAGGTGATATTATAATAGCCAACCGTTATGCCTTTACTCATATTGATTTTTTCCTTTAGTGTTTAAGAAAACATTTTTATGTAGCTAAAAACTACTGACATTGTAAAATATATTTTTCTTCCACAGTTGATGAATATGAATTCATTACCAGGATGCCTGTTGGACAGTTGAGTAAATTCGTTGTTACCTGTTCCGTATGTCAAAAAGAACAAAGATCTCAGCAAAAATCCAATGTTTCCCGTAATAATAATAATCCTAATAAACAGAATGACTTTACTGGACAAAGTACAAGTGAATCGAGTGAAGATAGTGATGATAATGATGAAGGTGTGGAGTCTGCAGCTAGTGGTGCACAGCAATTACGACTTATAGCACAAGAAACACTTATGGAAAGAATGTCTAGTTTAGTACAATGTTGTCGTAAATCTATTAGTATTGATTACAATGCTGGTACATCAATGAATTCACCATCTTCCGTTTTTTTCCATAGTCCAACAGCTAGTTCTATTGGGAAATCTTCAGGATTATGGACTAATGGAATTGATAAAGATGAGCATACAACTGGACAGTGTCTTCCGCAGGTATGTTTACCTTTATTGATACTAATCCATTTTTATTTTTCTTAAGTTATTTTTTTCAGTATGATGATAATTACACACGGGTCATTTGAGAAGTATTCCTACCGGTTCTTTTACTTTACGAACTTTGGTTATCCTGTATGAAACTGTTGACTTTGACCTATGCTTTATCTTCAGTGAAGACTAGTGAAATTAATTCTATATTGAGTTCTAGGCAAGTAGATTGTGAGTAGTAATAAGATTCCGAGTGATGGTTGATATACCATTCCTTCCCTCCCATAACTTGGGCATCTATGCAACTGGATAGCACCATAAGCTTCACACTCAGTGGAATTTATAGCCAATAATTTTGAAGGTGAACCAAGCAACAGTAAAAGGGCAGTACAACAGTCAAATAACCTTGAACCAGCCAATATGCTCCTAGGTAGTATAACAAAGTATGTTTTCTGAATATATGTATAACAGAAAGGAATTAATTACATAGGAGGGTATATGTCTCTAATATATTGTAAAAAGCGGTTTCAGTTTTCCATGAGTGACTATAGTTGGTAGACCAGTTAAAGGATCGATTACTTCTGATGAATGATTGAATTTATGCTGAATATAACCTAATGGTGATAGTCACATTGCTTAGCATTTCAAATGAATGCTGCTCATAATCATCGTTACAGGTTTTGCTCTAACCTCAACCATAAATCTATCTTAATCTTACCCTAACCCTAACCCTGAAACAGAGTGAAACTTGCAATGAAGATTGTGAAAGGTATTCATTTGTAATACTGAGCGATCTGATTGGTTGATTCAAGATTGTTCGGTTATGGTATCTATCCGATTACTTAATTCTGCATAATGTGTTGCTCAGCGTATTGTAGTACTTTCGAAATCTTTCATTCATGATCATCAACTAGGTTACTTGATCAGAAATTTAAATGTAGCTTAGTTCGTTTTATTAAGGTGAAGTGAACTCCTGTTATGAACTTGGTTTTGAAAAAAGCAGTGAGAAACATTTTAAAGTTTGCGTTTATAATTAAGCATTCGTTATTTATATTTTTGACATTTATATCTCTTTATTTCACTAATGTTTGATTTTTACCTACAGTGTGATGGTTTGGTTGAGTCTGACTCTGGAGACGAGCTGACTGCTGCAGTTGAAGCTGCTGCTTCCTTATGGGACCCTACAATGGAGATCTCTAATCCTATTCCTGCCAATTCTGATCCTTTATCTTCAGTTACTATAGACAGTCCTATCCATCCTGATAAGTCATCGTGTGAAACTGTTCTTGATACTTTTAGTGCCTCAGGAATTCCTTCAGATGCAGTCAGTGAGTTATCCCATTCAACCTCGCAACCTCTGCAAACAGACAATTCTTTGTTAACAACACCTGCGGATTATGTTAGAAACTTACATAATGCAGTTGCAGATGAAACACCTATTTCCCATAATCAACCATCTCAACTTAGTGTTAATACTTCATCATCTAAAAATGAATCTAACTTGGTACATTCAACTGCTTATCCAAACCGTAGACGTTACAGTTCCTCGAGTTCATCAAGTTCACGTCAATTTGTTTTCCCAAACCCACCAATCAATGCACACTGGCTTGTCGAAAAAGAATCAGAGCCCATATGGACTACTCCTGTATGTCAATCCTTTCCTATTTTTAATTTTTTCTGTTGTTAATATTCTGTGACATTGAACGATACACGGTTTGAGTAAATTTACTGAAGCATTGTATTTCTTAATTTATTGAGTTAACTGTTGGAATTTTGATTCAGCGGTATAAGTAACCAACTAACCGTCTTCTGATGACATATTTAGACATTGTTTCTTGCTATAAACGAAGTTTTAACATTTAACTATCACATTTGTTTGTCATCTGTTATCTGGTGGGAGGAAATTATAACGCTCTAGTGTGTTATTTTAATTGGGCTTTCTGTATATCATCTCTAATTTGAACTATCCGTAAAATATCATACTTAAATTTTCGATGCAAATGGTGCAATTGGAATTATGTTTTTGCTTCTGAGGTTATTTGGTGGGCTAACAGAATAGCACTAGTATAGCTAATGCTGGATTTCACCAACCAACAACAACAACTCTTTTTAAGTTCTCTTATTGCTTGGGTGCCGATACTGACCTGTAAATATCTCACTAAAGCTACGCTTGTTATCTGTAGAGATTATGACTCATTGGCTTGAATCCTTGATTTGCGGTCAAAGGATTCTGGTTTCGAATCCCATGTCAACGGTTGCAAAGTGGGCAAGTGAGTAGTATCACCAGCCCTTGCGTACACAGTAAGTGAGACCCATTACTCTGTATATAAAAAAAAAACTTGTTCCTGGTTTTTAACTAACATATGTTATATTTAGTCTAGTCTGCTAGGTTCTGTATAATCCAGTAAGATATCCAAGTGCAATAGATACGAAAGTTTAACTTTTGGGAGAATAGTTTTTTGCTTAGCTTGTAATCGATATTGGTATTTTGAGTTCCTGGTTTGTTATGCTATTCCCAGTTGTGTTGTTATACAGTAGGTATTATGTTATACATTGGTCTTAAATTAACATTTGTAAGCATGTACTTTTATTTAGGATTTCTTAGTCAACTAATCTCATCTTAAGAAGTATCATCTGTAATGAAAAGTAGCCTGCCTTTTATATATATCTCTGCCTGTAGATCTTAGTACAAAATTAAATGCTATTTTTCTCTTCAGCTGCTACTTCAGTGAAATATGAAATAGTATTGATATATTATATAATTATCACGTTATAAAAAAATTAGTGTTTTAGTTTACCCTGAACTTAATGTGATCATAATTGACAATCTCGAGTTTGTGGTACTGGGGAGATAGCTTTTAACCGTGAAAAGATTTATTGGAGTTTACTTGTAAAAGACTCGAGGCATTGAAGGTCATCATTTACTAGTAGCAGATCCTTGCTGATCGAATGTGAATTTTTTTTATTCCTTCACGTTCCCAGTGGAACATCGGGCTTCAAGCTAGAGTCTTGAAGTTTCTGTAGCAGTGTCTATTTTTACAGGATGGGGTTGCTAGCCTCATGCCTAACCTTTCCTCGTCACCAGTTTTTATTTCTGGCTTAGTGAGGTAAAGGAGTGCGCCGGCCAGGGATCGAACCCCGGAACATGTGCATGGTCAGCGAGCGTCCTAACCGCTATGCCACCGACGCGATCGAATGTGAATACAGTTTATAAAAACAAGATAAAAGAGAAAAAAATATGCGTTTATCCTCCCCTGTTTTTCTTTTGTATAAAACTTTCTCTTTGTATTTTGCCTTTTTAGTATTATTGTTGTCACTATTTATTCATCGCCTATAAATCATTGTAAAGAATTATTTATTTGTGTTTTTTCAAAAAAAAATAATTTTCTCTAGCGTTCGTTGCTTTATCGTCTACTGATAAGAATTCTTCAACGTTTATCTTTGCATCCGGTCAGTTCTACAACAGCTGTTGCATTGAGAAAACTTCTTCGATGGCTTTCCACTGTAACAGAGAGCCTCTTCCCATGGCATAATATTAATGACATGGCTAGCGATGGTAGGTGGATTATTCAAGTGACATTTTTCAATCCTTCCGTCTTTTTTTAATCCTTATTCGTAGGATAAGCACCTACTCACTAGATATGCATCTTGGTTTTTCAATTTGGTGGACAAGATAGTTTTAATATAGTTTTTAATACACACAGTTGGTCATTTCAGATATAATTCTTGGTTAGTAGTTCTACATTTCCGCTGTTTCCAGTTTCTAACTTGTTTGACAAACAAACCTGAAAAGAAATTTACATAGGGATGTTTTCCTCCAATTTTCTGAAAAATGCAAAAGAAAATGGAAGTATAGTAATACAAAAATGCTTAACATGTCTTAGAGTGAAAATAGTGAAATAAAGGTTAGTGAGAATATTGTGGATTTCGATGATACAGTTTGAATACTTTTGCATAGTTTCGAACAATTTTAATCCTTATCACTAAGGCTCTTCAACCACCTCCTTGGGTAGCCCAAGGAGACAGCCTACAGCTAATATGGGGATACCAGTATATCTATGCCCCATATGGATAAAGGGTTAAGACCTAATCAAAGTATTCCCTTTCATTCTTAGTTTCTCAAGTCTGTTTCCCCAAGTCCTACCAGCCACTAAATAACCGTGGATTCTAAGACTGTAGGTAATGTATTCGTGAAGTGATTTTCTTGCGATCAGTACAGGAAGATTTTTATCTTTTTTGTGCAGCAGTGTGATCAGCGGTCTATATAAGCCTGATGGAATTGCTTGATTCAACGTATTGAGTAGTACTAGCAAATATTTCTTAAGAACTATCATTTCTAATGTGAAAAGAGGGCAAGGTACCTACAGATTGGAAGAAAGTCTACCTATTCAAACTGCTAAAGAAAGGAGACGTAATGCAAGAACTGGCGCGACATTATGCTCCTGTCTAACCCAAGCAAAATACTAAGCCGCATCTTCCTACATAGGTTTTTTGGCTTCCGTCGTTTTCAGTGCACACAGAGTGAAGAGGAAGTGAAGAGCCATTAAGTAGAGGAGTTGCATTAGTAGAAGGAAGGCAAGATAATAGCGATGAAGATGAAGACAAAGATGAGTGAGGATTAGAGAGGTTTCGCGTGCACTTCGGATTGTGAGGGCGATTGTTACTTCCCGGTTGCCCACACCGTGGAAGTTGGTTGCGTGACCGCAGAGCCCAGGGGACAACTGCTTGAGGCCGGTCACACACGGCCTGTTTTTGTTTGTTCTTTTTTTATTTGATGTGTCTCAGTAGCATATTTATCACTTCTGCCCTGTGACACGGCAGCAAGAAGCGCGGTCGTTGTTAATCCGGGCCCCGACCGATCCGGCATGATATTTTGTGATTTATTTGGAGTCATAGGATTGGATTGGGTAACTGCTTTTAGTCTAACCGCTATCCAAACAACCTTTCTGGCATGGTAGGACCTACAGGAACATAAGTTCCAGCCAGTATCATCATCCTACAGAGAATCAAACACTCCCTGGATGAAAAAATTCGATCGGAACAAGCTAGATTCAGGAGGAACAAGTTATGCATTGATCAAATCACAATACTACGTATCATCGTTGAACAGAACTTGGAATGGCAGTCACCTCTCTATCTCAACTTCATTGACTTTGAAAAGGCATTCGACAGCGTCGTTCGAGAGGTGATTTGGCAACTACTTTGCTATTACGGGGTGCCGCCAACAATTATACACTTCATCCGGCAGTTGTACGACAATGCTGCATGCCAAGTAATCCACAACGGGAAACTCACTGAATCCTTAGAAGTGAAGACGGGAGTAAGACAAGACTGGCTGGCTGCCTACTATCTCCAGTGGTTTTCATTACTGCAGTATATTGGATAATGCGACAGACAGTGGGCAATGAGGAGATAGACATAAAATGGATCCACACAAAAAACTTGGAGGATCTGGACTTCGCCGATGATATACGTCTGATTTCCCACAAATTGGAAGGTATGGAAGTGAAAAGCAACAAGTTGGCAGAAGAAGCATCTAGAGAAGATAGGACTTCAGGTGAACATAGAGGAAACAGAGGTAGGTGATGAAGATTTCTGGCCAACAGCAACAGCAACAACAAAAAGAGACAACAATCAGCCAGTATAAATGGGAGAAATCTGGAAGAAACAACCTTTACCAACCTGGGAAGCATCGTTTCAACTAAAGGCGGACAGAACTGATGAATATATCAAGGCGAGGATCAGTAAAGCAAGACAAGCTTTCATTACTCTGAAGTCTGTGTGGAGATCAACAGCACTCAGCATGAAAAATAAGACCCGGATTTTCAGCTCCAATATAAATTCAGTGGCTACTATACGGATCAGAAACTTGGTACCGCGTCATGAAGGTCACTTCGAACAAAATGCAAACTTTCATCAACAGCTGTCTTCGCTCAGTACTCAAGATCAGGTGGCCAGAAAAGATCAGAAACAGGGTTCTCTGTCAATGAGCGAACCAACCCAGCAGGAACCAATTGTGCAACAAATATGCAGGAAGAAATGTTGGTGGATTGGCCATACTCGGAGAAAACAAAACATCAAGTGAGTGGCATCACACGCCAGACTATCGCTCCAGCTGAACCCGAATGGGAAGCGGCGAGTTGGTGGTCAGTGCGAGGGTGGGGTGACATGGAGGAGGTGATGCGAACAGGAGATGAAATCATGTGGACAAACGTGAAGCCAGGTGAAAACGTTGTCGGAGAACCAAACGCAGTGGAGACGTGCGGCTGAAGCCCTATGTTCCTCTAGGAACTAAAGGAAATAATAATAATTTCTTATACTTAAAGATGATCATCAGATCTTGCTACTTCGTCTTTGTGTAGGTTAAGGAGCCTTCAAACTCTTAGTTTTTCTAAACATTTGCTATTTCTAGCATATAGTAAACGCCTTACGGCGGATCTGGACAAGTGTAATCATGCGATAATCACTCACATATGTGGTAAACATTTAAGGACTTAATGTTCCATTTCTACGAATGGTTGTATATACATACATCTTTGTATATATTCGCAAAATAATAAATATAAATCTTTTTGCTTGTTCATTTCCAGTTCGTGATATTTTACGTCAACTTGATGGTAAATTCAGTGAAGTCATGAAACATTTTCATGAGCGTGCTTTAATTGAACTTCACGAATTGATTTGTCCAGTGATAGCTAGATTGAATGAAAATTGTCCATGTACTCGAAATCCATCAACCGGTCAAATGGTTTATAGTGTACAAAATATCGCTGCATGTTATTCACGCATTCAAGAACACTTAAAAGAGGATCATCCAAATTATGAGTTGAACGAATCAATAGAAATCAATTCTTTAGAGTATGCCAAGCGATATTTATCTATATGTAAGCGTTCACGTTGTCGGCGTCCGCATGAAGTGGAAATGTTAGAACAAATGAAACAAACTGCTAGAGATGATCGATGGATTGAACATTGGTCGTCAATTGAAGAGAAAAGTCAGTTTTCTGACTTTTTTTTTATCTTTCTGTTCATCACCATAAAAATGACGTGTTCATAAGAATTTAGTTTTTTACTTTTGATGAAAACCAGATGCTTTATTATTACTTTACTAGTTGTGATCAGTGAAATAATTACTATCGATTTACAAGTTCAGATTACTTCCCACATTAGTCTTTAGCTGATATAAAAAAAGGCTAGGGATACAGATCATATAAACTGGAAAGATTCTTAGAAAGTTGCTTCAGATTTTTTTTCAGAAAAACGATTCCCTCTGATCATTATCATTCATATTCTTTATCCTTACTGGATATGATTACATTCCAGATATAGCACCTAGGTGTGTATAAAATTCCCCTTGTAGGTTAGTGATATAATAACTATCAAGTATTGGTCTGTAGGGATTTGATTAGTTACACGATTAATCACGAGTTGACTCAGTTAGAGAACTATTGGAAACCAGGGAGCCCAGGGCAGACATTTCGTCCTATTTCAAGACTCTTCAACAGTACACACCCATCTGGGTTCGAATCCAGGACCTTTCAACCACAAATCAGACTTGTAAACCGTTCAGCTCAAAATCAAACCTGTAACCAATCAATTTCTTGTGAACTAACACTTGATAAATAATTTGATGCTCGCTTGAGACTGACTGTATACAGAAAGTTACCTGGGTTTTCAGTCAGAAGTTGTGACTAGCGGGGTTCACTAGGTCACGTACAAAAAAGCAGCTTCACCCCAGTGACATTGACTTGCGATTGAGCTAAATATTACGAATTGGCAGGAGTTGGAATACGTGCGCCGTTGGGCCAGGTCCCAGTGTCTGAATTGGTTACGAACTCGTCTTGTAACCGGAAGGTTCATGAGTCCGAACCCCAGTTGGTGCCTACCACTGAAGAATCCCAAAGCAAAAAGAGGCAGTTGTTCAGTGCTTCCTGGTTTTCAATGGTTCTCTTGTGGTGAGAGCTGGCTTCAAGCCAAAAATTGTAGACAGCGATTTACGTCAATGTTACGTCCCGAATCGGGGTCATGAGAAAGACAATAACAAAGCTTAATCTTGAAGAGCTCACCAACCAACCACAGCAGGCTTAACTTGTGCAAACAGGATCCGCAGATGTATGGCTTAACTGTCTGAGGAACGGTCACAAGCACTACAGAATAACCTACAGCAAGAAAACAACCAATCAGAAGACGTTGCTCCCCCGCTGACAACAATGTACATAAAAATCTATAAATACCTCTTGATTTTCTCAATAAATGATCTGTTGCCTGGCCCTTGTCTTCTATCGTTACACTCTAATTGATATCAGCTTATGATGAAACCGGTAACCAATGTAATTACTCCTAAATCAGCGTTTAGTAGACTTTAGTGATTATATTAGAAAGAAATAATCTACTTGATAGCATTGTAGTGCACCTTGAATGTTTTGAGTTTTTGTTTTAACGCATACATGTACGATGGCACCACACCATCTTTTTTGCTTGGGTGCTTTCGTTTTTTTTGTTTTGGCGCTTCCACTGTGTGCTGGTAACACGCTCATTTCTTGGAGTCCGTAGCTCAGTCACACTTGCCATATAAGTCCTAAAATCTTCCCCCTTAATAACCTTACCATTTATATTCTGCTTAAATATATTGCTCAGTAGAGTATCCTGCTAAATAAATGAGTCTCTCGATTCTTGTCTGGTTATCACTGCGTACAAGTCAGATAGCGTGCTGATTAAGTGATAGTTAGGCTCATTACGTTTAGTGAGGCTGTTGTAGTTTGATATAGTAATCACTGCAACTACTTCCCTTACACCATTATCGTCACTATACACACACTCATATTTCAATTAGAATATTTCTCATTGTTCTTAATGCTTGTTAATGTGATGAAAACCTCGGTAATTGAAGCGACTGGTTTTTATTGCTTTTAAATTATATTAAACCAGTAGTAATATGAAGACTGTGATGGCGAGATAAACAATCTATTTATAAACATTCAAGTATTTGGGAATCACATTATTGTTATTTTGCCGAGGTAAAGAATAAGAAGTATGATTACAACAAGACATTGCCATAATCATTATGTAAATGAGTTTTCTAGGCGCATAGCATTTATTATTATATTGTTATTGTTCCCTTGGGTTCCTAGTGGAACATAGGGCTTCAACTGCACGTCTCCACTTGCTTCTGTCTTCTGCTGTACTTTTCACCTGCATCCATGTTAATCCATACTGTTTCAACTCCTCTTCACACGATCTCCTCCATGTCACCCTTGCACTGACGTCCCACTCGCCGTTTCCCTTTCGGGTTCCACTCGAGCTATGGTCTGACGCGCGATGTCACCCAGCGGCTTCGCATAGCATTTAAACAACTGTTAAATAGCCATAAGTATCTAGTTTTCGTTTACAAGAAATCGCATAGACAATGGTTCCTCAACAACAGTCATATTTTTCGCTCTTAGTCTTTTCAGTAAAAACTTATTTATTTTACACTAAATGATATAGTTGTAAAATCTATGTTGTTTTAATGCAATGTAGTCGTTTTTTAAACGCTTTCCTAAGCCTTTGCCTATAGATTAGATCTCATCTGTTATTATGATTGTCTTTTTGTTATTTGTATTATGTTATTTTATATTACTATTATTTTATTCTCTTACGTTCCCAGTGGAACGTAGGGCGTCAGGCTAGAGCTTTGAAGTTTCGATAGCAGTGGTATTTAATTTTTACAGGATAAGGTTGCTAGCGTCATGCCCAACCTTGCCTCTTCACCAGTCTTATTACTGGCTTAGCGAGGTTAAGGAGTTCATCGGTGGCCGGGGATCGAACCCCAAACCACCCAGCGCGGTTGGCGAGTATTCTACTGCTCTGCTGCCGATGCACACAAAACACAATTATACAATATACACGTCAAGAAAGCCAAAGAGACAAGCGATACGTCCTTACATGATTCATATCTACTGAAAGTAGATACGAATGCAACCACCATGTAAATAACCAGAAGACACTTAGATATGCTCTGCATTTCAATAAAGTTCAGTAGAAAAGAAAATCACCGAAAGTCTTTATTCCTGAACCGATATTTTATACTGATACATCTTACAGCCACTACATCATTTGTTTCATTCATTTGTTTTATCATGAGCCACAGAAATCAGTGCACGCAGCTTAATTTCAGTGTACATGAACCCCAAACCATCTAACGCGGCTGGTGAGCATTCTACCTCTGTGCCACCGACGCCAACTGTTATTTGTTTTAGTATTTAACCTATCATTCATACACTAGAAATTTTCTCATTCGTGTGTGCACAGTCTAAACAATTCACTTAACTGTTTATTTCCTTCGTTGTTTTTTGTTTTTGTTTGTCTAGTGGTTGTGGAAAAGTTTCAAACTCAATTACTGAAATTGTACAAGACACATCTTCTTGAATCTGAACAACTACCGGAATCAATTATTCAAGCTGTCCTAGGTAAAAAGTGCGAAAATACTAGTCATCCTTCTTCTTCTTCTTCTGCTTGTAATCTACAACAAATTGATTCCGATGATCGTGAATCAACTCAATGCGATTCGGAAACTCCTCCTGTAAACAATGATACCGTCGAATCGTCAAATCAAGAAGCTGACAATAAGGTGAAAGTGAAGACTGAAAGCATTGGTGAAAATATACATGATTCAAATATAGCCACACAATCACAATCTCTGGAAGTTGCTAATGATACAAAACTACGCACTTATGCACTAATTGATGGAGGACGTTTTTATTTCGCTTCGGATAAATTCTGGAAGCAGGATGAATTGGGAAAGCATCTTATTTTTGATGGTCGTGTTCCCCTGCTTCATTTTGTCGACATAGATGACGATGTTGATTTACACCCTAAGATGTTTGATGATGTCCTGCAGGGAAAATTAAATGATAATGAAGAAGATTTAAGGCGTTGTTTGTTATGCGGTTATCATGGAGACGATAATATCGAAGGTCGTTTATTGTATACAGGATCAGATACTTGGGTAAGTATCGCTGTAGTGTAACGAGTTTTTCTTGCCAATCAGCCTTACTTAGCATCGTTTTAATTTCTCTCTTAAAAGAGTATCCCATTTACGTTCTTTAGGGCGTATAATTCTAGAATTCAAAGATTTACTACAATACCATACTTTGAATATTTAACTAAAATTTGATTGGGATTATTTCTAAACAATCTGACTTCGAAGGTGTGGCACTTGACTTTCAGCCAGTTGGGCCTGGGTTCAAATGTCACTGCACATACTTCAGCCTTGATGCTAACATTAGTTTACAATTTAAGCATGGCTCATAGCGTGATAGATTAAAGATTTTCATAGTAGATTTTTCATATAATGTAACTACATGGCCTACATTTTCACACTTCGTCTTGTTAAGTCTGTTTGTCCTTATGCTCAGTTGAACGTCTCAAAAGGGAATTGCATCACTTAATGGAGTAGATGCAGTTTATTAGTGCAAATCCGCATATTGGCACCTCATTAAAACTATCTGGAGATTGTTCTTTTCATCTCAGACTGGATTCATTCTCCCAACATTTCTCCAGTTTAAAGCAGTTATTATTAGACGACGTTTTGTCCAGTTCTTATCATGTTGGTGATGGTTGTTATTGAAATTGAGTGTTGTAAACTTGTATTTTTTCATTTTCCCATTTTAAGGTCCATGTGAATTGTGCATTATGGTGTAATGATGTCTATGAAGAAGATTCTGGTGAGTTAATTGGCTTATCAGATGCCATCCGTCGAGGCCGTTCTAGCAAATGTGCTGATTGTGGTAAATATGGTGCCACTCTGTATTGTTCAAATATGAAAACTGATGTTTGCCCTCTATCTTCATTGGTTCAATCCAATGATAACGATCCAGATTGTTTGGGAGCTGTACATTTTTCCTGTGCCTTAAGACGACGCCCTCCGCTACCAAAATGCATTTTTACTGCTGATCGTTCTTGGTTCTGTTCTCTTGTGTGCCATCAAACAGCCGTGAATCGACGCCTAGCTGAAGCTTTACTTTCTTTGAAAAAAGCATCTAAGACAAATCGTGATCGGAAATTTGGCTATCCTGAATCAATGGATGATCAGTCGTCTGATGAAGAAATGTCAATTGATGCAATCGATCCTGCTGATTTTGTCGACCACCCTGCATTCCCTTCAATCGAAGGAGCTGTTGCTGATGATTTGGAGGTATTTCGACTATGTTTTCAATCATATGTAATAATTTTTTGGATCGATGAGGCATAGAATTATGATCGATAAACTTTCGTCACTCATTTTTCTTAACTATACACTTCATGATCTAATTTCATTTACACTTATATCTACTTCGGTTCGCCGGTAGTACTCAATGTAATTATTTATGTGTGCGTAATTATTATTTTATCATTTTCACTTAATCCAGCTACCTACCAGAGAGCATATTTACTGTGCAGTAGTTCAACAACACCCTTCTTGTTTCCTGCCTTGTTAAACAAAGACCTTTGCAATCACAAGTTGTAGAAAGAATAGGATGTTTTGACCATAGTTACTTTCCTTCAATAAAACATTAAGACTAGGTATACAATTTCAAGTGCATCTTGGCTTTTGGTGGTTTTCTAGTTCATTACCGATATTCTAAATTATTCTATCCGTATTATTATTTTCACTGAAAACATTCATATGTATTTCTAAATTATTTACGAAATTTGTATTAGGAACAGATTTATGAAAATTATCATTAAAACAGCCTTCTTTGGTTTACAGCTGATTTATGCATTTGCTATCCATTATTTTTAATATATTTATGCGTTGAAGTTTCTGTAGCAATTTGGTTAAGTCTTGGGAGTGGAGTTGCTAGCGCCACGCCCCAACCCTCCCTCGTTACCCGGGCTTGGGACCGGCTAGAAAACTAGCGAACTAGTAATCTAGGCGAGGTCAGAAACTTGGCGGGTCACAAAGAATATTTCCAACAGGTTGCAGACCTTTTTCAACAACTGTTTTCGCTCTATACTGAAGATCAGATGGCCGGAAAGAATCACCAACAAGAAACTATGGGAACAAACAAAACGAGAACCAATCGCCCAACAAATATGCAAGAGAAAGTGGAAATGGATTGGACACTTGCTGAGTAGGCCGCTGGGTGATATTGCGCGTCAGGCCAGTGCTCGAGTGGAACCCGAAAGGGAAGCGGCGAGTGGGACGTCCAAGGGTGACATGGAGGAGATCGTGTGAAGAGGAGTTGAAACAGTATGGACTAACATGGATGCAGGTGAAAAGTAGAGCAGAAGACAGAAGCAAGTGGAGACGTGCAGTTGAAGCCCTATGTTCCACTAGGAACCCAAGGGAACAATAATAATATCCATTATTTCGAAATACTGATATTTAGATACTGGAGTGTTTATTGTGTGTTAAAAAGTTAAATGAACTGAAAGTTTTCTACATTTTTGTTGCTTTTGAATATTGTATGTAGATTATTTTGTTATTCATCGTAACTTTGTATATTAGATTAGGTTTTCTTTGAATTAGTTGTGCTCTCTGAGCCCGGGTTGGTTTAATTGCGATGCTTTCGTCGTCCTTATGGACAACATCTTCAGCGCAAGTTTTACCATAAAATGAACTGATTTACATTCGCCATGAATGATAGAATTATGCCAAAAGCTTGCGCTGAAGATGTTGTCCAGAGGAGGACGACGACGATACAGCTCAGAGAACATAACTAATTGCAAATCACCCACCTGAGCTACAAATCTTCTCTATTATTTCAGATTAGGTTTTTGTATTTATGATTTCATTTTCAGTTTGCAGTGGGAAATTGAAACTAGTCTAATTTATTTTACTATTATTTTTTTTGCATCCCATTCTTTTTATTTAGCCGATTGGTCTGGGTGATTTACTTGTTTGTCGTCGAGTATTTGTTGCCTCTGATTGTTTTGCTGCATCAGTTTATCCACAATCGTTAAGTGGAGATCTTATTACAAATACTTTTCTTATGAGTGATGCAGAGCATGCTGAAATGATGAGAGCAGCAAAAGAAGCTGTATCTACACTTGCCGTTTCACCGAATTCACTTGCTTTCCTTCAAAATAATGGTCTTTCTGCAAATAGTCTTGTCATCACGATAGGATCTTTGAGAATAGACAGATTAGGTGAAGTTCGAGAAGCATCTGATTCTTTGGCCATGGCTAAATGGATTCCAGGGTCGTCTGAAGAACGTACTAATATCACAAGAAGCAATTTCTTGTGTCCTATAAATTATCGGTAAGTTTTTCCAGAGTTAGTCACTGTACAAAGACACTCTCTATTTATAATATTGTGGTACTTTGATTGCAAAATCAAAGCATTTATTTGATAAATCCGAATATAGTAAAATATAGTGGTATTTAGAATTTGACATAGGATATTATTCAACAGTAAAGGCTGTACTCGTCAGAATTCATCAGCAGACCTAATTCACGTAGATACTGGATGACTATCTTAGTCTGAAAACTCATTAGAGAAATTAGTTACCACCCAGTAATCAGTTTGAATTTGAAATATCAGAAATTCATTTCATTACAGTATAATTTATAACAAATATGCAGAATGAAATAAAGATGGATTTGAACACACACTGAGAACACTGATGAGTGACGGCCTGTCACTTCAGTGGAACCTGAATGAGAAGTGAAAAGTTGGGCCTTCCAACGTGTTGGCATGGGAGAGAGATCATGTACTGCGAAAATGAAAGCATACGGGCAGTCGTAGAACCGATGGCATGTGCGTCGGTGGCATAGCGGTTAGGACTCTCGCCGACCATGCACATGGTCGGAGGTTCGATCCCCCGCCGACGCACACCTGATATCTATGGTCGGCCTGCTAAATTTGGGCTACCGATATCACATGCTGAAAATTTCATACCTGTACCAAAATACTGTGTGGAATCAAGCTATAATAAAATTTAAATTTAAAACGAACAGAGTAAAGTGGAGATATGCTACTGAAGTCCCTACACCACTTGGAGTCAAGGGATAAATGACCATAACATCCAGCAATGAAACAGATTTATTCAAGCGAATTTTCGCATTGAGTGTGCTCTAATCATGGAACTTAATCAGCTTAGAACCTTGTTTATAAGTGTATTGGTTACAGTTGATCAGTATAGAAAGAAGTGAATATAAGTAGAATCAACTTGATGAACCTTTGAGAATGGCTTCGAGCCGAAGGAAAATAAATCAGCTCAAACTTTTTTCTCCTTCACGTTCCCCAGTGGAACATAGGGCTTCAAGCTAGTGGCTTGAAGTTTCTGTAGCAGTGTTTATTTTACAGGATGGGGTGGCTAGCCTCATGCCCAACCTTTCCTCTTCACCAGCATTATTTCTGGCTCAGCGAGGTAAAGGAGTGTGTCCGTGGCCGGGGATCGAACTCCGAACCATGTGCATGGTCGGCGAGCGTCCTAACCGCTATACCACCGACACTAAGCGTTATCCACTAGACCACTTAGGTCACTGGTAGCAGAGCGTGGTTACGGTCCACGGACCTCTGGGTTATGGGCCCAGCACGCTTCCACTGCACTCAAACTTAGTATACTGAAATTTGAATGGCTAGTGGTAATCCTGTCTCCTGAATATTTTTTTTTCGTAGGGGGTGGGAGCAGTCGAATGGAAGGTAGTAGTGAAACAAAGCAATATTTCAGTGTCCGTGTGTGGGGACTAGTTACTACATTATAACTTCACTTCAATAGATTTTTCCGAGAATTAGCTTTTATTGTCTTGAATCACCAGTTGACTTGCATCAACTACACTATGCCCTATGCTACCTAACATTTGAGACATAGTCTTCCAAAGAGGCGTAGGTCAAGATAGGATCCTACATAGAAGTGTCGACTCAGGCTACTACTATCACTACTCTTCGATAAAGAGTAAAGAAATAAGATACAATAGCATATTAATGATTGATTTTGAGATATTTCATCAAGAGTTTGCAATCATATTTGGTCTTAGTAACCTGTGAAATCCGGCCGTGTAACCTACACCTCTACTTGGATCAGACTAGCCAGTCACTGATCTTTCTCAATCTGATCCTATATCAGTCAACATTGTTTGTTGAGGAAGGTGGTGGCTTGATTTGTGTAACACACTGTCCTAGTAATGGAGTGTGTTTATCCCTTTACAATATGATATGATGTGCAAAACGAAAATATTCTGATAATTGTTTATGCATTTTTGCTATGACTCATTGTTTTACGTATTCAAACATCACGCAGTTAGTCATTAGCTTAAATTCTTCGCTATCTACTTACTTACGTCTGATCAACCTAGTTAGTTTCATTATCCTGAACACAACAGTTATGTCTGATCACTAGATAGACAAGCATTTACGTGTGTTTTTTGAGTAATATTTCTGGTGTTATGATATGATTCAAGATTAATCTAACGGTTAATTTTACAGGGCATGTTTCTTTACTTCTATAAATAAATTTGTGTTGTTTTATCATTTTAAGCGCAAGAAGAATTTACTGGAGCTGTTCAAAACTTGATTCTCGCGTTCCGTATACTCTTCATGTAAGGCAAAACCAAGCAGCACATACATCGTCTGGTTATATGGAATCACATTCTACTCCACGTTTATGTTCTATTTTGAGCAGTACTCCCAACAAATCTAATTCCTTATTAAAAACGCCAATAGCTACTTCTACTAGCCAAACTTCAGGTCACAGGAGTCTTCGTCTAGTCAGTACTGATAGCCGTGTAAACATTCTGAAACCAGTGAATTATATATCTCCACCGCATACATATACTTCAGGTAATGTAATTCAAAACAGTGTCATCACTAGCAGTAGTAGTAATAATAATAATAATAACTATTATCATCGTGTTAAAAACAATACTATTCCCTCGTCTTCAGTTCAAGATGCTTCGAAAACTCTAACAGCTGTGTTGACTAACGCTCTGCCTATCGTGACCTCTTCAGTCACACTCATAAACAGCAATGAATCTACTGTTTTAATGAGTCATACTGGAGGTCATATTATTAACACTGTTACGTCTTATTCAACGATTGTACCAGTCAGCAATTTCCAATTTGTTAGTAGTTCTATAAACACCATTCCAACGAATCAAAGGCAAATGATTCAGTCGCCTTTTGTAAATAGTCAAAATTCATCTCTAAAAATAGTAAATGCTGGTAAGTTACTATTTAATTGGATCTGTTTTTCTTCCCTATCTTTGCAAGACCTACTAAGTGAGTATATTTTTTAACCAAAGGCATTTTTTATCCCACGTTTTTAACAGACGAAATCTGATTACCGGGTTATTATTATCATCATTATTTAAACACACCGTAGGATGCGCCACACGAAAAACAATTTAACATTTTATAGAGAAGAAACAGAATAAATAACTCAGGAACAACATCATGTGAACAAGCAAGCATTCAGAGGAGCTTTCATTACTTCATATTACTTTCAGAAAGAGAGGTTAGGAGGAAACGGCAGCATATTCTCCATAGATCATGATTCTTAACCATATTTGGCGACGCCTCAAGCCATTAATTCGGGTTATCTCTTAGACCCCACCCAGGGAGCCGTAATACACCAGCAAGTGCTAACCTACCACCATTAATATCCATCCTACAATACCATCATCTCATAGACTGACCTCTCCATCCACTTTTATCACTCCTTCTCAGGGCTAGCAAACAATGAACAGTATAGAAACCGTGGGGATGACATTTGTGGCACATGTCGAGACCACCAAAGCTGGTTTTTCAAGATGTCAACATTTATTGAAAGACGACCTCCATAGTGTCTAGACACGCCAACAGATCTCAAAGTTACCTACATAATGATGTCACCGGATGCAATCAGTTCTACAGAGGCAGCGGTGATCGCATATTCTCAGCTCGGAGCGCCCAGGTTTCACAGGTGTAGAATAAGGCCGCGCACATTAACATTGTAGGCTGGACCTTTGACGGTTAGGTTGACATTACGACCGAGAGGGGAATAGCTTGAGTTGTCATATGCCGCCTTGGTTTTCACTATGCAGTTAGAGATCTCATCCGTCACACCTCCAGTACTCATACGACTACCTAGATTTGCGAACTTGTCGATCACTCCTAACGGTTCACTTACGAGAGTGAGTGAAGGCTTCTGTCAATCATACAACGATACTTTGTACTTAGGCTGGCAGAAACATGCCATGCTTACAGCCGGTGACCGCCAACTGACCAAATTGCTGTTTGGGAAGCTTGTATGTGACTTAATAGTAAGACTATATCGTCTCTATAGTGGTGATGAAGTCTTAATATATGCAGCATATCTACAGGATGTTGACACAATTCTCATGAACACCCCTCTAACAAAAATTTCTGGAGAACAGTTCTGTCCAACAAATCAAAGGAAGTCTCTAGTGTCACTACGTGTGACGGTGTTCTGGCAAATGACTAAAGGTGAACATCCACAATCTGAACGAAACTCATTCTATTACTCACAAATCAAATTCCCATGCAGCATACATCAATAGTAAGGCTTTCCAGGGTTCTGGTCAGTTTGCTCAATTTGTATCTGGGTACGAAAGTTGTAGGTGGCAAGCTTGAACGCGATGCGTAGTTTCAGAATAATCACTGGTGGCGAACTTGCTGAAGACAACTAACTAGTAGATTGAAATGATACAAACAGACTGGGATTCCAAACATTAGCTATCGACAGACAAAATAGAGATGCTTTAAAACATAAGGGTGATAAAAATAAGCCAAAATGGTTTATATATAAAAATTAAATGGACCAAGTTTCTAAATGAAGTACTGATGAATTAATATGACTGTTTAGGGATCACACCCTAAGCCTTATAGGTGAAGTCTGATCCATAAGGTAGGACAGCAGCTTTACGAACTGCATTCCTATGGTATGCGGAGACCAGAACAGTTTCTTACGTCACTGAATCCTCTCGGATTCTGGAGTTCATGTGTACCATAATTTAGGAATCAAGGCTTTCCAGCTCCCACAAGGGAACTACAAATCTGCCGTCTCTGTTTAAAGTGCCGAACTTTATCATTCATCCTTTCATTGTGTGAGAACACCCTTGGCTGCGGAAATAGTGATCATGCAATCTTCCAACCTGTATTCTGAAGACCGATGATTGGTTGATTAGACCGTTAATGTAAGACTACGGACGATACTCTCTGCATACTAATACGTGAAGGCAATAAATAGGAACCTAACTGACAGCAGCTATAAAAATATGGTCACCTGAAAGCATTTCGAAAGGAAGACTGAAGTCAACCCTCCCCCCTTCAGCCTTACCAGGGCATTTATGATGGGATTGGGTTGATCGATACACTGGATAATCAGCTTGACCAATATCACAGCTCGTACATTTCGCAGTCGTTTGTTTGTAACTCAGCACCAGTGAATGCGAACAAAAGTGTTTGACACATCATATTTCGTTGTCAATCTAGTTGTGTTTTACTGAATCAGTCACTGATTCACGGTATACAATGAGCAGTTCTGTTGCACAAACTCTTTGGACAAATTACTGAATATATCTGACATGCGTTTCTTCCTAATGGAATTGTAGGTTTAGCCGAATAATTTATCTGCACTAACTATAGAATTCAGTGACTACACGTTATATTCTTGTTTTCTTATTGTTTGTTTGAACAAACTATGTCGCTCCCTGTTTTAGTTATGTGTAATTAATACTTTCTAAATTTGATGGTTATTATATTACCACTAAACTATTATTTGCTTATTGTTGTAGTCTCCCTTTGTCCTCAACCGAGTTCACAACAAATTCAACAACATCAGTTATCGACTCCACAATATGTAGTCCCAATTCATATTGCCTCTCAGACTCCAGGAAAGATTGCTAACAATGTGATAACACTTAACAGTGCAAATAATAAAGATTTGGGTTATAGAATGGGGGGAGTCAATCGATTGATAGGTAAAGTCTTTTATCTCTCTATCTAATAGATTTGAAGATATTCACAATTTTATTGTTTATGTGCTGTTATTCTAAAATTTGAAATTAATTTTTATCGTTGTTTGGATTCAGGAGAAAATAGTTATGCTCAGATCAAATTGTAACACTGTGCATCATCATCATCATCAACACTGGAAAAGCCTTCGATAACGTCGACTGCAAAGTAATGTGACAACTGCTCCAACACTACTGACAGTAGTGCCTCAAACAATAATTAACATTCAACATTGTGATGCCATGTGTTAAGTAGTTCACAACGAAAAGTTCACTAAAGCCTTTGAATTGATCATGACAGTAAGAGAGGACTGTCTGATGTCACTGATAATCTTTCTAATTATAGTGGAGTGGATCATGCTACTAACTGTGCGAGAACAGAGATTACGGGGATACGTTGGACTGCCAACAAGACCCTAAAAGTTATGGATTTCATGAATGACTTTCATCAACACCTACCTTTGTTCTTTACTAAGGATCGGATAGACAGGCGGAAAGGATAAGCCTATAGGGAGTCCTAGAGACGAATCAACCAAGAGCAAATATGCAGGATGAAATGGAGATGGATTAGACATACGTTGTGGAGGCATTCAAACGAAATCACACACTATGCCCTTAAATGGAAGTTCAATAGGAAGCGACGGGTTGGGTATCGGAAAGTTACATGCAGATCATGTAAAGCGGAATCGAGGGCTTGCAGGCAGTCGTGCAACTGTTTAAAAGTCATGACAGAGAACCAGGTGCAGTGGTGATGTGTTGCTGAAGTTCTGTGTTCGACTCGGAAACCAATGGATGACAATAGTGGTATTAATAATAATTGTAGTTTCTGTATAAATGCGTATTTTATGCCTACCTTTTTATTGTCATCATTCTGGTTTCTTAGGGTGTAGATATTTCGGAAATATTACCGATTGTTTTTCAAGATTATAAGTGATTAATAAATTGCTGTCTACACTTGTTCTACAAATAAGCACTATGTACAAGAAGTATACTGCTCTGCAGTATGGATCGATAACACGTGTTTATGGACCATAGTTTGAAGTTCATTCACTTCTGTGTAACTATAAGATTTTAGTCTAGGAGCACAATTTTCCATCAGATGGTTACTGGTTTGACACGCTTTCCATCTGTTAAGCTTTCGGTTAACCAGTTAATTTCACTAACTGTCATCAGCACGCCTATGCGCTGAATGAGTAACAAAAAAACAAATTTCAGCTGATTACTTACTTCATAATTTTGACTAATTTTCTTTTATTTCAGCTCCTGCTAATACACAAATGAGAATTAACAATGTTAACATGATACCTGTTAATAGACATCAATTACAATCACAACAAAATCACCAGATACAATTACAGCAAATACAACAACAACAATCTCATGTAAACAGCACGTGTATTGGGAAACCTGTAATTTCACCAAGACCATTTCCATCAAATGTGATTCCAGTTTCAAATTCAATAATCCCTGTACATCCTAGTGCTGTCACATCCCATTTCAGCACTGTAAATTCTGTCCCAGTCAGTATGAACATAAATAAACCTGTCACTATATCTCAAAGTAAAGTAAATAACTCCACAGTGATACGTATACAAGGTGTGCATACTAATCAAAGGCCTAGTGGATTATTAACTACACCAACTAAAGATGTACAATTAGCAACTCAGTTGGATGGTTTATTTCAAAAGTAAGCTATAGTTTTGTTGTGTTTTTTTTGTTTTTGTATTCCAGTCTCTCAGTCTTTTTCTCTTCATCAGATCAGATCATTTACAAGATCGGTAGTAACAATAATAGGGATATTTCTCCCTTCTATCAGATTGTTTCACCTGCTTAAAACAAAAAGTGCACATTTTTTTCCAATTATTGGTTTTGTAGGGATTTTGTTTGATTGATTGGAGGATTTCATCATGAGCTGACGTCTGATGTTCACTAGCTACTGGTCCTATTCAGGCAGTTATCTGAGGTTCTAGTGGGAAGATGTGACCAGTAGGGTAGAGAAGGTTAAAGGTGAGACAGTAACTCATCGAAGGAGACATTGCGAATTGGTCGCGCTATGTCATGAATTGACAGAGGTTAGAATTCATGGACTGGCCATTGGATCGCGTCCCAGTAGCTTAATGGTCTACGAGCTAACTTGCCTTGTAACCAACCAGAAGGTCCTTGATTCGACCCCCGGTGGGTGGGTACGTACTGATGAAGAGTCCCAAACTAGGGCGAAACGGCTGTCCAGTACTCCTTGGTGGGTCTTCCAATGGTTCTCTAACTGATATCAGCTCATGATGGAATCCTCCAACCTATAAAAAATGCAAATATTTACATAAAAACAGACCCATTTATAGATAGGATATCTTAAAGGTTTTGAAAATATAACCTTTCATAGGTTGTATGGCTTTAGAGAGTGCTTGTTTGCTTGTTTTAAGTCCATCACCTGAAACAGATTTTTCATGTACACCAGACTATAAGAGCCACACTAATCTATCGTTTGGGGATTGATGATACTACTCAGTATCACCGGCTGAAGTAGACGGAGCAGGATTCGAATTTGTCAGCTATCGTCTGAGAGCTGAGTAGTTAAGCCAATAAGCCACAGAGCTTTAAAGCTAGTGTTTAGACAATCATATAATAGAGGTTATGCTTCATATAGTAATTAGTAATTAATCGTATTAACAGTACTATAAGCGTAGTCATAGGTGAAGTTTCGGTGTTTTTTGGTTATGCAAGCTAATTCATTTCTCACTGTTATATCAATAGACAGTTAAGAAAAAAAGTGCTTGTATTGGTAAATAACTTTTCTTATCATAATGAATTCACTGTATGTGTGTTATCTTTCAGCATCTCCACTGTCAGAAGTCAGAATAATCAAAGGACTAGTGTGATGGTAAGTTTCATAGCATTTCATTTATTTGATTTGGTGTTGTATTACTTCTCAGATTACTACAGTTGTTACACATAGTTCTTCTTCGTTGGCCTATTTTTAGTTATATAAAGTGTTCAAGAATTGTTTCACTATGAAATCTGCTTTGTTTTTGGAAATATAAAGCATTACATTTCACATATAAACTCACATTGTACTCAACATTAGGTTCAGTGCCACTGGAATACTCACTGGTGCAGAGTGAATTCTATTAGTCAAGTTTGCAATGTGGCCAGCATTCTAGGTGGCTTGCCATCACGGTGCGAATTGTAGATTTTAAATGGTTAAAGGCAATTGCCTATTTGTGCCTATGGACTATTTTTATTTATTCTAACCACATATATAGTACAGAATAATACAACAGGATGACTTGATTGATAACAGTCCTCCTGACAGTCGAAAATACGACATTCAAAGAATGTTGACAATATGGTCTTGTGTATCATTCAGGTGTGGGTTGTGTGAGTTCATTCTCTCTAGAGAGAACTATGTCACTGGTATTAAATTGTATTTATTAGGCTATATGCGCTGATACTATTAACTCAAATAGAAATGTTATCAGTTTACAACAACAATTTGGTACTAAACTTCAAATTTTATTCGTGCTATTATAAATTCTAGCTACTTGGAGGCTAGGGTGCGGAACTTCGCGGGACCGGGAGTTCTGACATATGGGCGTCCACGCTAAGCACGGCGCCGATATGGATGACCTGTCGGCGGACGGGTTGTCCAGGTCGACTAAGGAGGGGCGCAGGGGGGAAACCCAACAGGCAAAAGTCCCCGCGTGGTGCAGTAGCGGAATAGCACCTTTGAATGGTGGCCATGTGACAGCCCGGTCGGCGCGTGGAGACCGCCTCTTTTTTGTGCTTCGGTGGCACAGCGGTAAGGACGCTCGCCCACCATGCACATAGTCCGGGGTTCGATCCCTGGCCGACGCACACCTTTACCTCACTAAGTCAGAAATAAAAGGTGGTAAAGAGGAAAGGTTGGGCATGAGGCTGGCAATCCCATCGTGTAAAAATAAACACTACTACAGAAAATTTAAGCCTCAGCTTGAAGTCCTATGTTCCACTTGGAAAGTGAAGGAACAAATATAAAAAAGTATTATAAATTCACGGAAAAGTTCAACTGAACAACTGCAACATATCGAATATTAGGCCTAGCTGTGATGTTAGCATTTCGATTGGTTTGCACCTAAAGCCATTACATATGAAGATTGGAATTGTTTCAATTGGAATATCTTTTGGCAACGAAGTGTAATTAGGTGGCGAAAGAATGTGTGTGACAGTTATGCGAAATTATTCAACGATTTGAACTAAAATAAAGCGTATTTATTAAGTGATGGTAGTTTTGTAGCTTCTGTCTTGCTTTACTTTACTTTCATTCTGATGAATTTCCTCCACTAAATTTTTCACTTTAAATCTATGTCTTTCGCTATAACTCGATTTTCTTATCAGCAGCACTCGCAACCTCAACCTGGCTATCAATTACTTCAATTGGATGGTACTGACAATGATAATAGTGAAGCTGATTATGAATCTAGTTCACTTCGTCGACGTTTGTATAAAACCAGGTCATCATCTTCATTAGTATCTGCTAGTAATTCATCGTCATACTCTGATAGAGCTACTGCTTCTGGACGTAGTCGGTCACACTATTCTGATAATCGTCTTGCTAAAAATGAAGTGTTGTGTAGTAAAGCCAATAAAACCAATAGTACAGCCAGCACTGTATCTGTATCTGCAAAACCATTGAAACGACGATGGATAGAAGATCGTATTAGACAACAAGAATTAGCTAATTTAGTGTCAAGGGCTAAACAAGCCAATCATGCTCGTCTCTATCAGAATGAAATTGAAAAGCATGTAAGTTTTTACACGACAAGCTTATCATATTATGAAAACTTTTTTCCAATAAAGTTAACATCTATGTCACAGCTACATGTTGTCTTATAAAACAATTAAATGCTAACCTCTAGCATTATTTTTCGATTAATTATTATTTGAAAGTTTTCCTCCATGTTCACCAGGAGGGTGAGTTGGCTATGCTAGATTGTAGAATAAAGCGGAAACAAGATGGTGGACTAAATACTAGCATTTATAGGGGAAACCGATATACTAATAAATATTTAGACTTTAATTCGTCCTATCCAGAATCGGTAAAGGTGTAGGCTTAGTTAAATGTCTGTATAGTCGGGCCAACAGCCTAACTAGTAAGCCAGAAGATCAAAATAGTGAAATCAAATAAAGGAAGTATTACTAGTGAATAATTACCCACCAGAATTTATTGAAAAACAGATGAAAGACCATAGAAAAACTAAGGTTAGTATAATAAAAATGACGAAAATAATACAGAATTCAAAGCTTCTGTAGTACTGCAGTACAAAGAAGGAACATCAGAGGCTTTACGTAGGATTCTCAATGAGGTTGGAATTAGGGTGCCATTTAAACCAACCAACTCTCTCAGAGATAAACTTTGTCTGCTTAAATACCAAATAGATCCAATTAGAAAAAATAATATAATTTAACAAATGCCATGTAATGACTACGAGGTCAATTACTCGGAATGAACCAGTAGGTCGGAGTCAATCAGATTATCGGAGCATACGAATTTAGCCAGGCCTAGAATAATTGACTCTGCTAAGTTAAATAACCTAGATAAAAAGTTCGGCCACTTCATTGCACTACATTCACTTGCATGTAATCACACAATAGGGTGGGTGGGACAGGGTGAGAGTATTGAAAAGTAGTATAGTTAGGTGAAGAGACAGAGAGGTTAATCACTGAAGCTTTGTATATTGATTCACCACCACATGCGTGGAATCGGAATGACTCAACGCCCATACCATAGGTATAGAAAGTGGCAACAAACAACAAAAGGAAATTGGAGAGACAGAATATAGAAAAATATATATAAGACTAATTGTGAAACCGTGTGACTAAATTGATCTGATTATGAGCAGTAATTTATGCTCGAAACCTTGTCAACCAGTTGTTAATACTGCACCACTATATGATATTTAAAATAAACTTATCTAATATGGGATATATTGACAGTCTACTTATATATTGTGAGGTATCCTGATTCACTTTTAGCTTTTGGATAGAGAAACTGGTATTGCGTTTAATATCCACTGGTGAAAAGATGAGGGTAACATTCAAGATTTGAGTGATATGCGCAGATGTGGCATACATCCAGACCGTATAATCTCTTTTGAAAGCAAGAATCAAGGTAGTATATGAGGGGAAGGTATTGTGGTGGCTGTTCTATAATTAACACAGAACCCTGAAAGAAGCTTTTTTTCGAAGGGGGGGGAGGAATTCAAACAATCCTGATGTTCTGAGATTATTAATTTCAATATTTTTGGTTCATGGATGGATGTGTTTAGTCGATACCAACGGAACAAATTGCGAGGTGATCAAAGGTGTAGACGCTATTCTCAGCCTTTATTTGCTTTCATATTTGTATTCACTTGAAAGTTTCTTTCATTAAAAATTTTTTTTATCATAATCAGTAATTCACTAACTTATATATATCTTATGCTTATCTGTTCTATAGGCAAGATCGTTTCGCCTTAATTTTTCAATTGATGGTGTTGTTCGCTCAGCCAATAGTCCAATGGCTGCATGGCGTTCCGTCTTAATGCGTGTTTCATCTCTCCGTGAAAAACACGGGATAAAACCGTTAATTTGTACAGGTGAGTTGCATTATTTTCCTTGGTATATATTTGATTTTATTTTGACATCATCATTGGTCCAAGTGGTCTAGTGGATAACACTTTGGCGTTTGAGACTGGGTTCACCATCACTCACTGACTGGGGAATGCAGGTACATCCAGATGTGACGAGTCCCAAATAGGACGAAATGCGTATCCTGGATTCCACTGCTAGTCATCATCAACCAACTAACTTCAAATGGCACATGAAAAAAAGTCACAATATTGATTGATCAAAGTGATAGTTTTATTTGTCCTTGTCCATTTGATTCTTTTTCCTAATTCTTTACACCGTGTTGATTGTATAATGGGCCAAAAAAGGCTTATTTACATAGATTCAAATGAAATCCATTCTGTCACTAGATTTTAGTCTTTTTTTTTTTAAAGAATAACGACTTTTGGTGTGTTCTCGTACGAATTTTGGTCAGGCACCCTGAGTATTATTCAGAGAAATCAATCATATACCTAATGTATTTAATCTTTATCTTTAAAAATATATTATTTTTAGTGATTTATTGATGTTGTTTTCAATGTACGAAGAAATATAAGTGATATGCTGTTAGATCGTTGGATGCGATTGATAGGGAGCCTTGAACCAAGATGTCGTGCTTGGTGGCACTCTCCAGGAAAGGTGTATCTGCAATCTTTATCGAACCTATCTTCTGAGGTTCGGACCCTAATCACTCAGTGCTGCAGTCAGAGACGTTACCCTGAGCTTTCGGACTTAAAAGGGACATGGATTCCTTCAAGATTGCAGATACGTCTTGCTGGAGAGTGCCAACAAAGGATGACACCCAGGTTCAAGGCTTCTTGCCGATAACCTCTAACCGTCTAACAACAATTCAGAACTCACCGTGATGTCGAGTCACCTAGGATAGTAACCACGTTGTAAACTTAACTGATAGAATTCAGTCTGCACCAACGCCAAGGATTAGACTCATGTCATTAGTTACTACCTGGTGTCTATTCAAAATATAGGTGATCTATTATCAAAAGTAGCTGTTTGTAGTTGTAGTCATTAAAAAAATCAATAATCAGTTCGTCCTGGTTTGGGACTCTTCAACAGCATGCACCCACCGATACGGTTCGGACGCAGAACCTTCTTGAAATTTTCCCCTTACAAAAATATAAAAATCAAGGTGTTTATCCAAGAGAGAATTGTCCAGATATTATTTGATCGATTGATTTCTAACGAAGTACTTGTTATCTTCTAGTTGTCACTACAGTTCACTACCGTATACATCAACTACTAAAGATTGAGGAATACTCAGTGTTTTCATTTTTATTATTTTTCTAATATGGTAGTATTCCGGTGGTGCATACACTCACGACATCCTTCGAAATTGACTTAAGAATCGTTTGGTTTCTCTTGTCATGCACGTTGCCTCGATGTAGCTTATTTATCATCAAAGAAGTGAACTTCGCTAGTTTTCTCCCGGATTCCCGACAAGACGTTGATATAAATTAAATGTGAGAATAATTACTCAAATACTGATCAAGTATATGAAGTGATACACCTGTCAGTCTTGCACTAGATCTCCATAAGATTTTTCAAGGATGGTTCGGTTTCCTACTTAAAATTGTCGTTTAGTTAGTAACTATCGGGGCAGAAAACTACTTTAAATCAAATTCTACAACTCTGAGATTGTAGGAGTGCTATATGTTGTTTAAAAGAGTTAAGAAGGTTGAATGTTTCACTGTGAATAGGGACTCATTTATGAAATCTAACCTGTCTATTGTTTAATGGTTGTACCTTTACTTTGAATGAGACACTCCTACCATGACTCGGCGCTACCCCGTCATCGCCGCAAACTGACGCCTCACTTTTGCACTGAATGAATAGAGAGTAGTTTCTTTTACTTTTTGTAATCTTAAGCGTAGTATCTTAATTAATTATCTTATTTCATTTTTCAGCTATTGATGGATGGTCACAATACGGTCTAAGTCATCGTTATGCAATATTCTTAATTGAACAAATGCGTGGGGCACTTCACTGTTATCGGTATAGATTTCGATATCACTGGCAAAAGATTGATAGATTACGTCAAAAGGTAAGCTACGTCATTCACCTCTTATTACATCTGATATGTTTATATTGGGTGGGTATTAACACTAGAGATGTTTGGCGAGCATATTTAATATGATGTGGCCATTTCGTCAAGTAAAATCAGTAACTTGTGTTTCAGTTGATTTATTATTATATCATTTCATTGAAGAAAAGGTTTGTCTAGTTGGGTTTATGTTTAGAATGGGGAGAGATTTCATATAATCGAAATGGCTCTGTGTGCAGAGTTGTTTGTATTCAATACTGATGACAGTTTAACGTATTAGTATTCAAATGAAGGTTTTTTGTATGATAAGTCTAGACAATTTTACAATTTATTATGCAAACTGTGTTTTCGATACTGCACAATCAATGATCTGGTTATAAAGATTTCATCGTGTTACTTCTGTATTTGTTATAGATTCCCCCTTAACTATTTAACTGCTTATGTACGTCAACATATTTATTTTTTAGTTCACTCCTCCAGTTCCCTGTGCTGAAGGCTGTGCACGTGCTGTTCCATGGACTAAACCACGTCGCCCACGTGATCAGGCTCGTGATCCCCTCGATTTTCTCCGCTGCAAAGCTAATCCTCCTCCACGACCTTTAATCGATCCTGAAGAAGAAAATGTGCTTCCGTATGAAGACGCATGTCTACCTAATGCCAATGAATCACCTAAGTTATTATCGCCTAATGAGCAAGCTGCTTGTCGAGAAGCTGCTCGTCAAGCTGCCATGTTAGTAGCATCTCAGCTTAAACTACCTCAACGTTTGCGTAAATCATGTATAGCAAAGGCTGTTGTACAGGCAACCGGTATACCATTACAAACGTCACCTCCGAAGTCAGCGAACGGTGATGATGAAGCGCTTAATTCTAATGATCAGGTGTTTGGATTAAGCTATACGGATGACGAAGACAATTGTTCAGAATCATCGAAATATGATGATGGTGAAGAGGAGCAGGAAGAAGACGAGGATATGGGAACCGTAAGCTGTCTTATTTGTGTGACATAAATTGACCAATCATCTATAAACTTTATTTTTTTTTTAAATAACTCGTTTACTATTCATTCTGTGGTTTAAGATGTGTGTATTGTTAACTTGTACTGTGGTTTGTATGGAAGCATAATTATTATAAGGGAAGCTTAAACGGAAATAGTCAGTTGTTGTGCATACATTAATTGAATGGTTTTACCAAATGATATTACTATGAGTTGCTGACATTTCATAGAACTCCTGTAAGTAGATACTACAATGCTACCTTGAAAGAAAGCAAAGTGATTAAGGTCGAAACACTGATTTTAATAATAATGTTTTTTGCTGCAACTAGCATTCGCACCACCTACTACAGTACTGCATCTGGTATTCTCTTTACATTACACAGTAAAAGGAAGAATAATTACGGGACTTTACGATATCTACAGTAGTGTGTAAGTAAAAATCAGTGAGAATAATGACTACAATAGGAAGAATGGAAAGAGGCCGTTTATTTATTGTTTCACACAGTTAGTAATTTCAAGCCTAACGCTTTTTCTTTTCATTACACAAAATGCTTACCGAATGAAGTGTTGTAGAACTTTTATATTTAGTCGCGTGAGCATAAAGTCTTTTATAATTCTTTCTTGTCCTTCCTGAAGAGAGGTTCAAGGGGGGGGTGGTAGTTGTGAATTGAATAAGAAGGGGGTACTCAGAGCTCGATAGAATGACTTTTCTTCGCATGAGTTAAAATGTTTGTCAACAACAATATCAGTGAATCTGCCTAAAGAGACACACCAGTCATACTAATATACCTTAACATTTCTGTAGTAAAGCAAAATGTTATGTTTACCGAGCCACCATATTTCTTGATGAGTAGTGTTATGTGAAGAAGAAGAAATAGCTTAAGATGGTTAAATCAAGACACTGCACCAATTCATTAAGGAAGCTATCTAGTTGAAGTCACAGAGATATTACAAATCAATAGAGTTGGTCATTGTATCACTGAAAATCTTTCACAGTGATAAATCTACTTCAATTAGGGAAAAGTCATTATTGTCATTTATCCTATCCTATATATTTATTATGTTATATTTTTATTTTTACGAGTTGATCACGGATTGATATCAGCTAGAGAACCATTGAAAATCAGCACTGGAGTACTGGACAGCTGTTTCATCCTAGTTTGAGAATCATCGGCAGTACGCACCCACACTACGGGGTTCAAACCCAGGACCTTCCGGTTACAAGGCTGAATGGTATACGAGCTCGCCTTGTAACCGGAAGGTCCTGGTTTCGAACCCCAGTGGGTGCGTACTGCCGATAATTCCCAAACTAGGATGAAACAGCTCTCCAGTACTCCCTGGTTTTCAATGGTTCTTTAGCTGATATCAATCCGTGATCAACTCGTAAAAACAAAACTAACCCTTACAAACCAAACTATAGAAAGTGTTATATTTTACCAATTCGCAATTAATGCTTCTTTCTTTTCTAAAAAGCGTGTAAGTTACTGTTTGTATATTTTCTTTAATTGGTCTCATAAATGTCTGTTACTCTATACAAATAGTTATTACTGCATTTTTTTGTCTGTTTTCAAGGTTGCCAACCAATTCAGTCGACTGGTTTCAGGCCCATTGGCTCGATATTATCATGTATCAGTACGTCCATCTCGTATACACGGTCGTGGATTATTTGCACTAAGAGAATTTCGTGAAGATGAAATGGTTATTGAATATACTGGTGAATTAATTCGTAGTGGTATTTGTGATGCACGCGAAGTAAAATATCGTGCAGCTGGTGTAGATTGTTATATGTTTAGAATAGATCCAGATTGGGTGATTGATGCTACATACGCTGGAAATGCTGCTCGATTTATTAATCATTCATGTGATGTACGTTTCTCTTTATTATTATATACATATATTGAGTGGGCTGTTTTTATTTGATTCTGCATTTTGCACTTTTTCTTTCTTTATGTGGGGTGATGGTTGATTCGTACTGTTTGCATTCATATTTGAAATCCAGAAGTTTCATGAGATAAGCAAATAGTATTTCTAAGATAGCTTTATAAAGTAAAAAGAAAATAACTTTGTGTATATGTGTATGCTTCATCTTCATTCTGGATATTACTCATTGACAATTACGTACTCAACTTTCTGCTAGAGAGGAGTTCTCAAATCCCATTGAACTTACTTTAGCCTTACAGCTCCCCAACTGCTTAGTATCTCCACCTTCACACAGTGAGTGTGGTTCATGCTCTGACACATAAAAAATCTGTTTCGCGTAATGGAGTGTCAGTTTAATAAAAAAAACGTTTTTCTTGAAGAGAAGTGAATGACAGTCGTTGACACCCCGTAGTCCCTGGGGTATCAACTCCCATGGACATGATCATCATGTTGATAAACTGTCTTCAATAATAACTGAGCAGTGCTTTTACACCTTATTTGTACTATTGCATTTAAAAAAATTATATTACACTTGTATGAAGTATTAATACTCTGTTAATTTAACGATGTTGTTTTGCTAAATTTCACTTCTGGTTTTATTATTTACAGCCTAATTGTTATGCTAAAGTTATAACAATTGACGACAAGAAGCATATTGTTATCTTAGCGCAAAGAAGGTAAGTCTTCTTTTTTCAACAACAACAACAACAACAAAAAAGAACGGAGTGTAACTGCAGTGTGCTTTTCATTTCTTACACCATGATTATTTTTCTTTTACGAAATAATTTGCTTGAATCAGACGTAGGAGTTTTCCAATCATTGGCGCATTCCTAGTGGAAAATGGCGCTTCAAGCATTTATTCAAAGCTGTGAAGTTCCAGTGGCTCTTGTGTTATTTTTACGTTGTTGTAGGGTGGGCTGTTAGCCTCATGCCCAAGCTTCCCTCTTTTCCAGACTTGTTATACTATACCTCTAAGCAGGAGGGTTTGGGAATCGAACTGCAACCATATTAGTAGTATTGGCTATCGTCGACCATTCTACCTCTGAACCTCTGATATTGAGTATTTCTGCTAGAAACATCAGCTATGTTTTAAAAAATTGACGATGAGTTGGTTGTTCATTGGTATTTATTTTATTATGGTATATAAAAGATGATATACTCACTCATAGTGTAGTGTAAAATCTCCTGTGTGTAAATTAAATACAATACTAAAGAGGAATAAGTAAATGGGTAGGTAAGATTATGTACACATTCTTGTGATTCGTACCTTTTCGGTAAATACAACATTTTCAAGTATTGATTTTGTAGGGATTTTTTGTTTATTTGATTGGTTGGAGGATTTCATCATCGTGAGCTGACATCAGTTAGAGAACTATTGGAAAACCCAACAGGGAGTACTGGACAGCTGTTTCCAATAGTTCTCTAACTGATGTCAGCTCACGATGATGAAATCCTCCAACCAAACAATCAAACACAACATTTTCTTTTATATTTGTGTCTAGCCAAAAGTGGATATCTCTTTCGGTTGAATGAGACGAGGTTTCTCTTTAGTGCGCTAGGTGTTTAGCGGCGAAATTTTTTTGGCAGACTGCGTAATCTAATGACACCTATAACTTACGTAAAACTTTCTCTTATTCCCATTTCTAGGTTTAGCACATGTTTTATTATATCCCTCCTTCGTTGTCATTTGTTTCATTCATTTTTTGTAGTATTAATAACAATAATAACAATAATTTTTATTACCTTTTTCATTCACACAACCACCGATACCTGTTAGGATCTATCCCGGTGAAGAATTGACGTATGATTATCGTTTTCCCAAGGAATCGGATAAATTAATTTGTAATTGTGGAAGTTATTCGTGTAGAAAGTACTTAAATTGAGAAAAAGAAGAAGAATTAACAAAGAAGAAAAACCCAGTTTATTTGGCAGCCTGTTTGTGTCTGTTTATCGATCTTGATCTTTGTTATATTATTTATCTTCTGACTTTCTGAGTATTTCACCCGCTCACGCTCCACCTCCACCTCCCAGTAAACTGATCCTTTCATACTGGGACTTTCACGAAGGAAATCAAAATAGAGAGAGGAGTACAGTTGTTAAATATTATATACTTATATAAAAATGGCAGTTTATCTTCTGTGTACAAAAGTAAAAAGATTAGATGCCTTTTCTTTCTTTCTTTTTTTTGCTTGTAATTTCTTTTGTTTATCATACATTGTACTGAATAAATATAACTAGTAGGTCAACTTTATGTATGTATGTATCTGTGAAAAGAAAGAATATTTAGACTTTATTGCATTTTCCACTGGACTTTTTTTTTAATAAGTACGATTATTACAACTACTCTTACACTATTGCTTATTTCATGCTGCTCTTTTATTCGACGTATTGTTAATTTCTTTTGGTGTATCTATCATTTTATGATTACTGTCTTTTTCTTTGTCGATGATAACATACTACTTTTACTTTTTTGCTAGTAGTAGTAGTAGCAATAGTAGTAATGGTCGTCTCTGCCTTCTCTGTATTTTACCCTCCTCCTATTTGTCGTCATTACTGACCACCAACCAACCTCCTGTATAAACACTGATAAGTTGCGTATATATATATGTCATGTATATTTAAATCTTGATGGCATATTAACTTTATTCCTTATGGTCATATATTGTGTATTTTCTCTTTTCTTTTGCTTTTTGTAAAAGCTGTGTATAGAAGAAGAAGAAGAAATCTATAAGTATTTGTTTTATTTTCATTCCATTCTATTTATATATATACATTTATTATCCTTAATCTTATCTAATACATATACGTATACTTTAGAGAATAAATTACCTGTGTCTATTCATCATCCATTGTTTAATGTATATTATATGCTTTTAAAATCACTTCACATTTTTTTCTATGTGATTATTATTATTATTATTCAGAATAAATAAGTAAAGAGCAAAGAATTGTACGTATTTGTTCTTTCTGTTCTGTGTAGTATTGAGTGAAACTGTCTCTGTATTATTATGCATGAGATTACATTTCGTTATATATTATAAGTCTGTCACAATTTTGATGAAGAGGAAAAATTGGGCATTATAATTTTTCCATATATGTTAGATATGTTTATTCTGCTAAGAAAAACGAACTCACCAAAGTAGAAATACCATCGACTATCGGTAAAACATAGTGGGTGATTAATCTCTCAACAAGTGCCTTAAAGTTCTGATGGAATGAACGGTCTGTCTGTCTGTTTTCGACATAAGACTTTGCACCAATGTGCGGCAGTTCAAGTCGCCACAATCCATGTAGCACACAAAGCAAGAGAAGAAAGTAGACGAAATGCATAATAGAGACAGTAGATAGGGATATGAGACAAAAGGAATAGTAATAACGAAGAACAATATAGTTTCATTGGAAATTATAAGTAACAAGGAGTGGATGCATGTGCGCCTGCCATTGAGAACGATTTTGAGCCATGTCACCAATTGTTTCCAACCATTGATGTTTACCGTCCCGAGGACCCCAACCAAGAAGTCTACACCTTCCTACGTGGCTTAAACTAACTGTTGTGTATTTCATTGACTGGTGCCATGTTTTCGTTTGACCGCAGCTAGGTCTTTTCCAGCCTGACCCTATGTCAGCTAACATTGCCCGTCGAGGAAGGCGATGACTAGGCATACGTAACACATGTCCTACCCATCTCAGTCGATGTAATTTCACAGTTTCCTCGACTGATCTCCCCTCCTTACCTGGCACTCAACCGATGCCTAACCTCAATATTGCTCATCCTATTATACAACTTCACGCGAGAGATAGAACGCAGACACCTAGGATCAAAGACAGCTAGCCACCCTTTTCATGTCTTCCACTCTTAATGTCCAAGTCTCACAGCCATAAAGGAGGATGGAGCGGACTGATGAGCGGTACACACGCCCTTTGGTCGATAGTCGGATATCACGTCTACGCCAGAGACGGCGTAAACTGGCATATGCGAAACTAGCCCTCTGTATTCGTGTTGAGATTTCGTCGGAGATCAACCCGCTGGCATTGGCTGATGGTACTTCCCAAGTAAGTGAAGCGGTCAACGTGCTCTACCATCTCACTTCCTATTTCTAATCTAGGAGTCGGTGTAGTCCAATCCTGCAACATTATCTTGCATTTGGCGGGAGGAATGAACGGTACTTGAAAAGTAGGATTAAACTTCAATGTAGCTGTTAACAGATTAAAACTTGAAGACATCATTCCTAGTGTATAGAAGTAGTATTAAGTGACAAATAGACAAAACTACTACTGAACCAATCAGGACACATTATGTGCATTGACACAAAAACACCAGAAGAAAGGAAGAAACAACTTATAGCAGCTCTAAACAATCTGGAGATTGTAGTAACTGCCAAATCGGACAAAAGTAATATAACAGTAGTCATGGCCAAATCAAATTGTATCAACAAAGCCAATGAATACATTGAAATAGGTTCATATGAAGAAGTTGAAAAACCTGTGGATACCATTGTGGTGGTGTGATACAGATAATGTGTGTGTGCCAACGAAATGTTATTCTCACATGTTCCTACAGTTCAATTCGGCATTAGCAACAGAATACTATATATCTCTATTTGAACATTCGATTTCATGTCGTTTGATATAAACCGAAATCACACTCTCAATGATTGGTTAACGAATATAAACTGTAGATGTATAAACGTCGGTTTGATTAATGAGAAATATACTTCGGCTTCCGTGTCTTGCCTTCTGTTGCTATACTATTATGTGCGTCGGTGGCACAGCCGTTAGGACTCTCGCCGACCATGCACATGGTCCGGAGTTCGATCCCTTACCGACGCACACCTGATATCATTTGGTCGGCCTGCAAAATTTGGGCTACCGATATCACGTGCTGAAAATTCCGTACTTGTACCGAAAATACTGTGTGGTTTCAAGCTATAGTAAAAAAAAATCAAAATATCTACAGGTGATCTAGTACGCCGAGTGAAATGATCTTTGGGTGAGTCAGAATGGTTCAATCTAATGCATAAAAACTAATAATCTTAGTAGAATGTGTGGGATTATAAACTTTCATAAAGCAGGATACCCTATCAAGCTAATAGTTGACTTTAGGAACACCCCGATGTACGAGTTATCTTAATAATTTAGTATCAATATTGTATCCCATTAAGGATAAGTCAGAATATAGGCTAACTAATTCCTTTGTAATGAAACAGAAGCTAGAGGAAATTCAATTAGAAAAAGATGGAAGAATGATCGGTTTTGATATAACCAGTTTGCACAATAATACAGTAGGCTCTGTGTAGGCAGTTACAAGTGAACTGGACACTGATCCTAAACTAAAAAAATAGGACTAAGCTGGCGGTTGATGAAATTATATTAGGTACTGATTTATTTCTAACCTCCACTGTATTCGAATTTCAAAATAAATTATCTGAACAAACGAATAGGGTGACAATGGTATCACCAATATCTCTGATAGTAGCAGGCAATTTTATGGACATCTGGGGAAGTGAAGCTCCTAGAACGTTCAGTCCTGCTCCCAGGTTATGGTGGAGATATGTGGGTGATACATTCACTGTGTAGAAATCTGAACATATCCCTCTGCAATAGACAGAATCCAATTCACTTCTGAGTTAGAAAACGAACAGAGTGAGTTGGCCATGGTAGAATGTAAAATAAAACGAAATCCAGATTGTAATTTAGATACTAGGGAACCTAGTTTAATTCTTCCCATCCAGAATCGGTAAAGGTGTAGGTTTAGTTAAAAGTCTGTATAATCGGGCTAAGAGCTTAACTAGTAAGCCAGAAGATCTAAATAGTGAAATCAAACAAATAAAGGAAATATTACTAGTTAGTAACTACCCACCAGAAATGTATGAAGAACCACAGGAAAAATATGATTAGTAATGAAAATGACTACAATATTATAGAATTCAAGGTCTTTATAGTACTGCTGTATAAAGAAGAAAAATCAGGGGCCTTACGTAGGATTCTCAATGAGGCTGGAATTGAAGTGACATTTAAACCAACCATTTCTCAGCGACAAACTTTTTCAGCTTAAAGATCCATTTAAGAAAAATAAAACCAAATACCACGTAATGACTGTGAGGTCGAACTAGTAGGTCTCAGTCAACTAGATTATTGGAATATGGAAATTTAGCTAAACCTAGAATAATTAACTCTTCTAAGTCAAATAAGTATGCTTCGGTGGTACAGCGGTAGGATGCTCGCCAACCATACAGGTGGTCCGGGGTTCGATCCCCGGCCGATGCACTCCTTTACTTCTCTAAGCCATTAATAAGACTGGTAAAGGGGTAAGGTTGTGCGTGAGGCCAGTAACCCCATCGCTTAAAAATAAACACCACTCCTACAGAAACTTCAAGCCTGTAGCTTGAAGCCTTAGGGCCCACTGAGATAGTAAAGGAATTAAAAAGGAAGTTAATTAACCTAGAGAAAAGCTCAGCCATTGCACTCCATTCACTTGCATGCAATCACAAAATAAGGTGGGACAGGGTGAAAGTATTTAATTATGAAGCCGTATGGCTAAATCGATATGATTATGAGCAATAATTTATGCTCGAAACGTCATCCAGTTGTTAATACTGCATCACTGGGTGATATTTGAAATAAGTCTCTCACGATTGGTATCACTTTGTTTTATTATCTTGCTTACCGAGAAAAAAAATACTTCAAGCGATTGAAACAGAGTAAGGGGATGTAGGGAACTAGGCGGATTATTCTACTGATAAGTACGGTTAACTGTGAACACGGGTAGATCAAATCTTTGTACAATTGGAGACCATTTTGTTTGCTTCACTGCTGTAAGCTTGACATGCATCTATCCAAATGAGATAATGCGAAAATATTCATTCAGACATTTAGAAGATAGAAGAAAATTTGAGCAAAGAATGTCCTTATTGATAATTTCCTCTTCTTGTTCTGCATTTATATATCTGTTTAAATACATAGAATATTCTAGAATAAACGTCATTAACTATATTGGTGTTTTTGAATACTATCGACCAATGAAGTTACAGTTCAAGAAAGACGCTTAAGTTTAATAAGCATAAAAATGTAATAGTAAATAGAATATCAAATCAATGGAATTTTCACAACAAATTAAGGATCATTAAAACCTTGATGGCCAAAGTAAGGACAGTGTCTGAACCAATTCCTTCTTTTGGACACATAAGTTAGGTTTCTTAATGTAGATCCCAACAGCCTCAGCAATATGTAGTAGAGGAACACTTAAACTAAAGTTAAGATTAGTTGGTATGCGGTAGAAAACCTCGTTAACATCAGTCTTGTGTTCTGTATCCACAAGATGAGATAGAATAGCGCTATGAATAGATTTTGTTTGTCCCTTACTTAACCACGCAGGATGGTGCTATTGTAACTTAAGCGTCTTTCTTGAACTGTAATTTCATTGGTCGATAGTATTCAAAAACACCAATATTGTTGATGATGATTATTCTAGAATATTTTGTATATATAAATATATATGTATTATTGTAGAGCTAGAAGATGAAATTATCGAAAAGGATGTTCTTCGCTCAGACTTTCTTCTGCCTTCTATATGAGACAGATTTAAGTATTCAGTACTCAGCTTGATAGAATCTTGGAAGGAGGTGATAACGGTGAAGATTTTGTTTATTAAAGTCTCACTTTTAAAAACTATAATATTTGTCTTCAACATAAAAACTAATCAGAATTAATGAGAATATAATTTCAACAAATCGTTACCTAGTGAAAAGGAGAGTTGAGAATAGTAAGAATGGAAGTTGATTTTACGTAGCAGTTATGAAACTGACTTAGTCCAGTTGTATGTTAAAGGGTGGGAATAAGGGTAAAGTGTTTGATTGGGGAAAAAATTAAATATATAATGAATTTAGAGTAAAAATTCTACACTTTTCATCATAAGAGTGGTAGACACGTATTTTGATTTTGAAAGAAGAGATCAGAACGTAACCCATGAATTGTCGTTGACTTGACCAAGTATAAATAATGCCATCGAAGACTTTAAACATGTTATTAGAGGAATGTCGATCCTTTGAAATCAGTCGTTATGAGGGTGCAAATGTTTGAGAATAAAGCTACTGACATCAGTTTTATTTCCCCGATTCACCTATTTGCAGAATACATTCACAAAATTGCAAGCTGAATTTCTAAAAGTTCTATGAACCATCGTTGGTTTCTTCATAGATTGATAAGCTTCATGGCAATAAAATTATTGATAGTGACTTTAATGAATCGGTAGAAGTTTTCTAGGTAACATTTTAGTACAGGGTGTTGTTCCATGCGAAAAGTAGCTTCATTTTGATGGCCTATAGTATGCACAGCAAGTACTCAATTGCTCATTAATAATTAGTTTCCTCAGTGTTCATTTACAACAGCTTTGCCAGTTTCTTAACTCTAACCTGTGTAGAATTCATTTCCTTAATACTAAAACGCGTGGTGAGTTTGACATCTCATTACTGTCGAGGTACTTACAGGGGCTTCTACATGAATGTAAGTTTTGTGTGCTGTCATGTATAGAAAGCGTTGATCACCTAACCGATTACTTCTTTTCTACGGTCGGTCGGTCGGTCGGTTTTCGACATGGAACTTTGCACATATGCGCTGCAGTTCAAGTCGCCACAATCCATGTAGCACGCAAAGCAAGAGAAGAAAGTAAAAGAAATGCATAATAGAGACAGTAAACAGAGGTGTGAGTTGAAGATTTCAGCTCCCAGCTGGCCCCAGAATATCTTTCGTCTCCATGTATTCGGAGAGAATCACCTTTTATCTCCTCTAGGCTGCAGCCCATACAAATTAAAATAGAAATGACTGAGATCAGGAATCGAGGTAAGTAATACAACCTTCGATCTAGTTCTTGGTATTATACTGACAATCAGCAGGACTAGTTATTTGTACTACATTTGTGAGTGACAAAAGTAGTTATTCAAACTAGCCCACTGTTACTGAATTGTCGCAGGTAACTGATAAGAAGCCGACAGAATTCTGTCAGCACTATGGAGTAGATGTGACACTGAATACACACTACTAACCGATCACTGTAGACCAATAGGTTTCTGCACATCACTATCCGAGGTATATCTTTATTATTATATGTTACAATAAAGCGAAGTTGGTGGGAACAAGCATTTAATGACCTAAATGTGTGTACAGATAACCCAAAATTATGTTTACTTTAATTGGGAATTAAGGTCATTTGATCCAAGAATAAATACTATTCCTCAAACCAATTATGGTCGATTATCGACCAGTCAGCCTGTGGTGAGAGTTGTCTACTAGCCAAATTGGTAGACAGTAATTTACGTCAATATTTACGTTCCCAAGATTTGTCGTGAGAAAATGTGAACAAAGATTGATTCAAAACTGACCACAGCAGACTTTGATTAGGCGGATGCAGTTAACATATAGAGGATTTGACATTCAAGAAACAGTCACAAATAGATGAAAGATTAACTTTACGTGAGAAACAACCAATCAGAAGACTGTGTTTGTTTGCTTAACTAACCATAGTAACGTACATGGAAATATATAAATATGCGTTGATTTCCTTAATAAATGATCTGTAGCCTGACCCTTGTCTTCTGTCGTTACAAGCCAACATGTGACTAGTGGTAAAAATGAATTCAAATGCAAATTAGATCATCCAACACTTTTGATGGCAGTTTACATCTTGTTTTTTCATCTCCTCTTAATCGAATCACTTGATAATTTCGCATAATGCAATGGAAACAACTTATGAGGGGATAGAAAGATCACATCCAGCCTTTTCGCAGGGATTCTACATGTGCTGTGTACAGTCAATATAATCAGATGAATAAGTAGTAGTAATCACTCAATTGTGTATTATAAGGAACTCTTCAGCAGTACTCACCTACCGGGGTTCGAACCCAGGGCCTTCTGGTTACAAGGTTGAAGATGAGGCAGTAATTCATCGAAGAAGACATTACGAAATGGTCGCGCTATGTCGTGAATTGGTAGAAGTTATAATTCAAGGACCATTGGGTCGGGGCCCCATGGCTCAATGGTCTACGAGCTCGCCTTGTAACCAGAAGGTCCTGGGTTCGAACCGTGGCGGTGGGTGCGTACTGCCAAAGCGTCCCAAACTAGGACAAAACAGCTGTCCAGTACTCCCAGGTTTTCCAGTGGTTCTCTAACTGATGTCAGCTCATAATGAAATCCTCCATGCAATCAAACAAAAATCCCTACAAAACCAATACTTGGATATTGTAAGGGAGACGAACGCTAATTTTTGAACTATACATTATCAACAAACGGAATTGGTGAGCATACATCATCATGCATTAATGTCCGGCGTTAGTCTCCTTCTACTTTCCTATTAACTAATGTTTTTAATGCGTTTGTTATTTTTCGCGTAGCTTACTTGTTGTTTTGTTTGGATAGCTGTTCTATCCTGTGATTACATAACCACTTTCATTTAAGTTCATCTCTAAATTAGAGTATATCATCCTTGATAAATGTTGATAAGAATGTTTATACTTTCATTCCTATGTATACTCTGGAGACAGTGTTTTTTTTAATTGTTCTTTTCAATCTACTCTTCCGATATCAGTTGGACATTCATTCACTTATATCACAGTAACCATTCTTAATTTCTCATTTATATCATTTGTACGCAGCTGATGAAAATCCTGTAAAATAGGATGAATTCTGAAGTGTTGATTTGGAGGAATTCAATGGTTTACAGATTTGATCACGAGCCGACATCAATTAAAGAAACATTAGGAAAACCAGGGGGTACTGGATAACTGTTTCGTCCTAGTTTAGGACTCTTCATCAATATGTACTCACAGCGACTGGGACCCAAGATCTTCCTCCTACAAGGCGAGCTGTTAGACTATTCAGCGATTGAGTTGCAATGTCAGCTCATCATCAAAGTTTTAAAAAGTATCTTGTTTTATCTTGTAGAAATTGTTTTCATAGTTATTTTTTAAAATTAACAAGGCAGTTTGAAACTTGGTTGTTTTCAACGTATAGGTCAACAGTTGTCCACACTTTTTCTTTACTTCAGTTTGTGATATACAGTAAATACAAACCGAATTCCTCGGCAGATATCACCATGAGTTGATGTCAAACAGTTGTCGATTTTTCGTCAATTTCCGATTATCAGTAGACTAATGTCAAATTTCTGATTAAAAGTAACTTTCCAAGGAACTTAATTCATTTCAAGTTTGATCACAGATTGATATCAATTGGATAATCATTCAAAACCAGAAAGAATTTAACAGTCATTTCGTCCTAGTTCGGGACTCTTCATCAGTAAGTACCTATGATACCACAGGTAATCGAACCCAGAACGTTCATCTTACGTGACGACCACGTTGACTATTCAGTCTCTGGGACAGAATCCGACTGTTTATGAATTCTGACTTCTGTGAATTCGCGATTATAGCGTGACATACATCCAATTCATGGACCTTGGGATTCCATCCCAATGACTGACTGACTGGTCAGCGAGCTCGTCTTGTAACCGAAAAGTCTTGGATTCGATTATCAGTGGGGTCATTGGTGCATACCACTGAAGAATTCCAAACTTTGAAAGTAACTTGTTGCTAATTTCTTGTTGTTCATCTATCACATTTTTTACTGGTATGCCACTGAGCTAATTTAAGAAAAAAGTAAATTGTGATCTTTTTCAAGAATTATTTTGAATCATTTCATAAATTTTACAATAAATTATTTATCTACCCTAAATGAAACAAATGTACAATTAAGTGAAATAGATTGAAATAACTTATCAGATTTGTACATATATTAAAACAACCGCACAAAGCATATTGAAGTTACAAAAAGGAAGATCGAATCAGAGTCCTGAGTTGATTCTGACGAATTCATTCACGCATTTATGTGTAAGTAATAGTATTCTGTTCCAGAAAAATAAAGTACTATGCAAAATATTTATTTGTCTATATTACATCACTCCAATTTTGCTTACTACTAACTACAAATGGTTAGTAGTTTGCTCATTTCTGTATGTAGCATTATTATGAATCATTCATTGCTTGCTGAATAAGCCGCTTTAAGATGTTTGGCCAAATTTTAATGAGATAATGTTGTCTAGATAACTTTTCTTCAAGTAAACGCGTTTCGCAATCCATATTCTCCGTCTGAAAGATTAAATTTTGAAAAAAACCAAAGGATTACGTCATATGTCTATGCAATCTTACAGGTAATAATGGTGTCGAATTATCAGAATAGCTTGTAGCTGTTTCGTTTTTTTTGGGGGGGGGCTAATTTATTAGTGAATTTTATCAGTGAAACTCCTTAGAATACTTTTGAAGTACGAAGAGTAGTCAGAGAATAATTGTTTCATTCCTGTTTTATAATTTTTACAATATTCCAGACTGCTTTACCAAACATACTTACATTGATTAGCCACTAGAGTATAAAGATAGTCATGCGTCAAGTCCTTGGTATTTATGTAGACTGAATTCTGTCAGCCAACTTTGTAATGTATTCACCCAGCTAAGTGACTGGCCATCGCGAAGCACTCAGAAATGACGCCTTCAGCCGTCTAACATCGATTTAGAGTGCACCGCGATGGTCAGTCACTTAGCTGGGAGAATACATTACAAAGTCGGCTGACATAAACACCAAGAACTAGACGCATGAGGGTGTTTGTTCCCTGGTGACCATTCAATGTGTCTTTTACAGTCCTACAAGAAGAATAGCTCAGTGATAACATGTACAACTGCAGCACTCGGTGAAGTAGGTTCGAATCTCAGAGGGGAAATCAGTCCCTTCAGGATTGCATATACACTTTCCTGATAAGTCCCAGCAAGCACGAAACTTATGTCCAGCGTTTCCTGGCGATTGCCTTCAACCATCTAAGCACCCTGAGCGTTTTGACAAATATTTACTTCTCAGTATGCTTCAAAGACCTCTTAGGAACATGAATGTGCATAGTCTAATTCTGGCGACATGATTATTTTTGTGAAAACTTTTCTTGTGTATTCAAATCTTAGTACACAACAATTATCCTCCAAAGTTCTTGGTAGGGAACTAGCTGTCGGTGTTATAGAAATGTTCCTACTGATTTAACCGTCATACATCTCTGATGCTAAAAAGGATTTGCGCCTTAGAATTTAGCTTAAAATTAATTACATTTAGTAATTATCCTTGGAAGGATTATGAAGCTGGTGAAGTAGATTATTTACGCGAATTCATTCTGTGAGTCAGTCCAAATCATCTGATTCTTGGATCTTTTGATTTATTTGTATTCAAATTGAAGAATCAAACTGGATTAAATATAAAAATGGAAGTATCCGAAGAATTTCTTTGGAACACCAAATATCTGACAAAAGCAGAATACAACCCTTTTCAGAGCATATTTATTTAATGAAATCAAGCAGGATTTATGCGGCATCAGAAACTAAATTTCAACGATTAATTCAAGTATTGAAAATTCAGTCAAAAATGAATCTGATCAACTAGAAGAAGACTGATATTAAACCATGAATCAAACTGACAGAATAGTTCCATATGTACATATTATTATTATTCCCCTGGGTTCCTAGTGGAAAATAGGGCTTCAACAACACATCTGCACTTTGTTCTATTTTCTGCTGTCCTCTTCAGCTGGGTCCACGATTGCTCAAAATCTCTCATCTCCTCTTCACACGATCTCCTCCATGTGACCCTCGCACTGACGACCCACGCGTCACTTCCCATTTGGATTTCACTCGAGCGATGGTCTACCTGGCGCGCAATTTCATTCGACGACCTCCTCAATGTTTACCCGATCCACCTACATTTTATTCGACATCTTTGTTAGGCGATCGGCTCTTGGTTGGCTTGTCGCCTGCCAGAATTTCTTGTTGCTAGTTCTTTCTGGTTGGCCGGCTATCCATTTTATCTTCAGTATGGAGCCAGCGAAGTGGGCAGCTGTTGATAAAAGTCTGTAACCTGTTGGAAATTCTTTTCGCTACACGCTAAGTTTCTGACCCGTATATAGGAAATGACTGACTTTACATCGGTGTTGAAAATCCGAATCTTGTTCTTTATGCTGAGTGTAGAAGATTTCCAAACTGGTTTCAGGTTGATGAAGGCGTATCTTGCCTTTCTGATCTATGCTGGTCAGCTATGACATCTTCATCCCTTCCAACTGCCTGTAGTTGAAACGATGCTTCCCAGATAAGTGAAGGAAGTAACCTCTGTTAAATCTCTCTCGTTGATGGTGATTGGTGCTGGTTGTTGTTGCTGTTGATGTTGGTTGATTATCTTAATCACCTCCGTCTTCTCTATGTTCACCTGCAGTCCTGTCTTCTCTGCCAGGCTCTCCAGCCACTTTGTTGGTTTTCGCCAGTAAGTCTTCAAGTTTGTAGGGAAATGTAAAAATAAAATAAGTAATGATTGTAGTGATAGCGATAATAATAATAATAGCAATATTAATGACGACATGCATGTCAAACATGCGCACGATAATGACAACATCAACAATCATCGGTAGTACTTCCATACAAAGAAGGAACCTCGGAAACCTTGCGCAGTATTCTTAACAAGCCAGGAATAAAAGTGGTTCGCATTCAAACCCACAAACTCAATTAGAAACAAGCTTCGTCGGTTAAAGGATCCCTCCAGGGGAGCCTTTAAAACAAAACAATTTAGTTTATCTGATACCCTGCTGGAATGATTGTCAAAGTAGTAGAACAGAGGCAGTCAGACTAGCCGAGCATTAAAACCTAGCTAAATCTAGGTTAGTTAACCCGAGTAAGATAAGAAATCTAGAGAATAGTTGAGCCATAGATGGCACTACATGCAGTTCCACACAACTATACAATAGGATGGGATAAGATGACAGTTTTAAAATCTAATGTGACAGGGTGGAGGAAGAGACTGGTAACAGAAGCTTTGTTTATCGAATCAACTTCAAATACGTGTAATAGGAATGGAATTACTTACTACCACAGTGCCTAAATTTTACACATATATTAACAAATAAACCAAGTAAATGTATCTAAATGACAGTGGTCATCAACGGATGAATATATCATTCAAAATTTATGATAACTAGGTTCAATAAAATGTACCTGAGTCTTGCAGCTGTGTGAGAAACAGATGTAAATAAATTCGATGAATATAGAGAGATGAAGGATGTTGGATATAGGCAACGTAAAACAATGTTAATTTTAATGGTCTACAATCTTTCCTACCTTAAACCTCAATTTATCTTACTTTTCTAAGTGTGTATTTAGTTTTTCTTGTGATCATTTCACTATTATCACTTTATTTTTTACCGTTTTGATGCTACTTTCTTATATGAAATGTAACAGACAGGAAGCGGCTAAAAATAGTAATCGTCTTGTAAATCACCCTATAATCGGATGACTGAAAAATTTCATCATTCTACGTTTTAACCTTGGTTCTGTACCAGTCACCGACCAATCAGAATATTCATTTTTCTTTGTGGATGTAGTCGAATCGTCTACCAATTAGAACAATTTATTTTCCACTGTTCTAGACCAACTGCATTATTGCAGTTAGAAATACAAAAATATGATATGCTTTTTTTCCTAATAAGTAGGTTTGTATTGCTTACAGTTACAGGTCAGTCTTTGTCTTTTGAGATATTTTAACGTGATTCAGTGAACCGGAAGGTACTAAGAGACGAATAACCGTATGAAGTATCACTGCTAAGTTGTACATTGCGTCAGTATTGTTATAACCAGGCATAAGCCTACTCAATTGTCGATAAGATTATAACATTATCAGTGTTTGTATAATGCTGATCATGTTATTTACATTTGTTTATTTTACATTTATATCAGTTTCAAACACCGTGACGTTATATTTTATCAAGCTGTTAGCTATATCCCAAGCAAAATACTAAGCTGCATCATCCTGGAGAGAATCAAACAGGCAATGCTGTGTGAAAAACTTCGATCGGAACAGTCTGGATTCTGGAGGAACAAGTCATGCATCGATTAGATCGCAACACTATGGATCATCATTGAACAGAGCTTGGAATGGAAGTCACCTCTCTATCTCAACTTCATCGACTTTGAAAAGGTCTTCAGCAGAAAGCGTCTATCGAGAGGTGATTTAGAAACTACTTCGCTACTACGGGGTGCCGCCAACAGCTATACACCTCATCCGGCAGTTGTACAATAATGCTGCATACCAATTAATCCACAACGGGAAACTCACGGAATCCTTCGCAGTGAAGACGTGGGTAAGACAAAGCTGGCTGGCTGCCTACTATCTCCAAATATTTTCCTGATTGATGACAGTAGACTGCATAATGCGACAGACAGACAGCGGAGGCGGGGAACGAGAAGATAGACATAAAATGAATCCATACAAAAAACTTGGAGTATCTGGACTTCGCCGATGATATATGTCTGATTTCCCACAAACTGGAAGATATGCAAGTGAAAAGCAACAAGTTGACAATAGAAGAAGCATCCAGAGAAGACAGGACTTAAGGTGAACATAGAGAAAACGGAGATAGGTGACGAAGATTCCTGACCAACAGCAACAGCCACAACAACAACAGACAACAATCAGCCAGCATAAATGGAAGAAATCTGGAAGAAGCAACCTCCTTAACCTACCTACCAGGGAAGCATCGTTTCAACTACAGGCGGATGGAACTGATGAGGATATCAAGGAGAAGATCGGGAAAGCAAGATAAGCTTTCATTACTCTAAAGTCAGTCTGAAAAATAAGATCCGGATTTTCAACTCCAATGTGAAGTCAGTGCAACTTACTATTCGTACGGATCAGAGACTTGGCGAGTCACGAAGGTCACTTCGAACAAACTACAGACCTTCATCAACAGCTGTGTTTGCTGAATATTACTCAAGATAAGGTGGCCGGCCAGAAAAGATCAGCAACAGCGATCTCTGGCAATGAGCGAACCAACCCAGCAGGAACCAAGCATGTAGCAAATATGCAGCAAGAAATGTTGGTGGGTTGATCATACTCTGAGAAAACAAACCATCAAGTGACATCACACGCCAGACTATCGCTCCAGCTGAACCCGAATGGGAAGCGTTGAGTTGGTCGTCAGTGCAAGGGTGGGGTGACATGGAGGAGGTGATGCGAACAGGAGATGAAATCATGTGGACAAACGTGAAGCCAGGTGAAAACGTTGTCGGAGAATCGAACGCAGTGGAGACGTGTGGCTGAAACCCTATGGTCTTCTAGGAACTAAAGGAAATAATACATATGATAATACAATATAACAAAGGCTTTATAAAGATTCTGTTTATTTTAGTACTGTCATTATTCTTAACTCCGTTAGTCGACAGCATCAACGTAAATCAAAGACAAAACAATCTAATAATTTTTTTAGGAGGTATGAAGAAGTGATTGATAAACGGTAGCAATAATAATAGCAGAAATAGTCAAACGCAGACATATTTAATGAGATCTTTGGAATTTATTCTACTATACTAGAACTTTGTTACTGATCACAATATATTCTGGATCAACTTATGACATGATAGGTCAGTCAGTGAGTTCAGACTAAGTAAATGAAAAGTTAACTGTTTCATAATAATAATAATAATAATAATACAGTGTCATTCATTGTTAACTTCCTGAGACTACTTTATTACTTAAACATGTTTTAATTATTCAAAATCTTGAAAGTGACTGAAAGTAACCGGTGCTTCCAGTTAAATAACCGCCCAAAGTTCTCAGTAACCTATGAAGTCTTCATACAATGAATTTGTCAGAAAGAAGGGCAGCTTTTATAAAAACCATAACAAACTATGTTTTTAGTAGAAGATATCACCTTCTTATTATTTGTTTCTTCTTATTGTAGCAGTATTTCCACTCACTTCATCTGAAACACAAGCGCTTGCCACCAGTATGCAAAATGTATCTCAGTCATATCAGGTCAGCATTGGCGATCGACAGTTTCTAACATTCTCAACAAATATTACACAAGTTCAAATGAACTGTAGTCGTGATTTGACAGAATAGTTCTAAAATATTTGGGCGCCGAGTGAGAAGTAGACATTTGTAAAAAAAATTATATTTGTAAAATCTCAGCGAGATTGAAATGAGTTATTCCAACGTTTCCTGCGTTCGGCAATCTGCTGCAAACTTCTTCAGGGAAATTAATCGGAATTAAAATAACCGATGTTTATATGTAAAAGGAACATCTCTTGTTTTTAAAAACTTTGTCCAATCATGAGTCATGAAACAGGTATCAACATGTATGATAAACAAAATTGAATGAGCTGTGATCAAAATTTCACCTCGGACTTACAAATATTGGTCTGCCTTTGTTAAACACTTTAAACAGAGTGTGTATATGTGTGTGTGTGTAAATAGTTGTAAAACATCTTTAACGTCTCCATAAAAAAATATAGACAGTCGGGAATTTCGACCAAGTATTATTAATTAGTGATACATATCCATTTTTATTTATTAATCAGGATTATGCTATGTATCAGCTAACATTACATCTTCATGTCTGTTCAAACTGTTAGTATCTAGAATTTTATGATTAGACGTATTTTCAGAATTATGGTGTTTAGGATTAGAGTTTAGTAGAAGCACCCTGTCGGACTTATTACTTTGCCTTCTTTCTGAAGATTGAGCTGCTTTATTCGACCTACTGGAGTTGTCATGTGACTCGACTGCTACGGATTTAGGATATACATTCTGTTGCAGACAACGGAAGAACAAGAGATGTTACTTTTATAATATAAACCTCTGTTATGTTAATTTCGATTAATTTCCCTGAAGAAGTTCGGACCAGATTGCCGAACGCAGGAAACGTTGGAATTACTCATTTCAATCTCGCTGAGATTTTACAAATATAATTTTTTACAAATGTCTATTACACAAATCTATTAAAAAATTACTTCTATTCAGATATTTTACAAGTGAAATTCCCACAACAGAAAACTCTTACTTTGCTACATTAGGTTGACATGACAACATGCCGTTTAACATATTCTATTTTACATGTTCATTTGAACATGTTAGGAGTAGGTCTCTAGTCAAGTTGGGTTCAAATGACTTGATTAAAAACTCCTCATTTCTTATTAAAAATAAACCAAACGGTATGTGTTTTTATTTACCTGATGTAATGTTTTAGATAAATTATGAATTATATTATTTTTCTTTTCTTTAATTTCATACATTGAATTCTCATATGTATTCATCAATTGAATTGATAAATTTTTTATTGAATCCATTGAACAGTCTTTATTCATCATGTTGTCAGTGCCTAACCATTTACCTGACAGTGGAGAACCAAATTGTGATAAAGTGTTGTTATGACTAGTAATAGTTGCTATGGCAATATTAGTGACAGGGTTCAATGTACATGTATTATTAGATATATTCTCATTTGTTGTTGATAATAAGGATGATGTAGGCTGGGAATTCATCAATAATTCTTTTGTTTTCGACATCTCATTCAATGAAGCATTATTACTCATTAGATCTACTGCAGTACTGGAGTTTTCCGCTTTAAATTTATTTTGTAATTTTTTATGAATTATTTGATTTAATGACATACAGTCAGTATTGCGTAATTGTAGTCTTTCATAAAATGAATTGAATAGACTTTCTGATTCGTTTATCTCATTCCGTTTAATCTGTAGTTAATGTGAAATTGAAAAAATTAGTAAGACATTACTATGGAAACATTATTTATATGAGTAAAATTGAATATTTATTTGATCAGAATAAAATGTCTAAAAATAAGTAACATGACCTGTGTGATAGCGAGGGTATTACTATGCACAGAATGTTCTTTACTTTGAAAAAGATGTCAACTACACTGTTTGATAGTACTGAAAGCTGTGTTGACATCGATGCGATGCCCAGTATCGACCGAGTGTGACACGATCGAACTTTTTATGCACTTAATTTCCCCCTGCTGAACCAGGCTGGTAAATGTTCTCGAACCCGTAGACGAACCTGCCTAATCATGCATCCTATATAACTTGAACCACAGGAACGGTTGAAATGATATATGCATGAAGAAGAGCTCTTCTTCGATGTCAACACAGCTTCCAGGGTTATATACCGAATTCCAAAGTCGTTATCACGTACAGTTCGCTTACGTCTCCTACACATAGCTGAAGCTGTTGCAATAAGATAGACTAAACCGGAACTTTGTATCCAAAAAGAACACGTCAAGACACTGTTCCTACCATGGCCAAACCTGGATTGGTGATTCTTCTTCTCACCAAGAGTGGTTCTTCCCCTTAACCCTCTTGTTTTTTCGTTTTTTTTCCTCTTCTTTTTATTACAACTATTATTATTACAATTATTATTATTTTTCGTCATAATTTATGCCTTTTATGCAAACATTCTCTCAATACTATAAAATTTCCCATTTATACTATCCGGACTTATTATTAGTGATATCATCTCTTTTCTCAATATATGCCTCCACCTGTTTCATTTCACACATTCATAATTTCATTATGAACCTCTCATTGCAGTCTTACTATCTCCTGTTTAATACATACCACTTTGTACTAGCCACTCACCTGACACCTTTTGTAACCTTGAACTGACTTGTCAATTTTCCTACCCCCACTCTACAAATCTATTATGATTAATCACCATTGTCTCCTGTTTTACATTATTTTGTAATCGAATTCAGCCTAGCACGTTTGCCACACAAATACGACTATTTATTTTGACACCCTACGATAACTAATCTGTTATTCTACGTTAAAAATGTATCCACCGCATAACTGGCCATTATTGTAACGACAGTAAATATTATACTTTATAATTGTAAGATCCTGAAGAGAAATTATTGAAAAGAATATTCTTCGTTCAGATTGACTTTTATTCAGATATCTGCATGTTATCTGAGAACTGATGTACTTAAATAGAGTGGAGACAAGGTCAGTAGCTGTTACAATAGGCATAATGACGAATGCCACTACAATCCAGATATTCAAGAATTTTAATAACGATGCTGACGTATAAATGTTTGTCTTCATCTAAAGTAGTAACCAGGTGGTAACCTTTAGAAACCAGTTATCTCCTCGGATGTATTCATTGTCAGTATAAGAAGATGTATTATCAACCTGTTTGAGTCCTGGTCTGTCGCCTGTAGGGTCAGATTATGTACGCTGAGTGATTGTCTTATGATAACAAATTGTGTTATCCAGTGCTATATATATGAAAACTGAGCTCAGAACATAATACCGATTGACTTTTCCACATCCGATTACTTGTATTTAAATATTTTTCATTGAATAGTAAGAACTAGAACGAACTTATTACATAGAACTAAATCGGGATGGTGTAGAAAAAACTGTCATTTGAGTAAATGAAATATTGGAAATGAAATCTATTAAAACGTCATCGGTTTATTAATATATGCTCATACCTATGTTATTTGTTTATGATCCTTTTTAGGTGATATTGTAAATTTACACTAGAAATTTACTAAAGTGGCAATACTAAGGAATAAAAATAACTGTAGAGAGAACAGTTATATTTGTTCATTGAAGACTACCCATTTAGAGGTTAAAACTCACCTCAGTTCCCTTTGGAAACTATTCATGGCAGATCCAAAGGGTCATTTCATTCATATGGGGCCAAACTCGTCAGCAGTATGCTTGGTTAGACTGTTCTCAAAGTGTCAAATCATCTCAAACTACCCAAAATTTGGATGAGATTGAAAGGGAGTAAAAGGTAGCTATTCCAACACGTAGTGTCAAGTAAGGAAGTATCACTGTTTATTTGGGCTACAGACAAGTGTTAACAGTCGATAACTGTACATCCTAGGTGATACAGTACAAAATCTACCAGTCTCCACCATTGTCAAATTCACAAACATTTCCATTCACTTTTATCTAATTTTATTCATTCCTCGTATTCCCATTGACTCGTTAAGTGTTTGAAAAAGTATTTATTTCTCAGAGTTCTTGTAGATTACTCAATGTTTGAATGTGTTACTTATTGTTAATCAAACTGTTGCGTATCTTTGTAAAACTATGTAGACTTTTAGGATGACTTGGTACTAGTTGGTTTTTCTTTTTGTTATGTTTTCCAAGTCTCGCAACAACTGAATGTCATAAGCAAATTTCACTTACAAGAAGCAAAGTAACCCTACGCTTATTGAAAGTCTTTCTCAAGCAGAGGTCAATTAAATAGACTGATAACCTTATGGCTTCCCAACAGCAGTGCTGTGTCTTAGTGCCATATGAGATTCAAGCAGGTGTCTAGGACACACTATAATTCTTAATTCTACAGACAAAGATACTGAAACAAATACGCAAATGGAAAGAATTTAATAAATTTAAATTTTGACATCGTTCGAATCCTACATTTGCATAGATTGGTCTTTCCCCTGCTTCTAGTAGTCAGTAGTTCACAAAAATTTACATTAGTATGTTGAGAACTCATATGGCAGAAATAACTGCTCACTGGTCTAGTCTTCTTCAAAGCATATACAGTGAGAAAAAGCACTGATGTGTTATCTTTAATAGTTTTCTAAATGTAACAGGTTTGTTCTGAAAACTAATGAAGATAGTTTCACACTGCCTAGTAATTTTCTTTAAACTGATCATGAGAGAATAACAAAAGAAACTCAAAATGTATCTGTCAACAATGGGGATAACCTCCACGACCAAGGACATAGCCGAAATTAAGGTGATTTTAAACTGATTTAGCTCTCAGAGCGAAACGGCCATCTGCAGTTTGGATCACTTCGATCCGGCTACCCAGCACTGCTATTTGACTTCAGTATTCTCCTACAGTTGTTTTCAATAGCTTCTTCCTGAGGCTTTACATTTACAAAGCCATTAATATTAACTTATAATAGCCAATAAAGACAAGTTAAAAGCATCTCAGAAACTGTATTTTTGTACGAGAGGAAGATGACATAGTAGTCTTTCCGTTTGATTACCATGACCACCGAGGTCCATCATGTTGAGCTTGGGGACAGATACTAGCTGATGACATTGGCTGGTGGTCGTGCTATACATGGCGATTGAGTGCACCATCGAACTCTCTCTCAGTGAATAATTGGTTAACGGGCTTGCCTTTTCAACCTGGAGATGCTGGGTCTGATCCCTGGTTGGGTCATTAATGCGTATTACAGAAGAATCGCAGAATCCAGTGATTCTCTAACTGAAGCCGGTGCGTAATCTAACTTGAAATCAATAAAATCCCTGCAAATCAATACTTGTAAGTTTTGATTATCATTTAAATGCGCACAAAATATTACCGACTCTATGTTTATTTAAACTCCTTTAATTATTCTTTTTCTAAATAAGTTTTGCAGATACTGAAAATAACCCCTTGTAAACCAAGGTATAATGTTAAAGAAGTTTACTTACTAATTCATCATTTAGAAATGATAACTTTAAAATATCCCCAAGACTCCAGATAACAAATGGACGCCATAGTTGACCAGATTGTTCAACAATTGGATTACCATCTGAACCATTAACCCGTAGTGCATTCAATTGTTCAAATGCGGTGAGATCAAGAATTTGATGTAAGTATTTAAGTCCATTACTTTCTAAATTTAATTCCTATATTTTTTTTTCAAAGAATATAAATATGAATTGAATAAGACAAAATGTTTAATAACTCTGAAAAAAATTATGCTGAATCATAAATTAGCCAAAAATAGCTGATGAGTATGCAAATACCTGATGAAGTTCACTTTGAAAACAATCAAGTAATACTGATATTAGACCTTTGAAGTGAATTTCGATTTTTTTATTCCTATACATTCTCAGTGGAACATAGCGCTTCAAGCCAGAGGCCTGAAATTTCGGTAGCAGTGGTGTTCATTTTTACGGGATGGGGTTGCCAACCTCGTGCCCAACCTTCCGTCTCCACCAGTCTTATTACTAGCTTAAAGATGTAAAGGAGCGCGTCGACCGGGGATCGAACCCCGGACCATATGTGTGGTCGGTGGGCATCCTACCACTGTGCCATCGATTAATTACTCATTAATGAATGACTCAGATGAGTTATGTGAAATTCTAATGGAAAAGCATGGAGGCTTGGACTCATCAAGACAAGTGTAAGAATAAACGCCACTAGATAGAGTTGCATGGATTAGGAGAAGATGGAAAATATTAACGGCTAAATTGTTACCTAATGATTAAATGATACAAACTTAAGTAAAAATGACTTTTAACTCGATCTTCTATAACAGCAGAGTTCCAAATAAAGGAGAAAGCGGTTTTTCAAGCAAGTAGCTTTGGTTTCCACTAGTTTTATGACTACTGTATAATACTGAAGAAATTCAGTTTAACGCAGGTTATCGAAGAAGTCTGATTGTATTTAGATCTAACGTTGTCACTATCATTACTAATGATTTTAATGTATCCTTCGCGTGTATATCCCTTCTAACAGATTCATCAGCTTTTTTTAACGAAGTGTTAAGGTAAATCAGATAAAATTTCAATTATTGTATGCCTTTTGGTTAACTTCACGTTTGGATAACAGCAATTTCATTAATACTTGGATCTGTAGTCCCGTCTAAAAAGTAAGGAATAGGGGATAAGGCTGAGAAGTAGTCAGTAGTCTGGTGTGCTATGAGACTGAAAAGAAAATAGAAGTGGAAAAGTGTCATATAATAAATAAAGACGTATTAGACTCTAACTTGTCTTTATTCGTACTCCCTTTACAGTTCGCCAACACCGTAGGTTGATTACAATAACAAATATCCTATCCCACAACTAATTCTCATTCACAGTGATGATTTAGTTCCATTTTAGCTTGTGAATTTCTTAACATGAAATTCGTCCTCAACATTTGCACATAATTGCTTCAATGACTCAGCTTAAGCAGCTCCATTGTGGGTGTATGCTTTATTATTTTCCCAACACTTACACATATTCACTAGACTCAATAAACAACATGATTTGTTGACAGTTATCAGCTTTTTTTCTTTTCTACTCCTACGGTAACGACAGAAGACAAGGGCCAGGCAACAGATCGTTTATCGAGAAAATCAAGAAATATTTATAGATCTTAATGTACATTATTGTCAGCGGAGAAGCAACATCTTCTGATTGCATGTTTTCTTGCTGAAAGTTATTCTGTAGTGCTTGTGACGGTTTCTTAGGAAGTTAAGCCATTTATCTGTGAATCATATTTGCACACGCTAAGTCTGTTGTGATTGGTTGGTGAGTTTCTTTTTCCTTCACGTTCCCCAGTGGAACATAGGGCTTCAAGCTAGTGGCTTGAAGTTTCTGTAGCAGGATTGGGTTGTTAACCTCAAACCCAACCTTTCCTCTTCACCAGCATTATTTCTGCCTTAGCGAGGTTTGGGAGTGCGTCGGCCGGGGATCGAACACCAGACCATGTGCATGGTCGGCGAGAGTCCTAACCGCTATGCCACTGACGCACTGAGTTCCTCAAGGTTATTATGTTTTTTCCCCCATGACCCCAATTCGGGACGTAAACACTGACGTAAATCGCCGTCTACAATTATGGCTTGCAGACAGCTCTCACCACACTACAACCTGTCTACAGATCAGTTAAGAAAAACAATAACAAAGAAGTATTCAAGAAATTACCTTTAATTCCGGTAGTAATTCATGAATTGTCGGTATCCACTTTACAAATACATCCCAATTCACATGTCGAATAGTTAACATATCAATATGCTCAAAATGCGACGATTTGATCAACCCATTAATGCTGACATCTGCTGGTATATTATTATCATTAACATTATTATTACTACTACTAGTAGTAGTATTATTTGATTTTATATTTTGTAAGTCATTCACTAATTGAGAGAAATTGTCAAAAACAGTGGCATTTTTCTTGGTGATGTCATTAATTAGAGAATTTGTAATATCGTCATCTGGACGATTAACACTCTCTATATCCTCACTAACATAATATCCTTCAATTATTAAGTGATTCCATTCAGTAAAGTAATAAGTATATTTCAATAATGAATTATCTGCCAGTTGATTTGACAACAGTAAATAACTTTCATTAGTCAATGTTCCAGTTGATTTACAGAAGAGCACTTTATTCTTTCTCTTATTACTTATATCACTATTACATTTGTATTTTTTATTATTATTTAAATTTTCATGTATTCTCACTACACCTTTCTCTTCTTCATTGTCTTCATCTTCTCCTTCACTTCTTGACGGTGGTGTAGATGATGTCAGCGTTGAAGAAGAAGTGGACTGGGATGTTGACAGTCTGAATGTATCAAATTTATGTTGATTAAAAGATTTCTTTAGATGAAATGCTGGATTGCTTTCATTGCTTTGGCAGTTTTCTGACCTAAGTACTATTGATTCATCTCGATTACATAATTTGGCGGTTAATTTTTCAAGATTCTTAGTGAATTCTGTTGTAGGGCTAAAAGAAAAAGTAATATATAATAGAGGTATGAGTGCGTGGATTAGTTTATCAGAGCTTTTTCTTTTAATGTTGCGTTTCTTTTATTTCATATTGACGGTACAATGCAAGCAAATAAACAAATATTGGTTGTCAGATTTGAAATAATTAAATGTCTAATCAGAACAAACTTTATTATCACATTTACATTACAGTATAGATGATTAAAACAAAATCATTTTTCAATCAGTTAAGTCTTTCAGTAATAATAATAATGATACTAATCTGTAAGTTTGTGTTCTTTAACTGAACTCTAACTGAGGAACAAAATCCTAAAGTTCTTTCACTTTTATTCTCTGTATATTCGTAGTAATAGATTCTAAATTTCTGGTGAGCATAGATTTAATTGTCTTCATAGACTCATAAACGTGCGTCGGTGGCACAGCGGTTAGGACGCTCGCCGACTATGCACATGGTCCGGGGTTCGATCCCCGGCCAACTCACTCCTTTACCTCGCTAAGCGAGTAATAGAACTGGCAAAGAGGGAAGGTTGGGCATGAGGCTAGCAACCCCATTCCGTAAAAGTAAACACCACTGCTACCGAAACTTCGAGCCTCTAGCTTGAAGCCCTATGTTCCACTGGGGACGTGAAGGAGTAAAAAGAAAAATAAACTCTTGTTCAATAATTTCTCTGGGTTCACAATAATAATAATATGCCGGAGGCGATTTTTCAGGAACTTCATACATTGGAAGAACAGAAAGAAGAGCATACCTCCGATTTTCTGAACACGTACCAAAAAGCCTACGTCTCAAGGGAACACATTCTTTAAACAATGCCATTACTAGGGATTTTCTTGATACGGGGTCATGAGATGGACATCACAAGATCGTTCAAAATTATCAATAGGCAAAAGAGTTCAATTCTCCTTAAGTTTGCCGAAGCAATCTTCATCAAGTGCCTGAAATCTGATTTATGCGTTCAGAAAGAAGCGGTTATCAGTCTTTCCTTGCCCTGATAACTGAGTGTTTTCATTCTCTCTTTCATCTGATTGCGTAATACCGAAAGGTTCCATTGTGTAAGATTATTATTGTTTGAGATGAAGTCTTCATTATTATTATTAGCATTGTATGCATATATTGAATGATTGATTCTTGTTTAAAAAGGAGCTCTCAGCGTAAGTATATTAAAACTGTTTATGTAAATATACTTAATAATGTCTTTGGTCTGTAAGCAGCTGAGTAGAAGCCAACGAAATAAATGATGGTACCATTTTATTCTGTACAAACTGTTATTCTTGCTTTATTCAAAATAATAATATAACTCCTTCACGATTAATTTGAAGTTAGAACTAGGAAATGTATGCAAACTGTTTGAAACTTTCAACACTTTTCCAATTCTCATTGATTATTAGTGAGCAGCTCAGTCGTAGGCGTTGCCTCCCTTTCTACTGTACACTGTCGTCTGTTTTATTTTCATCAAATTTTCATTCTCTATTTTTAATTGAACTTTTCTAAAGTATGACTAACTGAAATGATGGAATCTTTTGAAGAGTTCTACCTGGATAATTCAGTTAATCAATCAAACGGCAGTTCATACAGTATATTGCATAGAGGAATTCATCATGAGCTGACATCAGTTAGGGAACCATTGGAAAACCACCAAGGAGTACTGCACAGATGTTCTGTCCCAGTTTGGGACCCTTCATCAGCACGCACCCACCGCTGCGGTTCGAACTCACGACCTTCTGGTTACAAGGCTAGCTAGCTGGTAGACCACTAAGCCACAGGGACACGATCCAATGGCCAGTTGATGAATTCTAACTTCTGCCAATTCATGACATAGCGCGACCAATTCGCAATGTCTCCTTCGATGAGTTACTGTCTCACCGTTAACCTTCTGTACCCAATTGGTCATGGCTTCCCACTAGAACCTCAGCTTAACTGCCTGAATAGGGCCAGTCGCTAGTGAGCATCAGATTAATTTTCAAGTATTGGTTTTTGTAGGGATTTTGTTTGATTTCATGGAGGATTTCATCATGAGCTAACATCAATTAGAGAACCACTGGAAAACCTGGGAGTACTGGACCGCTTTTTGGTCCTTGTTTGGGACTCTATATATAACATTATTTTCTTGTTAGAAGGTATTCTCTCTCTCTCTCTCGAGAGAGAGACAGTGGCTTGAACACGAATCACAGACACTTGCATTCAGAATAATAATCCTCAATTTATTCATTTCTCAACTACTAAATTACTTTACTAGACAGTAGCTGGTGTATTATCTCTTTCTATACGGGAAAATTAGAAGCTCAATTACCTACAAACTGGATGGTAATATAATCGACTTATATGACACTGAGATCTCTACTAAATGAAAAATCACCTGAATGGAACAGTTTTTTCCTTCTACAAGAGTTTTTAACGTCTACGAGTTTAGCAGTGGAAGAAAGTTAGAAATCGCTGTTTGCATGTTTATATTCAAGAAAATAAGATTTGTAACAGGAAATTTTATTAAAATAATCTACGCCAATCATTTTAATAGGGATTAAGACGCGTAGCTGTTATCCTTTACTTACTCACCTTATGATTACAATTAATTAACTTCGATTTGAGCAGTGTGTTTACCTACTTTTTACTCTATTGATTTCTCTGTTTGTTGTTACTTTTTTCTAATTTTTTTCTTTGATTATAGCTTGATTCTGCACCGTATTTATGGTACAAGTATGGAATTTACTGCATGTGATGTCGGTAGCCTAAATTTTGTAGGCCGACCATAGATTCAGGTGCGCGTACGCAGGAGATCGAAACCCGGACCATGTTAATGGCCTGCGAGAGTCCTAACCACTGTGCCACCGACGCACACGGATGTGAATCCATGTCATTTAGTGCTATTGTCAACGATTTGAACATTGAGCTATTCAGCTTATTACTGGAGACTTTAACAACTGGTTAGTCAACAGACAATGAACAATGTCATTTTGTGTAGTAGCAAGTTTAGTGGAATTTGATTGGTCAGGCTTCCGATTTATTTATCAAATGCTACAAGACTTGCTTCATAACAGTTATATGCTTATAACAGAATATTGATGGAAAACATGGTAGTGGTACCAGGATTTTCTCTAGGAATTCACTGAGGAGATGATTAATGTTTCTGATTAATATCGTTTTCAATTAGATATGTAAGTTTTTACGAGTTTGACCAGGAGCCAGGACCTTCAGGTTACAAGGCAAGCTCGTTTACCATTCAGCCACTGGGACCCGATTCAATGGCCAACTCATGAATTCTAACTTCCTCGAATTCGTGATTTAGCGCGACCCCAACCAATGTCATCGGTGGGAAATCCATCCTCACACGTGACATCTGGTTGAACCTCACTGGTCACCATTTCTCATTAGAACTCCAGGAAACTCCGTTCTGTAGCAAGTCACTAGCGAGCATCAATCCGTGGTCAAACTCGTAAAAACAAATTTACTCCTTACAAACTAACTGTTGGAAATATAAGTTTTTTTTATAATTGAATTATTCATGACTATTGCTGAAAACAACTTTCAAGAAATTATGATATTTGAATCATTAGAATGATACAGTTAAGTACACTAACTTTCTTTCATCATTGATTTCTAGTGTATTTTTATTTTGTTCAGAATTCACATTCCCTTTTAAGTGATTTGATAAACTATCTACAAAGGTTGTCGGTGTTAACTGTAGTCCAGATTGTAAACACTCTTCATTTCCAGATGATGATGATGGTGATGACGATGATAGTGATAATCTTGGCGCTGTAGATTTCCGACAATTTTCATCCATACGAATTCTATTGTTTGTTTCATTTTTAATAGGCTTTAGTGAGAATTAAATGCGAAGAAAACACGAAAATAAGCGATTGTTTTAATTCACAATGAAATGGGTTATTTAATAGCCGCTCGTCGTAGATTTCAAGCGTTCATGAATTCCTTTGTAATATGAAATAGGTTGCTTGGCTATATCTATTTTTCTAAAAATTAATTTAAATAAAGTGTAGAGCCTTCAGTGTTAATTGTTTTGAACTCTAAAGTGTCATCTAGACAGCTACTGAGTTAAGATAGACATTCCCCCTTGGAATAACTGTTGGTGCTGGATGTGACTGACCGCCCTTTAATCAGACGGGATACGACTGAACTGCACTCGGTCAAAGTGAACCTTAATTTTGTTATTAGATTTTTTTTATTTCCTTCACGTTCCCCAGTGGAACACAGGGCTTCAAGCTAGTGGCTTGAAGTTTCTGTAGCAGTGTTTATTATTTTGCAGGATGGGGTTGCTAGCCTCATGCCCAACCTTTCCTCTTCACCAGCGTTATTTCTGGCTTAGCGAGGTAAAGGAGTGAGTTGGCCGGGGATTGAACCCCGGACCATGTGCATGGTCGGCGAGCGTCCTAACCACTGTGCCACCGACGCACTTGTTATTAGATGATTGGAGGCAATCGGCAGGAAGCCTTGCTCGACCAAGGTTTCATGCTAGTCGACACTCACCAGCCAGGTGTATCTGCAACCTCGAAGAGATTCATGTCCCTTCTGAAATTCAAACCCAAATCACCCGGTCAGAGACCTTAACATTGAGCTATTTAGGCTTGCGATTAATCTCTTGTAGGACTGTATTCTATATTTTTGATTGGACACTAGTCAGTAACTGGTATAATGTGTCTAGTCCTATCTTCGGTGTAGACTGAATTCTACCAGTCAAGTTTGAAATGTGGCCATCACGCTAGATGGCTAGTGTCCAATCAAAAATATGAAATACAGTCCTACAGGAGGTCAGTCACGAGCCTAAATAGCTCAGTGTTAAGATCTCTAACTGCAGCACTGGGTGATGTGGGTTTGAATTTCAGAAGGGACATGAGTCTCTTCGAGGTTGCAGATACACCTTGCTGGTGAGTGTCAACTAGCATGAAACCTTGGTCGAGCAAGGCTTCCTGCCGATTGCCTCCAATCATCTAATATCAACAATTCACAGCGCACCGTGAGCCACCTATCATGGTGGTCACATTGCATACTCGACTGATAGAATTCAGTTTGTACGAAAAACAGGACCAGACACACCCATTACACTAGCTACTGACTAGTGTGCAATCAAAAAGGAACCTTACTTTTACTAGTGCTAGCTATCAAGTAATTCTAAAGGGAATTATTTACTATGGGCAGAAAAGCAACTGTTAGTCTTTTCCTAATATGTCCGACTTTTGTGACTAGAATCTCAATTAATTTTATAATCTTATCATTTTACGTGCTGTGGTTTATGGTGTCTGTCGGTGAAATCTATGACGCATGCCTCGGCCTATTTAGGACTTGTCAGCTGCATGCATCTGCAACCCTACTAAGTACTATTGTTTCCAAAGAAATTCAAAACCAGCGCCTATCTTTTCGGAAGCCAAAGTATTATCCACTAGACCACAATAGCTACCACTTGTGAAATGATCCCCCTAACTAACTAAATAGTGCCATGTTAACCGAAGCATCCGCACTAAGAGCCAACATGTTAACAGAGGATGAACAACTCAGTGCAGCGAAATCAATCAACGGAAAATTCAAAATAATTATTGCAACAAATGTAATTTCATTTCATCATCATTTCCTTTATTATTTATGCTAACTCATACATCTGGGCCTAATGTCTGATTTCTACTCGCTTTAACTATAAGTTTCATAATTCTTATCTAACAGATTTTGTTAATTCCCCATTTCTAGGAAAAGTGTGTCTCTAGGATGAAGTTTTCAACACACCACAATACGCGTCAGTGGTTAATAGTAGGATGCTCCCCAACCACACAGTTGGTTTGGGCTTGATTCCCAGTAGTAAGAGCGACAGAGAGGGAAGGTTGGGCGTGAGACTCTTCAACAGAGTCCCAAACTAGAATGAAACAGCTGTCCAGTACTCTCTGGCTTTCCAATGGTTCTTTAACCGATGTCAGCTCATGATGAAATCCTCCAAACAATTTAACTCATTCGGCTGATTGTAGCTATATTCATTTCAATACACTTGTACAGTTTTATTTTATTTATTTATTTTATTATTTTTTTATGTTTTTTATTCCTTTGCATTCCAAATGAAGAGCAGGGCTTCAAGCTCGAGCTCTCAAGTTTCAATAGCAATGATGTTTCTTATAGGGGTGGGGTTGCTAACTTCACACGCAGTCATCCCTCTTCACTAAGCTTATTACCAGCTAAGTGAGGTTTAGGAGTGCACTGGCTGGGGATTGAACCCCAGAACACGTGTGTGAACGTCGGAGAACATTATATCACTGTACTACTGAAGCATTGACTGCACTGTAATCAAACATATTGATTTATACTTGTAATTTCCTTTTGTTCATTCTACTGAAATGGATTGATATGTCTGTTTGTGTTTATACTGACTTCTTGAAAGAATACCTTCATAATGTTTCGAGCTGCTGTGACATGGTATTATTGCTTAGGCAATAACTACCAATGGGATTAAGTTTGTTTTGTTTTGTTAGTAAATTTACATGAGAATTAGTTTGTTTCTCAACATCAACAAAAAAGATAATTTTTTGCATACAGAATAAAGTATACATCTCCTGTTTCATTAATACCCACCAACAAGTGAATATCATTAAAATAAAACTTGAGGAATTCAAGAATATTCAAGCATTGGTTTGAAGGGATTTCATTTATCGGTTACAGGATTTCATCATGAGCTGACATTGGTTAGAGAACCATTGGAAAACCACCAGGGAGTACTGGACAGTTGTTTTGTCCTAGTTTGGGACTCCTCATCGACACACGCCCACCGCCATGGTTCGAACCCAGGACCTTCTCGTTACAAGGCGAGCAAGCCAGCCGGTAGACCATTAAGCCACTGAGACCAAATCCAATGGCCAGTTCATGAATTCTAGCTTCTACCAATTCACGACATAGCGCAACCGCTAGCCAATGTCTTCGGCGAGTATTTGTCCCCAATGAGATGCTCACTGGCGACTCGCCCTATTCAGGTAGGTATCTACCTGGGTTCCAGTGGGAAGTCGTGACCAGTAGGGTGCAGCAGGTTGGGTGTGAGGACAAACACTCACCGAAGACACTGGTTAGTGATCGCGCTATGTCGTGAATTGGCAGAAGTTAGAATTCATGAACTGACCATTGAATCGGGTCCCAGTGGCTTAATGATCTACCAGATGGCTCGCTCGTCTTGTAACCAGAAGGTCCTGGGTTCGAACCGTGTCGGTGGGTGCGTATTTCTCAAGAGTCCCAAACTAGGACAAAACAACTGTCCAGTACTCCCTGGTGGTTTTCCAATGGTTCTCTAACCAATGTCAGCTCATGATGAAATCCTGTAACGAATTCAAGAATACTTCATCTATAAATACTTTAACATCCATCTTAATGAAGTGAAAACGAAAACATTGAAAAAAAACAGCAACACATGATAAGGTCAAAAAAATGGAACAAAAGGACAACAGTAAATAACTCTTGGGTACTTGAATGGTGTATTATTGTTTAAACTTACGGATAACTGTTTAGTTTTATTCTTTACGTTTGATGATTTGATACATTTGAGTTTTACTGTTTTGTTCTTTATTAAGCATAAGGAAAAATATAAGTTATTGTTCAGTGAAGGGCGGGGAGTGGGAATATCGTTTGATAATAAAAACGTCATAAATCATTTTTATTGCGTGTTTTTCTTTTAATGGACATATTACTTCTCTTATAAACTTTAAAAGTCATTTAGTTTACAAAATGAAATATAAACAGTCAGTCATTTTGACCACCTGCAATTTGAGTAACTCCTTTTATGTATCCAATCAATTCAAGAACATTCCAGATGTCCGTGAATCTGGCCTGCATTCAGTAGTGTGCTTTGTTTCTCTACACTTCACTTGTTCTCCAGCTTCAAACGTTATGCATTTCACTCTTTTCTCTTTACTAGAACATTCTTGCGCGAACGACCTGTTTATACTTCATATTTTGTGACTGCTTTTTACATTTCATGACTTGTTTGTTATTTTCTGGGCAGAAGCATGATTCGTTACTAGAATCGATGGAAGTCCTGTCTTCTAGCCACCTCCTTTTGCTGTCAGCCATTCTCTAAGTGTAAAATTATTTCTTTCTATCGAACCATAAGTCTGGGGGTGATACTATATTAGGTGAAGTTAAAGTATCATGGCCGAAACCACAGTGACCTTGAACAACCAATCAGAATTCAGAAGCGACGAATTCTCACAATCGTTGAAAAATACACTAAAAAATATTGCAAATTTGATATTACACTGTATAGTTGTAGCTGATGTGTTGTAAGAATATCTCCCAGTCAATACACAGATGATCTATGCAGAAACCGTACCATGCGCGATATACTTATTTATCCAGGTAACTGTAGGTCATGGTACTTTGAGATCTATTGATATTTTTGATACTATTCTCTAACCTACTGCTAACTCTAACCATAATTCTAACTCCTAACCCTAACTTTGACCCTAGACCCTAAACCTTAATCTTAAAAGCCATAACCCTACCTAACAGTGTAGATTTGCAGAAAAAGTACCTAGTATTTAAGCAGAATACTGTATCTATCCTCTCCAATTCCAAAAAGGCGGGCACGATTTGATTTTCAATGACATTTCTTAGTATTCCCTGTGTCATAGGAATTAATAAAAAGACAATTGCAGCGAAGAAAATTTTCTTTTCGACGAAGTCATCATCTAGGCTGTACATTCGTGTATTTATATAAAATGGATGGGAAAGTTCCAGAACAATTTCTGGTTAGGGGTCAAATTAATAAAAAATTACAATTAGGAATTAAAATGACGTAACAAACAGGGGGGATGGGTGAAACTTGAACAAAGTAGCATTATAATAACTAAGAAGACTGACATTATGCAATTGAGGGTTAGAAATGTAGAAATAACAAAATATACAGGATGTTTGGATAAGAGACTAGTATGATGAATAATTGTTTATGCAATCAGGGATTAAATATGTAGAAATAGTAAAATGACAAAATAAACAGGAAGAGTGGGTATGAAAATATGGTAGTGTAAACAGGGTTTAAGAAAACTTAAAATAACATGGATAAACAGGAAGTTTAGATAAGAAAGGTGATGAGATTGTCATTATTAAAAAATTTACCTGTTTACGATGGCCATGGTAGGGAGAGGGGTTGGACGTAATTCTTTTGGATACAAAGTGTGGGTTTGAGCTTTTGGATAGCTAGCGCCTCAGCTATGCCCAGATGTCTTGATTTGATTCCCTTTGATAGGTTTGATTGAATTTTGTATATTACTTTGAAGGATTTTTCGAAAGGCGCTGAATGTCCTGAGTTGGCCAAATGTTCTGTCACTGAACTGTATACACGTTTTCGGTCTCCTTTTACTAGCCAGGCTGGGTAGTGTTCGCGAGCGCGTTTTTCAAGTCGGCGCATGGTACGGCCGATGTACTCAGCTCCACAAGAGCAAGTAAACTGGTATATGCACGTTGAGGTGGCCCAATGCGACGGCTTGTCTTTCACGTTCTGGCTGAACAGTTTCTTGCAAGAAAACGTCAGTCGTAGGCTCACGGCGAAGTATGTTTTCTTTAGAGATTTGCAGAGACGTTTGCGAAGGATTTCTGCTTCGATATCACCTTTGAATTCTAGATTAAGCAGAAGTGTTTTCTTTGGAACAGATTGGACTTGTTCTGAAGTCTTAGTCTTAGATTTGAGATTTCTGTCTATGAACCTGGGCGGGAAACCGTTTTCCATCAAGGTTTTCCGGAGATTACGCAGTTCTTCTTCAATCACTTCCTCGCTGCATATCTTCCGAATCCTCGAGGAAAGAGCGTATATCAGGTTCCTCTTTCTGCTTAGGGGCACGAAGCTTTGGAAGTTGATGAATTGACCATTCCAAGTAGGTTTTTTGTATATGGATCTTTTCAGAGAGTTGTTGGCGTTTCTTGTCAGCTGGACGTCGAGGAAGTGAAACATTCCGTTGGATTCAGTCTCAAGTGTGAAGTCGATGTTTGGGTGGGCGTTATTGAAGATTTGAAGTAGGTTTTTTAAATCACAATTCTCATCACAAATAATGAAAGTATCGTCGATGTATCTCTTGTAGAGATGAAGGTCGTTGATAGTTGATGATAGGGGGTTGTTTTCTAAGCTAGCCAAAAAGCAGTCGGCTAATAGGGGTCCTAAGGGAGAACCCATTGCTACCCCATCTACTTGCCTGTATATTTCTTTGTTGAAACTAAAGTATACGTTGAAGGTGCATCGTAGTAACAGTTCTTTCAGGTAATGTATCGGTATACCAACATCGATGCTATTGGATTGAATGTAGTCGCAAAGGAAACAAACGGTTTCTGTCAATGGAACGTTGGTGAAGAGAGAGACAACATCCAGGGAAACCATTTTCTTTTCTGCCACATTGACATTCCCTGTGTCTGATCGGTTCTTGAAAGTCAACTTCTGAAAGATCTTGACTTTGGCTATGATACTCTAACTTGTCCCTATATTGTTCTAATACTCCAAATACCTAGCTACTGCAAATGAGATATAAACTCTTGAGTGCCCTCGGTTTGGAAGTACCGTCTTCGATAAGTAGTCAACAGATAAACATATTTGGTTTTCACTTTGTTTCTAGGGCTATGGATTGTTAAATACAGGGTAAAATCATTGTTTGTGAATGCCATAGTCACCACCTCAAAAAAATTTTGTATTATTCAGGATTACTCACACTACCACCACAAACACTGCATTAGACCTTGGCAGACTTTGGTACTTTTTCGCATTCATAATTATTTTGTGTTTATCCTGTTTTTTCTTTTTTTTTTCTTTTTTGCTGTTGGTGTCTTCAGATTTACTTTTTTTTGTTTGTTTAATACTTATTTTAAACGTCGGTAAAATTAGATGCAAATATTGTAGATATGTGCTGAAAATTCCACACTGTACCACTGTACTGTTTCTGGAATAAAGCAAATTATTATTATTATTATTAAAAATAGCCCTTAATGCTCCTGGCTGTCAATGGAATCACTTTATGATTATTTACTCTTCTCTTTGAGAAAAGTACTTATGATATCTTTCCAAGAAAAAACAAATTGTTTCTTTCTGGTCATTTTTTTATTCCTCCACGTTCCCAGTGGAACATAGGGCTTCAAGCTAGAGGCTTGAAGTTTCTGTAGCAGTAGTGTTTACTTTTACAGGATGGGGTTGCTAGCCTCATGCCTAACCTTTCCTCTTTACCAAGTTTACTTCTGGTTTGACGAGGTAAAGGACTGCGTCGGCCGGGGATCGAGCTCCGGACCACGTGCATGGTTGGCAAGCGTCCAAACCGCTGTACCACCGATGCGTACTTTCTCTCTCTCTCTTTCTGGTCATAGTAACTACATTAGGCCGTACAAGAATAGACCAGCTTACACTTACATTTTGGGTTAATTTCACTTCACTTCCACTGAAATATAATACAGATTACGTGTCTTTGGTTAATTATTAATCCACTTGTTTTTTATACTCATTTTTTGATTCAGTAATAACAATTATTACGTTGACTGACAAAACATCCCCATCGAGTAGCTACATTTACGGTAAATTTGATTGGAATTGTGGTCTACACATATGTATGCTATATTGCATGGTACTGTTTCACTTACACATGAATTTGATGAAATATTATATAATATAGCGGTTGCTTAATTTATGTACTTTTTCGATGTTGTCATGGGAATTTTCTAAAGGTAAATAAGAATACGAACAACTAAAATCAAATTTTCCATTCATGAGATTTCGAAGCATCACGACTAATTGACTGACTAACTGAGTGACTAATCGTTAGAGAATTTCACATAGACATCCATTAGTTTAGACCTGTGAAATCTTACATGTAACAGAGCTGAGGTGAAATGTTACTATGATATGATGAATGAAAATTTATATATGTGTGATAAAAATGACTGAAAAATGACACACAGAACCTTAAGAACCATAAGGAGTAAATACGCTTTAAATATTGTGAATGATTTTGAGTCATGTCACCAACATTACCTAATCACTGCCTGTCATGGTCCAGGAGAATCCATTCATGTATATATATATATATACTAACTTTTCAGTTAAATGGTTATTTAAATTAATTACGTCTCTGTTGATCCTCGTGTAGAGTTATCTTGTATACCAGGCTTCCCGATTATGTTTAGGCTAGCTTATTTTGTGATTTTTCGAGTTTGCCATAGCATTTCACAGCCTAGCGTCGATAAGTAAACAGACAGAACAAGATAGAATTTTGTACAGAAAAATACCCATGGGAGCTGATATACTTTTCCTTTGTGTGTCATAGTGAAGTAAAAGTACACCGGCGAAGTTCAACAATAGCGTCCCAGAAGTGCAAACGCTCCAGTCACCTTGAACGGATGCTAGCCATTGGCTAACGGCACCTACCATTATCATAGCTGAAATATCAACGCTACTCACAAACTAAGCAGCAAATTTCACCCAGATCACGTTTTTGAGTACTGTTTGGACAATCTATTAATAGCTCGTTAGGGTTAGGATTAGGGTTGAGGTAAGTATTGGGGTTAGGGTCATAATTGCGATTAAGGTTAGGTTTACGGTTAGGATAAGGGTTGTAATTATGGTTAGGATTGAGGTTAGGGTTAGTGTTAAGTTTAGGACTTAGAGTTAATGTCATTTATTTTAATTTGTTTTCTTATCTACATTTTCCTGATAAGTGGTCGTCTATCGTCATACTGGAAACCATAGTAATTCAATCCAGGGCTTTTGGGGAAGACTGCACAATAGGATAAGAGAGATAAACGATTCACAAAAACAGCTCATCTTTAGTCAGCTGGGTGAATACATGTGCAAAAACTAGTCTAACTTAGCACCTGATACTCCTCATCATAACTGGGACTTTTAATGTGTTTTCATGCATTTTCTTGCAAATATGCGTCATTTTTTGTGCAAAAATTCCTATTTTTCATGCCTGGTCGGCTGACGGTAACTCGTGCACTCGCATCTCTTGGGACGTTATTGCTGAACTTTGCCAATACACTAACACTCTAGTGTCAGTGGCACAGCGGTAGGATGCTCGCCAACCACGCATTTTGTTTAAGGTTCGGTCGCCGGCCGACGCACTCCTTTGCGTCGTTGAGTCAGTAATAAGCCCTACGGTCCATTGGGAACGTAAAGGAATAAAAAGAACACCCTACTGAATATAATGGGACATAAAGGGAAGTAAAATAATGATAAAAACTCCGAAGACAGTAAAGAATGCACACAGTAAGGTAATTATGATAGATACTCGATAGCAACAGTAAAAGTCATTACATTTAATTCTCAGATTCCAGGGAGACTACATAATTTAAAGTGACTTTCTCCTGAAATCAATAAATATTATTAGTATTAACACTGATAACATATGAGACTTACTCCTGAAAAATTGATGTTATGGTTAGCACTTGTAATCCTTCTATCATTACATATCATTTTATGATAATTTGGATCGGCTACAATAGGATTCCCATCTAGTGTAACTTGTGCAAATGAATTTAAACTGGCTAGACCACTGATCTGAGACCATCTGAAATAAAAAAATCAATCAGTCGACAAACATATAATGTCTCTCGTTCAACTGCTGACTCAAAAATTATTATTATTATTGTTTCCTTTAATTCGTAGAGCAACATAGGGCTTCAGCCGTGCGTCTCCATTGCGTTCTGTTCTCTGCTAGAGTCTACACCTGGCTCCAATTCTGCCCACACGTTTTCATCTCCTCTTCACATGACCTCCAAGTCACTCTTGCACTGACGACCAACTTGCCGCTTCCCTTTCGGGTTCCACTCGAGCAATGGCTTGTCTGGTGATGTCACTTGATGGTTTGTTTCCTCAGAGTATGACCAATCCACCAATATTTCTTCCTGCCTATTTGTTTCACAATCGGTTCCTGGTTGGTCCGCTCCCGGAGATCCCTGTTTCTGATCTTTTCTGGCCATCTGATCTTGAGTATTGAGCGAAGACAACTGTTAATGAAGGTCTGTAGTTTGTTTGAGATGCTCTTTATGACGCAAATAAATAAATAAATCTGATTGATTTTTTAGTCGTAAAATGAAATTTATAGTTTAGTCTAAGGAAGACAATTTTTTTTGTTATTTTCTGAGCTTTATCATTTGGTTACGAATATTTCACCCCCAGGCTGATATAATTTCGGGCGTATTACGCAAAAAAAGGGTAACTACTGTAATTATTCTCTAGTTAAGCTGAATAACTTCTCAAAAGCTAGTTGGATTATGTTCAGCTCTACTAATGACAAATTCAGAATGCTGATGGGAACGGAGACTATTGGCTTAGGATACTAAATACTGACTGTTCGGTTGACTTAGAAGTAATAATAACAGTGGTAATTGTTTTATTCTAAACAATATTGTTTGATTCACTGCTGAGTTCTCAGCACTATTTTTTACAGTAGTGCAGAAGGACCATGCCTAACGTCTTCTTAACTTAATTCTGCTTCGGATCAAATTGCTCATCAAATAATGCAGCGGTTCAACATGTTGTAACACATATTGATCGGTAGAACCTTACAGCCTCATCAATTGACTTTCTTTTTCCAACTCATATTATGCCTAACCTTATTATTTTTGAACATAATGTACTCTTTATAACGTGAAGTTGAACGAAGGCATCTATCTTGAAAATACTGCTATTCTTTTCATACTTCTTACCCTCAACCACCGTGTCTTATGGCCGTAAAGTAGGAAGCAGAGATCTCCTGAACAGTAAACACATTACTCCATCAAAGATGGTGGAGTTTTGAAAATTCCAATCAAATCTCTTTTATCCATGCTGAGACACCATGAGCAAGCAATCAGTCAATTAGGACTGATATAACGTCCTAAATAACTGAAATGGTCGACCATTTCTCTCCTTATACCTTAAACAAGCAGCGGATACAGACCAGTCCTACAGCAAAGTCTTACACTTGACGAATTCATGTTGGATATGTTTATTCGATTTAAAACACAGTGATGCAGTAATAAATGCAGCGTTAAATCAGAAAAACTTATTTAATATGGAATTATATTCTACCACAGTGCCCAATTTCTAAGCTTACATTTGATCCTATGCAGAACATCCTTAGATCTTCGCTTAGGTGTTTAGATGAAATTATCTTTATCTAGAAGGAAAATATATTCTACATGTTGTAAGTCGACAAGACTATTCCCGAGTAGAAAGTGGATTTGTGTAGCATCGAAGTTGACTAGGGTTATATCAATCAGTACATTTATACTGAACAGTTTAATTTCTATTCAAACGAGTGAGTGTCTCAGTATGGATACAAAAGGCTCAGTTGGCTTTCACAACTTATGCAGACTGTATTACTGCAAGATATTCAATTACCTATTAGACTGACGATGAAATGAATCTGAATTATGAGAAAAATAAGTCCAACGCCTGATGAGGCCATGAGTTTCTACCGAATGGACTGATTGTCAAAGATATTAGGAAAACCTAGCAAAAGTCTTTTTAGTTGTCACACCAATGGTAATAATTTTTTTAATTTTTGATTATAGCTTGATTCCACACAGTATTTTTGGTACAGGTATGGAATTTTCAGCATGTGATATCGATAGCCCAAATTTTGCAGGCCGACCATTGATGTCAGGTGTGCGTCGGCAGGGGATCGAACCCCGAACCATGTGTATGGTAGGCGAGAGTTCTAACCAATGTGCCACCGACGCACCAAAAAAACTTTGATTTTTGTCTCAAACTATGGGCTTCCTGATTTGAGTTGAAGATACAAGGTACACTGATGATACGGGCCTTCTAATACGTGTCCTTTGCTTAAACAAATAGTGTAATACTAACCAATGCTTAAACACTACGGAGCAGCTTGTCTGTTCTACCTTACAGTTTCCCAGTGATTTGTGTTCATATCATTCACAAATACAGGGCTAAATCGTAGTCTCAACCCCTTAGGAAGGTAGTTTCCTTAGTGTTGTTGGTAGGTCTTACAGATTTACGTTAGAAGGTCTAAGATTTAAAGCAAAGACTTCCATTCGCCGGTTTTCCACTTTCGATCAGAAGGTACGTGTTACTATATAGTTAGAAAAATTAAACACAGAATTTGAATGACTCTATAACAAAGATGTTTTATCTTTACCAGCATCAGATTAATGAATATCAAGGGTGAAAGAAAAAGAACTCAACTCTTAATGTACAAGAAATTAGAAACTGTAGTTGTATGCAATTCCATCCTAGATATATTTATTAGCTAAAGTCCAGAATGGCTGACATTTCACACATATTTTATTGCTTATAATTAAATCAAAGCAGTCATACGAGTTACAACGTCTTATCTGTACATTTTGTTTAATCCTTCTTTATTCGCAGATCCCTGGAAGTGATAACATTTCTTCCTTACTACTCTTATCAAATGTTCATAACATAAGGAAGCATTCGATGACTGAACCACTTCTATGTTAATTTACTGGTTTCATTTTACCTCATTTCCTTACTACTCTGAGTTTTCCGCTTACCATAAACTGATTTACAACAGTCTTTATACAAACCGAATATGTTATTGCTATCATTTTATGTGTAGTTTAACTCCTTCGTACTAATCCAGGCTGACGATCATGACCCACCTATATGACCCCATAGTCACTGCACGGTAGTATTCTGTAGAATAGATTTGAATTCCTCACAGGATCAACAGAATCCTTAAGCCGTTCTCTGATCGAATGTATGACACCAAATTCCATCTTAATTTTTAGCTTTTTTAAGGATCCTAAGGACAGTTTCTTTTACCTCTTTCTTATATGATAACATTATGCAACAGACTAGATATTACTATAAGAATGAATTAGCAAAAGTCCCCGAAGAGATTCTGACTGCCTCACTCAAAAGTGACTAAATCGCAAAATTGTCCTCGCCCTCCCCCAACCCGTTCACCTAACTTCTATTACACTAGCAATAAAGAAAGATCCTGGCATCATCTAAAATATTCTAAGCTGTAACATCCAATATACAATAAAAATTAAATCATAAAGTAATTCAACAATTTACCTTTCAATATTATTAAAACTTAGAAATACCCAAGCCAATTTAGGCACATTTTCTATCGGTTCAACACGTAGTATATTATTTTGTCTCAAGTTCAATTCAGTTAATGCTGTTAACCCGGATAAACCATTCACTGAGGTAATATAATTAAAGGATAAATTTAATGAGCGTAACTTTGTCAAATGGGATAAATTTTCAATAGTTCTTATTTGATTATGATTTAAATCGAGTACATTTAAATTATATAAATTATCTAATGCACATATACGTTTTATTTGATTTTGTCCTAATAATAATATCCGTAGGGAATAAAGTGTTTCTAAACCACTGATTGATGTCAGCTGATTTGCTGATATATTTAAATAGACAAGTTTTGTCAGATTTTGTAGATTCTCTATACGATGAATACGATTACATTGAAAACTTAATAGGCGGCATATTTCATTTGAATCAATTATTGGACAATTTGTTAAATGCATCCTATAAAGCAAAGAATACAATGTAAAAGAGAAAAAAAAGTAGTATGTATATTAATGAAAGGTATAAAAATACTTATACGTTAATTTTTAAGAAATTAGAAAAATTTATTTTGGAATAAGTGCTCGCAGTTTGCTACCCTTGTAACAACAGAAGACAAGGGCCAGGCAACAGATCCTTTATTAAGGAAAATCAACACATATTTATAGATTTTAATCTACATTATTGTAGATTATTGTTAGTAGAAAATACAGTCTTTTGATTGGTTGTTTCTCACAGAAAGTTAACCTTGCATCTCTTTGTGGCTGTGTCAGATCATCCATATGCTAACTGTATCCGCCTACGCAAAGCCTTTGTTCTCATTTTCTCACCACCAATATTGGGGACATAAACGTTGACGTCAATTACTGTCTACCAAGTTTGGCTAGCAGCCAGCTCTCACCACACCCTAATATGTGATCTTCTCGATACTGTAAATAGCAATTAAGTAAGCAGGTATAACTGTATGATGGTGCCTATTACTGATGCTCACTGGCGACTGGCCCTATTCAGGCAGGTAGCTGGGTTCTAGAGGAAAGTCGTGACCAGTAGGGTGCAGCAGGTCGGGTGTGAGGACAAATACTAGCCCAAGACACTGGTTAGTGGTCGCGCAATGTCGTGATTTGGTAGAAGTTAGAATTTATGAACTGGTCATTGGATCGGGTCCCAGTGGCTTAATCGTCTACCAGCTAGCCCGCTCGCCTTGTAACCAGAAGGTCCTGGATTCGAACCGTGGCGGTGGGTACCTACTGATGAAGACTCCCAAACTAGGATGGAACAACTGTCCAGTACTCTTTTGTTGTATTTTCCAATGGTTCTCTAACCAGTGCCAGCTAATGATGAAATCCTGTAACCAATCAATCAAATCCCTACAAGCTAATAGTTGAGTATTCAATAAATATTTTTGTGTTCTCTGTCAGCTTATATAGGTGTTAGTAAAAGGAGTTGTTTTCATGTACTGATTTGTTTTATTTAAGTAAACAGCCGCTTAGTGGCTGAGTAAGGGAATAGATTGCCATGCGGTTTCTGATACTCTTTGTTTGATGTGTGATAAAAATACAGAATCTGCATTAAACGCTTCCTGAAGATTACACTAGATCACCAACGGATGTATTTTAGGCCAGTGAATCTCATTGCTTGAAACAACAATCAGTCCAAAAGAAAACCATACTTACCGTTCATAGCTTGTAATTTTTCTCTTTTCGTCATGACTATCTTTATTTAGGACAGTGAAAAATTCGTTTAGTAAAAAGGCCTCATAGTTACTGGGACCATTATCAGTTGGGTATAACCTATGATTACTGACAACTCCACTGTTCTTTGTTGTGTTACGTGCAGTCACACTGTTATTAGTAAAAGTTTTGACTGCAGCTGTATAACACTTTCTTCGAGATTTCATTGAATCCCCCAGTTCATGTGATGTGGATGGTGGTGAAGATGAAGAGAATGGCAGTGTTGATGGAGGTGGCGTTGGAGGAGGAGGCAGTATTGGAGATGAGCGCGTCGTTTGTTGCTGCTGTTGTCCACATATTTCTTCATCATTCTTATCTTCCTGTCTGTCAGTGTTATTAATCTGCGTAGTTAGTGATTTAGATGAACGGTCCCATGAAGGCAATAGATGATAATAATTAACTGGAGTTGAGTTTAAGTGCCGGTGTGTGGGACGTTTCAACTTATTCGCTTGAAATCCATCTAAGAATTAAGTACACCCCAAAAACAGTATTGTATGATATTAGTTAAATTTAATGATAAATTTATTTTAAACAAGCAATGAATCAATTTAAATAAAACACCTATCAGGATATACTTTGCTGGCACTTACACACTTAAAATTTTTGTGTACAAACTTGTGAGTATAAATTATGGTATTTTCCGAGGATTAGTTAGAAAATGTGTATCTTCCTCTCGAAGTTTAGTTCTCAAGAAATAAGGTACTCTTACAAGGAACCAGTCAATAACCTATTGCCCAATAACTAAATTGAGATGGATAGGACTTATTCTGAGGGGACATTAAATTTTAATGAAGACCACTAAACCAAATAGCAGAGGTAATAGTACATCTGCTACGGTATCAAAACAAAATTTACCAAGGAAGGTTTAATGTGATGACGAATTGTTGCTTTGAACGCATAAAGGTGGTTTAAACTTTCTAATTGCCTGCTAGGGTTTCCACAAACTTTAGGATACTCCCCAAACACGTTTTATAGATAGGTTTGAAAGATCTGTTAACATCAATTTTATGTCCTGTCTCTATAATATGTTTATTACTTCTATGTACAAACAATTTTAGGTTTACATTTGAAGGCGATTGTTTCCGCCAAGTTGATGGTGTTGCTATGAGAAGTCCGTTAGGGCCCCTTTTAGCAGATATTTATATGTCGTAAATTGAGAATTTATCGGAGGATTTAATCGAAAATGTGCCACTTTATAGAAGGTATGTAGATGATATTGTAATCATAAGTGATAAGTCTTGTTCTGCCACCTCAATTTTAAATCGAATGAATAAAGTTCAGAATAGCATATCACTTACATCTGTAGAAGAGGAATATAATTGTTTATCTTTCCTAAACATATTGCTTAGTCGACGGCTTGATGGGTCAATAAAAAGATCTATTTATAGAAAACCTATCTGGACAGGACAGTATCTTAATTACTACAGTTTCTGCCCTATTCGGTACAAAAGAGCCTTAGTAAGGTGCCTCTTCAGTAGAATCCAACGAATATGCACTGAAGAAACACTTGATGAAGAAGAAAGAAATTTGATACAAACTCTGGTTGATAACAGTTATCCATCAGGAGATATAAAGTAGTCAGAACACCAAGACCCACTCCACAACTCGCCCCTAAGAAAGACGTGTACATCAAGCTATCCTATATGGGGCATCAAAGCAGCTTGATAACTAGACAAAGACGGAACGGTGCTGTTAAAAAGACTTTTTATGCAGCTAATATCATAATAATTGAAAATGTGAAGCCAATATATATATATATATATATATATATCTAAGCCCTTCGAACATGCGAAAAATGATGTCACATCCCACTGTTCAGCGAAGAGACTCTTTTCAACGAATTTATTATCAAGCTGTACAATCGTATATATATGGTTTTTTTTAAGAAATTATATCCGGTGAGGGAATTAGGTCAATGGTGTGAATACATGAAATAATAATAGTATGAAATGCAATTAAAATATTTGTGATTATAATCATAGTTTAATGTCAAGTGGCACAATCCCACTGTATTTACCAATTTGAATGTACGTGTGGACACACATACATAGGGAGGACTCATCGATCTCTGCAAGTAAGGGCTTCAGAGCATATTCCTAAATGGCTCCAGAAACAAATGAAATCTTCAGAACCCATGAATGGTGAGAACAGGAAACCTAGCTGCTCTATTTCGAAACATAATATAGAGACAGGACATAAAATTGACGTTAACAGATCTTTCAAACCTATCTACTAAACATGTGTGGGGCGTATCCTAAAGTTTGTGGAAGCCCTAGCAGGCAATTAGAAAGTTTAAACCACCTTTATGCGTTCAAAGCAACAATTCGTCATCACATTAAACCTTCCTTGGTAGATATTAAATTTGTATCACACGTCATAGTATCGAGTGGGAAGTGACAGCTTTGGTGTCCGAGGCTGGAGGAGGTTGTGCGAAGGAGAAGAACAACTGAAAGCTTGTAGGCAATCGCAGAGCCAGTTGAAAGTAATGGCACAGGACTGAGCGGAATATAGATGTGTTGCTGGAGTCCTACGATTCACTGACAAAGCCAGTAATGGATAATAATAGTAGTAATTACACTAAAAATATATGCATCCTCTACATACAATGAAATAGTCTTGAACCATATCGGAATTCCTGTACCATGTGAGGTAACGAAACATCTACATAGTATATTATACAAATCACACTACCCCACTAATGGGTGTTATATAATGAACTGGATTACTGAGCGAAATAATCACTTCTTCTTAAACACTAACTAGTTTTTAAACTTCATGTTCAGAATTCTCTATGATAATATACAGTGACACAGAATTCAACCGTGAACTTGAAAAGGGTTGAAAATGGTTTTCAGAACACAGGTGCTCAAAGGGAATTAGAGTTTAATTTCCATGTCACAAACTAGACACAATATATGAGATAGTGTGAAGCGAATTTGCAACAGGGCAAAACAAAGAAAACACCCTACGCCTAAATACGAATCAATAATCATTTCTAGATTAAGAAAGTTTACATATGCTAAACTAGACATGTAATGTAAGCCAATCAATTCTCAATGCAAATAAGTCTACCCCATCGATTAAACCAAGACGGTCTACTACAGTTTGCTCAAACAAAAGATATCACAAACACAACATCTAATAATATTAATCTTTTAAGTAAACACACTCAGCCACTGGCATAGCAACACGTTTCTGTGAAAAATTGGAGGTGAAATAATCTGTCTGTGTTAGGCTGTGTTAAAGTTAGTAAACCATTCAATAATGTTGACCTTCAGGATATTAGCCAATTATAAATCATACAGTTGACGATGACTAATAACGGGAAATTTACCAGATGAGTTTAAGAATTAGGTAGGGAATGACTCATTGTATTTAGCAATTTAAAAGGATGTCAACCAATAGGAGGTGATAATTACTAGATTGGCAGAGTTTATCTATCAGTTATCAGCTGACCTGAGAATATTATCGAATTCGCTTGTCTACGATGTCAACTGCTGATAGAAATTAGTGAATGGTTTAGCATTAAACATTAGAAAAGAAAAGAAGTCAATAAGTCAAGCATTCGGTTTAGGTGGTGTGCTTCTTGACCTTTATTAACAAAGCTCAAATGCTACCCTCAGGGAACACATTTTCTGTAGCTTAGTAAAAATATCAAACCGTTTAATAACTAAACTACTCATGTAAAGAGTGATTCATATGGGTGAATGATAATTATGTGAAATAGTTATTGAATTATAATCAATGTTCCTCACAAGTGTATCCAACTAAGTGACCAGATAGCTGAATAGTTCAGTGCCATTTTAAAAGTTAGCAGTCAGTTTGAAGGGAGCTATTAACCGGATTTTTTAAAGTGTCAGTATGCAGTGTAAAACAATTTTGTAGCATTGGTACTAATGCTCAGCTTTCGAGAAACAATTCAGTCAGTTTATAACAATTTCTGGTTTCTTTATGAGTTAACAAAAAACCTAGACAGCACAATTCAGTATTCAAAGGATAAAAGTGTTATCAGCTAAGAGCAGACACACAAAGAAGCAAATTAAGTTAAATCTGGCATAGAAGTGTATTGGTTCATTTTAAGTCACTTGATAGGAGTATCAAGAAAAAAGCTATTCCTAATGTCATTGCGGTTTTCGGTGTGACTCTTGTAGAATTCCAGTTATAACTAATCAATGACATACATTTTGTGCTGTTCAACACTTGTCAGTCGAGTGCACCTGTATCTCATTTGGAGAGAGAGAGAGAGTAAAATCAATTGTCTAAGTGAAAAGTTTTCAAGTATTGGTCTTTTAGGGATTTTGTCTGATTGGATTTCATCATGAGCTGACATCAGTTAGAGAACCATTGGGAAACCACCAGGGAGTACTGGACAGCTGTTTCGTCCTAGTTTGGGACCCTTCATCGGTACGCACCCGCCTCCACGGTTCGAACCCAGGACCTTCTGGTTACAAGGCGAGCTAGCTCGTAGACCATTAAGCCACTGAGACCTGATCCAATGGCCAGTTGATGAATTCACGACAATTCACGACATAGCGCGACCATTTCGCAATGTCTTCTTCGATGAGTTACTGCCTCATCTTCAACCTGCTGTACCCTATTGGTCACGGCTTTCCACTAGAACCCCAGGTCACTGCCTGAATAGGACCAGTCGCTAGTGGTATTGGTTTTTGTAGGGATTTTGTTTAACTGGATGTCAGCTCATGATGAAATCCTCCATCCAGTCTAACTGAAAAGTGACTGAGACTACATTTGATTGGCTTGTTAGGTGTTTTTCTTTAAACGAGCTAACTTTCATTTCTCAGCATTTACACATAATCTACTTTCAACAATTGGAAGATTCTGTTACCAATAGCAAGTAGAATGCAAAAATGAATTATCATTTCTGTTCCACAGCCTTATTTTTATCAAGACACTCTACTGTACATGTAGATATATTCAACTTGACAAAAAAATGTTTGAATGAAATTCATAGTCTCTATTGCACTTTGTTCATTTGTTGCTATGGCTACATAGTTCATATTATCTGTATGCACAGTTGAATTCAGTAATACACTAAAAATATGACCGAAAATATGAACTTACTGATAAAAGTTGAAACTACTACCGACCTAATACAAATGAAAAGCTAAAAGAGGGTTTAAAAGTCTAATGAAGTAATAAATATTGTGAAAAATAAAAATAAAAACGAACAACGAAACACTGAAACTTATAAACGAAAGTAAGGTAACAAGAAAAACCTGTGTGAAAAATCACTTTTCTTTTGATATTTAGGATTAAATCTCCTCCTTCTGTATGATGATGTTGTACGAAATCCATTAGGATGATTAAAATTGTAACAAGGGATTGCTGTTGACATTGATGTTGTTGACAGTTCATTGTCAGTGATCAAGTCATTTTGTGTTATAACAGGTAGATGTGGTAGACTGCTACCATGAGCTATGTTAGATATTAATTTAATTGGGTTAACTGATGTATCCTGCGTAGAATCTTCTTGATCAGCTAACGGTCAATAGAAAATTTGAAAATCAAAAATATATAGATATGCTGGTCTTTGAACAGTTGAATACAAACAATTCTGACAGTTAGAAGTTAATTGGTGGATGGTGACTAGCATAGGAATCCAGGCTGGGCACTTCGTCCTATTTGGGTCTCGTCACCCATAGTTTGAAATGTTTGAGCACTGGGTTCGAGCCTCGGTGGGAACACCATCACTCACTGCTGAATGCAGGTACATCCAGATGACGAGTCCCAAATAGGACGAAATGCGCATCCTGGATTCCACTGCTAGTCACCATCAACCAATTGTCTTCAAGTAACATGACCAGACATCGTCGAAGCATCTGCACAAGAAGCTGACAATTCAACCTGAGGACCGAGTACTTCGGTCCAATCAATCGATCGGAAAATCCAGACTTGAGTTAAATAATTCTGACAGTTAGTTCAAAATTTGGCTTCAAACAGTAAAATCTAACAAATCTAACAAACTTTACAGAAATGACTAGTCTCTTTGGTGTAAGAATCCCGTTCTCAGTCAAGTTGTTATTCTTCAAAAGTGGAGACAACAGAGATGAAAAATAACCTTGCAAGAGGAATGTGAAGGCGAGAGAGTTAAAGACAGCGAAATGGACCGATTGAAATTACAGCACTGAAGAAGACTATGGTGATTCAAATTCTCATAATTCTCAGTAGCACAAATGTAAAAAATGAAATGAAATATGAATATATAAAAACCCCAATTATTTCTTAGAAAAATGACAGATTGAAACACTAAAGTACTGCATAACTTTATTTTTGTATCAGTGTGTGTGGACTAAAATTAGCTAGAAAACTGTCATTAGATAAAAAGGAGCACTGAAAACTTGTTTTCTTCGAAGTCAGGTACATTTTATGATTGTGAACCTACTAATCAATATGCATAAAAGGAAAGTTAAACAAAATACATTTTTCTAAATAGCACAAATGAAACAATTCACTCACCTACCATTAAGGTATTACAAGATATTCGTTGATAAGAATTTAATTTCGCCAGAGTATTGGTTGGTTGATTAGTAAGCGATTTTGGACTTTGCAGGCCTACACTCTTCAAGCACTTCAACCGTGATAGAATATTTACGTCTACAAAAAATAATTTAATCATTGATTAATCAATGGGCAACAAGTCTGTTAATGTTTTGATAGAAGAATTTATAAATATGAAGAAGAGTTTTACTAATTAGGGGAAAGGACATCTTGCGTAGCAGTTATAAGGCCTCATAACCATGATCATTATTCATCACACATCAGGGTAAAATCCAAAATTTCAAGTCTGATTATTCTGATTGATAATGATTGGTACTTTTGTGATTACAGCTGCTCTTTTAGTAATCCGGTGACCACGGAGCTGTATCATGTTTTCGCTCACACAGTTTCATCATAACATTATATAGGAAAACCATATTTTCCAAAGTTAATATAAATGTCTTTGTTATGGATTTAGTACATAGGCAGACGATCCTCAAGAGGATGAACAGCTGAACGATATATTTTAGCCACCATAGGTGTTTAAATTACTTAGCGTAAATTGAAAGTTGCATTTCATTTTCTTTTCTATAGCGAAATAAGCCCCATAATATGGTAGACAGAGGTAAGATGGCTTAGACTCCTTGGGTAGCACGGAAATGTCTTTATTAGTGCTCAAAGATTTGCCCATGTCCTAATGTGATACAAGGATTCTGCGATGCGAAACTGATGTATTTTTTCCTCTTGTTCTGTAAGCCTACAGAAAGCCCTTGTAAAATAAATCACATCTAGGAGTTCAAGGTACATCTAAACTTATCAGTGAAGTTTCGTTAGTGAGGTCTCGGAAACCTATGTCTACAAGACCTCTGTTTATAGGCTGAATGAACACAGGTGTATCAGTGTGTTACACAAATACATGTAGTCTTAAGAACAAGCTTCCTGAATTAGGAGTAATACCTGAAAGACGCCAACCTGGTGTTATAGCAGATACTGAAAAATAGTAGGTAAGTAGTATCCAACTGCTGGCCTATAAGTCCCACTTGCAATATAGCAAAGGGATTAGAAACAATTAGCTCATATGAAAAAAACTTCACCTGCTACCGGAAGATTAGCGTAAATTCCAACCAGGCCGATTCTTCGTGATAAACTTTCTGTTATTTGGGGAATTTATGTAGAAACCAGGGATAAAAACCTTGTCGCTTTTACGATATTAGTAAAGCATTCCATAAAGTATAGTATTCAGATCCCAGTGAACTAAAAGAGTTCGGATTAGACCGATCCCTATATGATCGGTTTAGGTACCACCTACTGGGTAGAAGACAAAAGGCAAGGGTTATTAGTGTGTTGTCGGAGTGGAAAATAGTACCCAATGGGGTACTAAAAGGGAACTGTATTAGACCCCTTGTTATTCCCAATGTACGGAAACAAACTACCAGAAATTGTTACCTTGTCTTCATCGTTATTTGAGGATGACATCAAGATATGGAATTAATAATGATGATAGGTCAGTTTTACAAGGTGGCCTAGATAAATTGAATGAAAGGTAATTATTTCCGGAAAAAGCACCTTAATGACCTTAGGAGAGATGTGTCACACGTCGTACTCTCTGAGGAAAGCAGAACTGTCTGATGCTAGCAGACAAAAGGACTTGGGAATTATTATCTGCCATGATTTGGAAACGAATGCTACTAAGGCTTTTCGAATAATACTGGCACTCTGAAGGGCTTTGAAACGCCTAGATGAGTTTATGTTTAAATTACTCTATGCAACGTATGTCAGGCCTCACCTAGAATAATGTATACATGTGTCTAGCGAGGAATGAGGCGCTAGTCTTAAAAGTAACAAAAAGGGCATGAATCAAATTAGTTAATGATGTCTCTGACCTTCCTTACGAGAAGACGACGTAACATTTAATTATTTTCCCATTATCTTGCCGAAGGCATCGAGTAACTTGATTTAGGTATATCGTATATCAAAGAGTGATTTATGTGGTGACATTTTTAACCTCTTCTCTTCCTCTAGGAGACCTTTATGAGGCCACCATTAAAATGTGATCAAATCGCAGACAAACAAAATAGGTGTAGAATTTCAGTTCTCACATGGGTTGGTCAATGACTGCAACTCACTACCTAGGCATGCGATATTATCTCCATCAGGGACCGCTTTCAAAGGAAAAATTAGATCTCGGCAGGATTACATTTTGCAAGGATTAACACAGGCCGCAACATCGTACTATTCTTTATTATCTTTAGATGAAAGGCTGAAAATAAACTCAGAAAAGGACACAGTTACTAACAACTTTTCTTCTCCATGACTAAATCGCCATTTACTGTCTATCATTCCCTAATTAAATTCTACTTCAAAATCAATTATTTCAAATTATCATTCTACTAAAAAAGGTTAACTTATTTGTTTTTCCTTTTTAGATATCTTTATTTATGTGTGCATAAACCCATACATACTATATTTTGAATTTTCTATCCTAAAAAACTATCCCAGCTAGCAAAATTCCACTACAGAAAGTGGGACACTATCGAGCATTTTCTGCAGTGAACCCAAAGTGTGTCCCAAAGTTTCCTCAGTGTTGCCGGAGCCAATGCTACCTACTGTATGATACAGACTATTATTCTTTAACATACGCCTTCTTGTAATCTAAGGGAGTTTGAGGTGAGGAGAATTAGAAAATTTTAAAAACAGAAATGATATTTCTTTTAAGCATTACATTTCGCTCATTCTTTGTAAAAAAAAGGATGTCATTTCAAATGCAGCAGAATATATTTAAGGACTGGCAAAACGCGGAACAATCTGTCTTCCGAAAATAATTGATGCTTACAGATCAGTATATGAAGAATCGGTTCGGTTAGTTAATTTCTAGTTAATTAATTTAAAAGCATCCTTTATGTTTTGACAGACGAATATTTTGCTATACCGGCTTAAAGACAGCAAGATTTTCTAAGGAAATTCCTTTTGTTTCTCACTAGTTTTTGCATGGAAAATTTTATACTGTGGTATGAAGTGTTCATAAATAATATGTTGCGACAGCCTTAGTCAAATAGATAGATTTCCACAAATCTTGCCTACCTCCCATTTCATTTTGTTTCTGAGCGCTCCTGAAAACCCCGTTCCTGGTTTTCTTGATCGGATATTTTCTTCTTTCACTCATTGAGTTATTAAACCATAGCAACTTTAGATTTTGATTTTGTACCAATTAAAAGTGCAATGTTCCACAGTAGTAAAAGCATCAGACGTCGTTGGTTGAAAACCATCATTCGCAGATTATGTAGTTATTAATGAAATTTCACCATTGCTTTGCTTGTGTATTCAGAAGTTTCAGATAATAACATATGGACTATTCATCTTCGTAAATTATAACAAGGAAGCCTTCCCAATGAGTAACATGACTCAGCACTGGTTGATGTGACCTGAACCACTCCCAAAGCAGTGCTAATAGGGTAGAATAAAGTAAGTAAGGTCACTGTTGGTTCCTGTGATCACCCAAACATTACTGGTGCAGCTATAAATGATTTCACAACATCGCTAGCCGGCAACGTCATTATCACTAAATGGTGGATTCTGACCCTTCAAGTTGACTAGCTATGATGAAGGTATGTTGTCAAGAACGCAGGTCGTCAGGCAAGTTGTTGTGTTTCATTCTTTTGTCTCTGCAAGGTCCCCAACTAGTCACGCACGCATTTATCCTGAACAACATCGGTCACGAAATATATTTCGTATTGTCTAGCTTCTATCCTGACTTGGATTACTGATTCTTTCTAGTTTCACAGATCAGGTAAATTTGAGATTCTTACAGCGCGCAGAAGCTACGGTTATCACTTTATCCTTACATTTAAATCCATAAGAAGTCTCTAACTACTCATATCAATCATCCGAGTGCGTCTTATATCCTATCCGTCTTCAGTCTGTGTCACTGGTTTGGATGTAAATGCAGTGAGGATCTACTCTTGCTTTAGAGGCAGTAGTAACCGGAGATAACACTTTATTCTGTAACCAGATAAAAGCTTGGGAGTTATGTTACACGCTACTTCATTCTATCACATTTGCTCCATGTTCAAAGCATGGCTTTCGTTTCCAACCTAAAACCAAAGTCGAGTATTAGGTGGAGCCAACATTAGATCATGAGATATAAGATTTCTAGCCTAACGAAGAACAAATAAAACATCTTGCACTAGCAGCTGCCTTACCCCCATTTGAAGGTTTAAGACTGTAGCTAGGAGAATATCCTTGGTCTTAGTGTTTAAAAATATCAGTCAGGTGTGTAAATTAGTGCAGTATTCACGACAAATATCCTTAACGATTTACGTCACTGGATGGTGGTGGAATAATTCCAAGAGATCAGATCAGTTGCTGAACTGGTCGACTCACACAAATCTTTATTGCAGCCTATCTTAGACACCGCATATAGCTCCCTTGATTTTCTAAATATTTTATTCCAACGCTAGACCAAGTGAAAGCACATTGACTTTAAGTTACACGGGTTCACAAATGTGTGTGAACTTTTCACCCTGGCTTACATTAGAACAAGGAACTTCACACAAGTGACTCAGCTTTGTGTAGCCGTTTCCTTATGACTGATAAGTTTTTCTTTGCAAATCGAGTCCAACAGAGAATATGGTAGCCATCTTCTGTCTAAACGAAATGGCAGAGTGGTGGCCAAAACTCATGTTTGTATTTTTCTTAAGTTCGTCATTGTCCAATGTACATAAACAGAACTTTGAATGGGCATAAATATAGTGCTCTTTAGTTATTTATGGAGTGTTGTTGGCAATCTGAACTCTCAGGAAGCTGGCCAGTCTAGGCAGTGAACGGGTTATGCGATCAAAATATACATCTACATAAAATGGATAATAACACGACAAAAATAAACACTGTTTCTGGTTAACGAGTTCAGAGCACAGATTACTGCTCATGATCATATCAAGTCACTCACACAACTTTTTGCTTCATTTATATACATGAATATTTTAGTAAAGCGTACTACAGGGATAAAAAATCACTCATCTCATTCACTTCTATTCATACCATTTCTTATGTCCGTGTTACTGACTTCTGGTTCATGGTTAATTCATCGGTGCACCTTAGCTGGACAATTTAAAGAACTGGGAAACTGCTTAGAGTACTTAGGAAACGGTATTAATAATTCTTTAAGTTAATTAACACTGTAGTGAGCTGTGACACTAGGCAGCTGCATCGACAAATGGTGACTAACTGAGTTTTAACACAGAACTCAGCACAGAAGTGCGGCGGTTCAAGCTGTTACATTCCATACTTAAAATATTATGCTTAGTAATGAGCAAAAAATATTTCATCAGATATTTTTTGCTCATTACTAAGCATAATATTTTAAGTATGGAATGTAACAGCTTGAACCGCCGCACTTCTGTGCTGAGTTCTGTGTTAAAACTCAGTTAGTCACCATTTGTCGATGCAGCTGCCTAGTGTCACAGCTCACTACAGTGTTAATTAACTTAAAGAATTATTAATACCGTTTCCTAAGTACTCTAAGCAGTTTCCCAGTTCTTTAAATTGTCCAGCTAAGGTGCACCGATGAATTAACCATGAACCAGAAGTCAGTAACACGGACATAAGAAATGGTATGAATAGAAGTGAATGAGATGAGTGATTTTTTATCGCTGTAGTACGCTTTACTAAAATATTCATGTATATAAATGAAGCAAAAAGTTTTGTGAGTGACTTGATATGATCATGAGCAGTAATCTGTGCTCTGAACTCGTTAACCAGAAACAGTGTTTATTTTTGTCGTGTTATTATCCATTTTATGTAGATGTATATTTTGATCGCATAACCCGTTCACTGCCTAGACTGGCCAGCTTCCTGAGAGTTCAGATTGCCAACAACACTCCATAAATAACTAAAGAGCACTATATTTATGCCCATTCAAAGTTCTGTTTATGTACATTGGACAATGACGAACTTAAGAAAAATACAAACATGAGTTTTGGCCACCACTCTGCCATTTCGTTTAGACAGAAGATGGCTACCATATTCTCTGTTGGACTCGATTTGCAAAGAAAAACTTATCAGTCATAAGGAAACGGCTACACAAAGCTGAGTCACTTGTGTGAAGTTCCTTGTTCTAATGTAAGCCAGGGTGAAAAGTTCACACACATTTGTGAACCCGTGTAACTTAAAGTCAATGTGCTTTCACTTGGTCTAGCGTTGGAATAAAATATTTAGAAAATCAAGGGAGCTATATGCGGTGTCTAAGATAGGCTGCAATAAAGATTTGTGTGAGTCGACCAGTTCAGCAACTGATCTGATCTCTTGGAATTATTCCACCACCATCCAGTGACGTAAATCGTTAAGGATATTTGTCGTGAATACTGCACTAATTTACACACCTGACTGATATTTTTAAACACTAAGACCAAGGATATTCTCCTAGCTACAGTCTTAAACCTTCAAATGGGGGTAAGGCAGCTGCTAGTGCAAGATGTTTTATTTGTTCTTCGTTAGGCTAGAAATCTTATATCTCATGATCTAATGTTGGCTCCACCTAATACTCGACTTGGGTTTTAGGTTGGAAACGAAAGCCATGCTTTGAACATGGAGCAAATGTGATAGAATGAAGTAGCGTGGTAACATAACTCCCAAGCTTTTATCTGGTTACAGAATAAAGTGTTATCTCCGGTTACTACTGCCTCTAAAGCAAGAGTAGATCCTCACTGCATTTACATCCAAACCAGTGACACAGACTGAAGACGGATAGGATATAAGACGCACTCGGATGATTGATATGAGTAGTTAGAGACTTCTTATGGATTTAAATGTAAGGATAAAGTGATAACCGTAGCTTCTGCGCGCTGTAAGAATCTCAAATTTACCTGATCTGTGAAACTAGAAAGAATCAGTAATCCAAGTCAGGATAGAAGCTAGACAATACGAAATATATTTCGTGACCGATGTTGTTCAGGATAAATGCGTGCGTGACTAGTTGGGGACCTTGCAGAGACAAAAGAATGAAACACAACAACTTGCCTGACGACCTGCGTTCTTGACAACATACCTTCATCATAGCTAGTCAACTTGAAGGGTCAGAATCCACCATTTAGTGATAATGACGTTGCCGGCTAGCGATGTTGTGAAATCATTTATAGCTGCACCAGTAATGTTTGGGTGATCACAGGAACCAACAGTGACCTTACTTACTTTATTCTACCCTATTAGCACTGCTTTGGGAGTGGTTCAGGTCACATCAACCAGTGCTGAGTCATGTTACTCATTGGGAAGGCTTCCTTGTTATAATTTACGAAGATGAATAGTCCATATGTTATTATCTGAAACTTCTGAATACACAAGCAAAGCAATGGTGAAATTTCATTAATAACTACATAATCTGCGAATGATGGTTTTCAACCAACGACGTCTGATGCTTTTACTACTGTGGAACATTGCACTTTTAATTGGTACAAAATCAAAATCTAAAGTTGCTATGGTTTAATAACTCAATGAGTGAAAGAAGAAAATATCCGATCAAGAAAACCAGGAACGGGGTTTTCAGGAGCGCTCAGAAACAAAATGAAATGGGAGGTAGGCAAGATTTGTGGAAATCTATCTATTTGACTAAGGCTGTCGCAACATATTATTTATGAACACTTCATACCACAGTATAAAATTTTCCATGCAAAAACTAGTGAGAAACAAAAGGAATTTCCTTAGAAAATCTTGCTGTCTTTAAGCCGGTATAGCAAAATATTCGTCTGTCAAAACATAAAGGATGCTTTTAAATTAATTAACTAGAAATTAACTAACCGAACCGATTCTTCATATACTGATCTGTAAGCATCAATTATTTTCGGAAGACAGATTGTTCCGCGTTTTGCCAGTCCTTAAATATATTCTGCTGCATTTGAAATGACATCCTTTTTTTTACAAAGAATGAGCGAAATGTAATGCTTAAAAGAAATATCATTTCTGTTTTTAAAATTTTCTAATTCTCCTCACCTCAAACTCCCTTAGATTACAAGAAGGCGTATGTTAAAGAATAATAGTCTGTATCATACAGTAGGTAGCATTGGCTCCGGCAACACTGAGGAAACTTTGGGACACACT